TTTTTTTTCATTTTTTTTCAAATTTAAAAGTGGATATGCAATAAAATGACTTTGCATATGAATGATTTGTTTATTTTTACACCTTGTACTATTGAAATGGCCATATGCCCCTGAAAACTCTACTTGGTATAGGATAAAGCAGTTATGTACGGTCGGTTTGGATATTGGGTTCATCCCTCGTGAGATATGCACATCTACCTTCGGTCCCTACGGTCCCTCAGGTAGATATGCATATCTCCCTCTGGATAAACCGCATATTCAAAACCTCCCAGTACATAACCCTTATATATTAGCCTTTGGGAATATGATATATGGAGCTCCTTGCTTAAGTCTATTAGGAAAACTGCAGTATTGTTTTATCAATTCAAGTACATGTATAATGTGTCTCATGATATTACTAAGTGCACATTATTTTCCTTATAAAAATGATTAATAGATATGTACATGAATACTCAAAATTGACTTGATTTATATCCTACAACATGTGCGTGCAATAGAAATGTTATATGCTCACTTGATTGTCTTACAAACACAGATATACTATCTCCTTTTCAAAAATTTAAATGGGAATGGTCAATCTTTGTACTATAAGTGGTCTCAATAGTTGTAAAAATCATGAGTTGCCTCCAAATTATAGCGGTTGGAAGAAAAAGATGACACTATAAACAGATGACACTACAAAAGGATGACACTAGATTGAACTTTGCACACTCTTTGTTATGATGTGTTTGTTTACATCTAAAGGTCGCTTGTACCTATTAAACTGCAATGAAGATCATGTGTACCAGGATTATCCCACTATCCTGTACATAAAATATCAAGTTTCGCCAGGATTGTCCCACTTGCCTGTTCATAAAGCATCAAGCAATGGAATTGTTTTGAAACATGCTTTATTTTTATTCTTTTTAAATTGTCTTTGACCTTAGCAGCCAGCTATGTATGTGTTTTATCAAAAATAAATTCAAATCAAATATAAGTTTTCATATATTATTTGGAAGAACATACTTAAAGGTGGTCTCATTGAAGATACTAAAAGGTAAATATGGGGGTAGACTGTAAATCTAGTAAATCTAGTAAATCTAGTAAAACTAGTAAATCTAGTAAATCTAGTAAAATCTTGTAAAATCTTGTAAAAACTTGATTATTCAATGTCTAAGATATTAAGTGCAAATGTCGAAAAAGCACTGAAAATGCCTTTGTATGAATGAAATGAACATGTAGAAAAAATTCTAACTTTTATTTCATTATATTTAGTTACAAAACAACTATATGTTAGTACTGGATAACAAAATGGTTATCAAATGGTACACCCATTTTATCATCATTCACAACCCACCCAAGAAGCATGCTCTATTAACAAATTAAGCCACACATTTAAGGACTGAGGGGACAATGCGTACCATCTAAATGACATAGGCTTGTTTTTCCCTCACAAAATGTTATAATGCTTAGCCTATCAGATAATTTAGTTATTGCTTATTTTTTGGCGATGCTGTTCAATTGACAATATTTGTAGAAGTTCCAATATGAGAGGAATGGATAAATGGCAATTTCAAAATTGATTTTTGCCAACCCCCAAAAATAATAAAAACAATCAAATGCTGTAGTAAGGGGAAGAGTGAGACAACTTACTGATTGATCTATTTGCTTTACCTATACATAAAGTATAGTATGGCGTTTCTACAATGCTTTCCATTTACGTTTTGATGATGATATGTTCCTTGTATTCCTTATGAAATTAATAGTTTAAAGCCATATCATATCAGCCCCTTAAACATTCTTTTTTAATTATTATAATATTTCACAATTTTGTCACAAAAATTGTATATTGATTATTTGATGAAAGGAATGACTCTGAATTTTAATGCAGAGAAGGTATTTTTCTAATGTTGTAAAATGAATCATAATCACCAATACTCTTCAGTGAGACTGACATTGATATCAAATGAATGGTCCCTAAAAAGTTTACAAGATTTTACAAGATTTTACTAGATTTACTAGGTTTACTAGATTTACGAGATTTACTAGATTTACTAGATTTACAGTCTACCAAATATGGGTTAATGTTACTGCATGCTTGTGCAATTTGTTCAGGCCCATTTATTGTTACACTAAAGATATGCATCTGAGTGGGTAGACTGTAAATCTAGTAAATCTCGTAAATCTAGTAAACCTAGTAAATCTAGTAAAATCTTGTAAAATCTTGTAAACTTTTTAGGGACCATTCATTTGATATCAATGTCAGTCTCTCTGAAGAGTATTGGTGATTATGATTCATTTTACAACATTAGAAAAATACCTTCTCTGCATTAAAATTCAGAGTCATTCCTTTCATCAAATAATCAAATACAAATTTTTTAACAAAATTGTGAAATATTATAATAATTAAAAAAGAATGTTTAAGGGATGGCTTTAAACTATTAATTACAAGGCATACAAGGAACATATCATCATCAAAACGTAAATGGAAAGCATTGTAGAAATGCCATACTATACTTTATGTATAGGTAAAGCAAATAGATCAATTAGAAAGTTGTCTCACTCTTCCCCTTACAACAGCATTTGATTGTTTTTATTATTTTTGGGGGTTGGCAAAAATCAATTTTGAAATTGCCATTTATCCATTCCTCTCATATTGGAACTTCTACAAATATTGTCAATTGAACAGCATCGCCAAAAAATAAGCAATAACTAAATTATCTGATAGGCTAAGCATTATAACATTTTGTGAGGGAAAAACAAGCCTGTGTCATTAAGATGGTACCATTGTCCCCTCAGTCCTTAAATGTGTGGCTTAATTTGTTAATAGAGCATGCTTCTTGGGTGGGTTGTGTATGATGATAAAATGGGTGTACCATTTGATAACCATTTTGTTATCCAGTACTAACATATAGTTGTTTTGTAACTAAATATAATGAAATAAAATGTAGAATTTTTTCTACATGTTCATTTCATTAATACAAAAGCATTTTCAGTGCTTTTTCGACATTTGCACTTTATATCTTTGACATTGAATAATCAAGTTTTTACAAGATTTTACAAGATTTTACTAGATTTACTAGATTTACTAGTTTTACTAGATTTACTAGATTTACTAGATTTACAGTCTACCATCTGAGTGTCAATGTATTTTCCCTTCCTGATAAATTTTGATGGACTTTTAAACCAGCTTCAGCAAATATTCAATAACTACGTAGAAAAAGTGATGGACTGTATATAAGGTTCATTTCACAATGAAATAGTTCCGTTAGTTTATTTGTATTCTGTCTTTTTCATTTATTTTCCTTGTAATTTAACTATCTATTTTATCTATTTGCAAGGTTGACTCTAAAGATGGATCTAAGTGGTATATTGCATGTGATGACTTCTTAAACTATTTTATCATCCAATCTAAGTGCTTTATAATTTTTGGGAATTGACCACACTTGACTTAATTTACATAATCGTTTGTAAGTTGAATTAATTCATCAGTTCTTGAATATTTTCATAATGAAAAGCATGTCCCAAGAAGGTCTGCATATTAATCTTGCTTTAAGTATAAGAACAACAACAAATTATATATCAACAAAATAAGAAAAAATTAGATCTTATATAAAAGGTTTATTTCGATGGATGAGATACCATTCTCTTCGGACCATTCTACTTGTGATGTAATTGGAGACAGGAGGCAATTCTGCAAATTCACAAAGTCTGACAAGATATATTTTGAAACTCTGTTGGCCTTCATACGGAGAAACACATTTTGTTATCCTACCAAATAAAGTTTGCATGGATATAGAGAAACCATCTGTCTATTCGTTTGTTTGCCCGAGGGATTACAAAATACCAGTTGATGGATTTGATTCATTTTTTATTTTAATTCAATTTTATAGGCTTGTGCCTTGTATGTGTAGGACCTCTGTCAAAAAGGAATTTCAATATGGCTGCGCAATTCAAAATGGCCATCACTTTTCGTAAAATTGTAACTTTTATTGTTTTATAATTGTAACTCAAATACTAGAATAGTTGATTTCTTTTTGGTTTCAATTTTATATGCTGATGCCGAGGGACGATGGGGCTCTGCTCAAAAAGAGATTTTCAAGGTGGTCATTTAGTTTCAAAATGGCCACCATTTTCATAAAACATGTTATCTTTGATAACTTAAATACTAGTGGATAGATTCGATTCACATTTTATATGCTTAAGCCTACATGGCCTAGGGACGCAGGAGCTCTGCTGGAGAGGAAATATGGCACCTGAATTTTAAAAGGGCCACCATTTTTCATAAAAGGATGTAATACTTGATTACTTAGTACACGTTGACTGGTTTTGTTCAAATTTTATATACTGATGCTGAGGACAAAGGACCTCTGCTCAAGAATAATTTGTTTTAGACGGCAGCTGAATTTCAAAATGGCTTATGATTATGACAGTTTGGGATTCCATAGATTTGTAGCTATTTTTGCATTAACTACCATGGCAGATCATTGAAATTCTCAAATAACAATATGCATTACTGTACAATGATGATAGTCTTTTTCAACTCAACCCCTAATGTATCTTAGCTCCTACAATGGTTCTTCTTGCTTTATTCTCATTTTCATCATTTGCATAAGTGAAAGCTAATTTCTTATATTTAGCAAAGTATTTGGTCCAAAGGGATTATGAAATATAGAAATCATGCATTGTCATCTATTTCTTATAACATTTTACAAGTGTCATCCTTTTTCTACTAGTGTCATTCTTTTTCTACTAGTGTCATCCTTTTGTGGTGTCATCCTTTTATGGTGTCATCCTTTTGTGGTGTCATCCTTTTCTTCCAACCGAAATTATAGCTAGTTGGAAATGCTTAAATACCTAAAGGTCATTATAAACCTGATTCAAAGTAAACCCAGTAGTTTAGATAGATATATTAAACTCAATTGGAGTAAAATCTGGATTGATTATTTGTTTGACAAACATCAGACCATTTTGAATACCAACTCCACATTATCTCATTATGATGTGTGTCTTCATTGCAGGTTGTACACAGTTGACTAACACTGGTGTGTCAAGTCTAGTACAGATGAGGTATTTGGAGGAACTAGAGCTTACAAACTGTGGCCCAGGGGCAAGCAAGGAGGTCTGTCAGTACCTGAGAGACAACATGTACAAGTGTCTCATATTAGAATAACCCACCTACCACCCAAGCTACTACCAGGCCCATGGACATGAACGTGTTCCTGAAGTGACTCTGGTGTTTCTGCATTGAACTGGAAGAGCATATCAATGCCAGTCACATAAAGTTCTATTAGGAAATATACAGTAATATTGTACATTCCCTGTAAATCTGTGCAATATCACACGAGTAATGTGACATTGGTAGAGTTGGCAGTTCAATAACACTTTCAAGCCTTTTGGAAGCCAGATCATAATAAGTAACAGATCTGTTGTAAGATAATTGTTTGCATCACAGGAAGATCTGAATATGGGAATACACTAGCAAGTACAACAAATAAGGGAATGATTGCTATGGAGTACAATAAACACTAAGAAGTACAATTAGCATTAGGGAATAAAATGAGCACTAGGAAATAGAATGATCACTGGGGAGTACAATAAACTCTAGCAGGTGCAATGTACACTAAGGAGTACAATGAGCACTAGGGAATACAATGAGCCTAGGAAATACAATGAACACTAGGGAATACAATGAACACTAGGGAATACAATGATCACTAGGGAGTACAATGAGCACAAAGGAATACATGAGCACTAGGGAATACAATGAGCACTAGGAAATACAATGAACACTAGGGAGTACAATGAACTCTAGCAGGTGCAATGTGCACTAAGGAGTACATTATAATTCATTCATAGAAGTGATTATTCACTATAAACTTATAAGGGACACCCTATTTAAGTCCTACTTGCTGCAATACATGTAGCTCTTAATGGATTTGTACAAGAGATTCCTTGGTGCATATGCACTCATCAGATCTCATCACAAGTCAAGCAGCAGACATCTACACTACATGGCAACCACTTCAAAATGAGCTAAAATGGTTATACAATATATTGAAAGACTATGTATCAATTTTCAAGATAATTGCTAAATTGTGAAACTAGAAAAACAGTAACTCCCTTGAGTAACAAATTCCACTGAATCAAGTGAATGGTCATTTTTTATATTTGGCATATTACATTATTACACTTTTTGAGTTATTGCTTGAACAGATGAGTGGATGAACAGACAAAAAGCTTCTCTATATCCCTACTGTAACTTCATTCTGAGAAATAATAATAAAAATGTAAGATGTCAAATGTAAAAAATGCCAAAAATGTTATTCTTTTAAATGGTTGCTATTAAAGTATAACTGCAAAGAACAATAATTAATCAGATCAGGTAACATTTCTTCTCTGTCATGTTTTACAAAAATTGCCATATTTCTTTTGCTCTATTGCCAACCACCAAAACAAATTTTGAAAAATGAAGATTGTTGATAGAAGAACTTATATAATAGTAAATAATATGATTCTTCTTCTAGCCCTAGCCCCACTAGCCCCATTTACCCTAACAAAACCACCACTCTAGCCCTACTAGCCCCTATTACCCTTGTGTGGAATATGAAGTCTTAATACTCTACATCCATATATCAATTTCCTGATTGGGCAATATTGTACCATGTGATCAAAGTGTGTATTTCCCATCCTGCATTGGTGAGACAAATTCAATGGTGCATATTTTTCACATTTAGTGTCATTCTCATTTCCCAATCCCCAGGGTAAACATCCTATAATTTCCATCACGGCAAACAATTTCTAAAATGACTTTAGATGATGAAGCATTCAGCATTACTGATGAATGTCTGTTGAGTTGCAGTTTCAATGATTAGGCAATGGATATTCTGACTCTGCTTGCTTTAGGGTATAAACCTTGCTGCGTTCTTTATAACAGGTATTCATCTCATGAAAGGAAATATTTGATTAACATCTTAAACAAATGAAGACTGAAGAACTAAGTATAAACAGTGAATTCCACTCATTCATAGCAGTGAAAATACATATTCTATTATAAATTACAAAATCAGAAGCTCAAATAACTTAAATATCTTTAAATCAGAACCTAACAAGGATCTAATAAATGCTAAATTGATCTGTACTACAGTGAAAAATGCCAAAAGATTATTTCTAACATAGTAAGATGTCACTTAGTTTTTAAATCTCACTTACATGTGCACAACTTTACAAATGTGGAGACTCCTGTTTGTCAATCTGGCTACTAAAATGAGACTACCTTACATGTAATTTTTGGCTGCATACTTAGATCAAGATTTCTTTTTGAATTAGAAGATGAACTTATGACATTTCAATTATCAAGTGTATACATCCCAACAAGACACTTTTTTGTGAATGGTGATCAAATCTTACCAGACAGGGTAAAATGTATTTTAAAGCTCAGTGCATAATTTTTGAGAAATGTATAAATGTCTAGTCACCTTATCCACCATCCACTTGTTTCTTTTAAATCCTGTGACCGAGCTAAGGTCAGAAAATTACATAAATGGTCATATTTTCCCGTAGATATACTTCACAGTGATCTCCACAGGTATTTTTCTTTTTCTCAACAGTGTAAAATCTAATTTGGTCTGTTTTTGTAAAAATACCTCAATACTATTTATTCCTTTTGACACTCTGGTGAAAACAGATTTTCAACAGGGTGGCAAGTGTCATTTTCAAGTTTTCAGCAGAGTACAACACCCACTATGATGACAGATTGCAGAGTTCGATTGATTTGACATCCAGAGTTTACACCATTCATTCCTGACTGTTTATCATCTTTATATAATCAATAATAACAATCTTTACCAAAAATGGTGGCCATGTCTGCATACCCTCTGCACCAAAATTATCAAAATTGAGCTTATTTCTTGTAGGGTGCATCTCTATACTCTAAGTTATTGAATGATTTGAAGTGCAATACAGGATATATTCTGCTCGAGAAATTACGTATTGGAACGAGACTAAGTCGAGTGCCAATACAGAATATCGAGACAGAATATATCCTGTATTGCACTTCAAATCATTCAATAACGCTTTTATCGTGTGATCCTCTGTATTACTACTAATATGGTCCCCTCAATACCAATATTTTCTGTTTTGCGACGGAGATGATAAACGGGGACAATCTCAGTAGGAATACAGATTGGTACAGCACAAGAACTGACCAATCAGAAGGCTTCATTATACACATCACATGATAAATAATGTTATTGTTATGTTGTACCACTGATTTTAGAATCTCACAATTGTTAAATGTATAATAATATTGTAAATAAATGTAATATTGATAATTTATTACATTGATACAGAGTTTACTATTGTCATGTAGTTGTAAAGTGAATTAAATATCTGTACATATTTTTGATCCAACATTGGTTTTTGTTTTATTACTTGTTATTGACATGTTACAAATAGAACGACTGCATAAAGGCATAATTAGAGAGCAGAGTATTGATATTTTCTGAAGTTGCATGTCATTGATTGTCTGTGCCATTGTTATCATCAGCCTTCATTTGAATCATTTTGAATCTGTTAACATAGGATACTCATCTCATGGTTAAGTCTTATTTGATGGTTGAGTGAAAATTTGATAAAAACTGATATTTTTCCACTGGTAAAAAATACCATTTTCATTTTGACATATCCTTTGAATTAATGGTAGCTCTGGAACAACTCCCCATATTATATTCTATCAAACAAGAAATAAAAAAAACAAAAAACATAATGGTTTAAGAGAATGAATGCATAGAAACACTTGACGGCACTTTGACTTGCTAATATATTTACATAAGCTGCCATCATCCCATTTGCTTATAGCGTGCTACCACCAGTCTGCTTTTAATCAATGAACACAAGATTTAGTACTTCTGAGCTACAGTTCAGTGATTTAGTGATCGTATATGGTAATTTCTTTAATATTTGTGATATTTCCGCAGTCTATATACATTATACCTTTCATCTCGTATATACATGGTCTCTATATATCATTGCTAAGTATTGTTCCACCATGTTAAAAGGCCTAATCCTGGTTCATTGATTGAGCCCTGCAAAATATAGCATCAAACATGCCTTATCACATAGTAACAACTTAGTCATTTTTATCAATATCTTTGATCCATGCTGAGAATGAAAAGACATATTGCCCTCCAGGTTTATAATTGCGCACATATTATTAACTCAAGGAACATGTTTCAAGTTGCACTGTATGATGGGTAAGGAATGACTTACCAATAGGGTATATGGGTTCTTTTTTGTCTCGTCTGTTTGTTCAGTGACATCTATAGAGCTTGAATCAGGGCCACTTGGGGATGTATCAATAAATGTTTCATCCACAACTCTGAACCTGAAGTAAATATGATGATATGAAGCTACAGTGAATGTCTTCCATAAGAACATATTTTTTCTTTACAAAAATCATACCTTCATAAAACTCAAAGCACTCTTTAATCAATAATATCTTTCTTAAAAACAGCTGACATTTATTGGAACCAAAGAAATTTATAACTCGGATTTTATTGCATACTATAATTATTCAAACTTAGCATGCAAGAAAGACAAGAAGAAGGTAATGGATAGTTGTTCATTTGGCATTTACATCATAACGCATCTGTCATCCACAAAAAATTACAATTAAAAACATCCAATATGTTTTAGATTATACATAATACAATGAAACCTGTTTTAGTGAACACCTCTCTATAGTGAACACATGTGTTTAGTGAACACCCCTTTTTAGCACTTCACAGACTTCTGTTTAACATTGGCCCTCTGTAGTGAACATCTACCTACAGTGAACACATTTTTGTGGTTTCACAAGTGTTCACTGTACACAGGTTTTACTGTATCAAAAAAATAGTGTATAGCCTGGGACTGTAAATTACTTCAAGAAAAATGGTTGTAGTGGTCTGTCAATTTTAGGATAGATCATCACTGCCATCTTTCTAAGATCTAATGCTTATCAATCATTCACCATCTTCCATAATTTTCAATTCTCCACACCACACGTAAGAATAACCAACAATTATCTACAGTCCTGGTCTAGACAGTAATAGACCAAATGTTTCGGATCAAATACTGGTCCAGAAATGAATGGACAATGAATCTGAACATCATACTTTATACATTTCAAAAATGTCATATCACCACTCAAAATAAATCGGACTATATCAATGACAGTGGTTAATAATATTGTCATTGTAGTACATGAAGTGAAAAAGTCTGTACTTGATTCATTTGCAAACTCATTCATGTAAGGATCTACTTTACTTGTTTTCTTTACATGTCAAAAACCTGTGTTTAATTACTTAAATCACATTATTCAAAACATGACATCAAGCTCAGTATGCTTTATCAAACTGGTGCAACTTATACCTTATCTGTTCCCCTATGTCCATATATAGTAATACCTTATCTGTTCCCCTATGTCCATATATAGTAACACCTTATCTGTTCCCCTATGTCCACATAAAGTAATACCTTATCTGTTCCCCTATGTCCATATATAGTAATACCTTATCTGTTCCCCTATGTCCATATATAGTAACACCTTATCTGTTCCCCTATGTCCATATAAAGTAATACCTTATCTGTTCCCCTATGTCCATATAAAGTAATACCTTATCTGTTCCCCTATGTCCATATAGTAACACCTTATCTGTTCCCCTATGTCCACATAAAGAAATACCTTATCTGTTCCCCTATGTCCATATATAGTAATACCTTATCTGTTCCCCTATGTCCATATATAGTAACACCTTATCTGTTCCCCTATGTCCATATAAAGTAATACCTTATCTGTTCCCCTATGTCCATATATAGTAACACCTTATCTGTTCCCCTATGTCCATATATAGTAATACCTTACCTGTTCCCCTGTGTCCATATAAAGTAATACCTTATCTGTTCCCCTATGTCCATATAAAGTAATACCTTATCTGTTCCCCTATGTCCATATAAAATAATACCTTATCTGTTCCCCCTATGTCCATATATAGTAATACCTTATCTGTTCCCCTATGTCCATATATAGTAACACCTTATCTGTTCCCCTATGTCCATATTAGTAATACCTTACCTGTTCCCCTGTGTCCATATAAAGTAATACCTTATCTGTTCCCCTATGTCCATATATAGTAACACCTTATCTGTTCCCCTATGTCCATATATAGTAATACCTTATCTGTTCCCCCTATGTCCATATATAGTAATACCTTATCTGTTCCCCTATGTCCATATATAGTAATACCTTATCTGTTCCCCCTATGTCCATATAGTAATACCTTATCTGTTCCCCTATGTCCATATAAAGTAATACCTTATCTGTTCCCCTATGTCCATATACAGGTCATGACTGCCATCATCTGTGGCATACTCCCAGGCCCATAACTGCTCACTGTCATCACTGACTCAGTTAAGTATAACAACATCAGACTTCTAACATCAACCTAATCATCATTTCTATCATCATGTTGCTGTCATCATATATCATCATGTTTCTATTATCAAATATCATCATGTTTCTATTATCAAATATCATCATGTTTACATCATAATATATCATCATGTTTCTATTATCAAATATCATCATGTTTATATCATAATATATCATCATGTTTCTATTATCATATATCATGATTTTATTATCATAATTTTAGTTGGAAAAATTAATTAATTCATTGTGTATTTTCTTGGCTTCTTTAAAATACATTAACGTAAACATAGTACACTAAATTGTATTACAACTTTTATAACTCATGTATTGAGTAGAAAGGATACAACTTAGATGGATGTTGTAGTGCATCTGCTGGGATGAGAATGTCATCAAAGAATCCAAGAGAGACTGCAAGTATATAATGTAGTAAACATTTCAATTAGTACATTAACATGTTTTAGCGATACCACAATTTTCAGATCATGATATTTACCTTACAATAATGAATATGATATATACAAGATATGAGGAACCCTAACATCTTATACATAACTACATGTGTACATCATAACATACTATATTTTAGAAAATGTGAAGTAATACCTAGAAATACACTGAACTGAAAATGATCTTTCACCTTGTTTTTCCATTTTTTCAAACAGAAATTAAGGGATCCAGGGCCGTCAGATGGGGGGGTGCGATGGGTGCGACCGCACCCCCCTTTGTAACCCCCCAAAATAAATTTGAAAAAAAAAATTTGAAAAAAATGTTTTTTTGAAAAATATTTTTTTTGTAATTTTTTTTGATTGACTCATACACTTTGAAAATACCCAGAGAGCACCAAATAGCATCTTCAAATTGTAAAATTTTCTAGAGGTATTGGCCACCCCTCACACCCCCCACAAAACAATGGAAAAGTGCTAAATTTATTTTAGTGTTTTGTCTCAGACACTTTTAAAGTGCATCATCAAATAGCTCCTTGATATAGTTAGTGTTTCTGGGGGACTTGCTCCCCCTCTTGCATCTTGCACTTGCATACCCCCCCCCCCCCTCTGGCGCCCCCCTCCTTGACCCCCCCCCAAAAAAGAAAGCACCAAATAGCGTCGTAAAATTGTAAAATTTTCTAGGGGGAGTGGGCCACCCCTCACACACCAAACAAAACAATGGAAAAGTTCTGAATTTGTTTAATGTATTGTCTCAGACACTTTTAAATTGCCCAGACATCATCAAATAGCTCCTTGATAAAGTTAATGATTCTGGAAGACTAACACTTACTCGCCCTCTGGCGATCCCCACTCCACCTCCCCCTCTGGCAGACCCCCCCTGAGATTTTCCAAATTTTTTATTGACTCATACCCTTTGAAAGTGCCCAGAAAGCACCAAATAGCATCTTAAAATTGTAAAATTTTCTTGGGAAATAGGCACTTTTAGACACAGACACTTTTAAAGTGCCCAAACTTCATCGAATAGCACCTTGATATTGTAATGGGGGATAAACACTTGCTCCCCCTCTGGCACTCCAGCCCCACCTCCCCCTCTGGCACCCCACCCCCAAAATTTGAAAAAAATTGTGATTGTTTTTCAATGTTTTTATTGACTAATACACTTTAAAAGTGCCCAGAAGCACCAAATATCATCTTTAAATTGTAAAATTTTCTAGGAGAGTTAGCCACCCCTCACATCCCCCACAAAACAAAAGAAAATATTCTGAATTTCATGTATTGTCTCAGACATTTTTTAAGTGCCCAGACATCATCAAATAGCACCTTGATATGGTCAATGTTTCTGGGTGACAACCCCTTGCTCCCCTACTGGCACCCCACCCCACTTCACCCTCTCATCCTCTTTGACACCCCCAAAAGAATTTGAAAAAAATTCACATTTTTCTTATTGACTCATAACGCACAGGCGTAGCAGATGGTTGCAAATTCGCACCAAATACAACCAAACTTCAAAATTTTCCTGGGGGAGAACCCCCAGACCCCCCTGAATGCTCGGTTTCTTATTTACTCAACTCTTATTCCCGTGGTGGTGGCGTACTACTTAGAAACTTACACTTTGAAAGTGCCCAGAAATCACCAAAATAGCATCTCAAAACTGTAAAATTTTCTAGGGGGAGTGGACCACTCCTCACACCCCCCACAAAACAATCTGAACGTTTGGAAGTTGCATTTGTTAATTCCAAACCAATATAGGGAGTAACTGACCCCCCCCCCCCCTCTGTCTTACGCAATTTGATTTACGCGGCAAAAAATTGACGATTTTAAATTCTCTTTAGTTAGCTAAAAACCGCACCCCCCTTGGAGAAAAGTGTCTTACGGGCCTGGGATCCTTGCACCTAATTGGAAGCAATGAATATTATTATTTTAGTGTCACCGGTACATCAATACTGGTATTTCTGAGCAAAATGAATTATATATTCTGATATGAGACCAGTACTGTATATGTATCTATTGTAGTGCATCCGCTTACTAATTATCATAAGTTTGCACAACTTTAACATGTATCTACACTTTTGATGAGTTTAGTTGAAATAATACAGAGAGTTCCTCTTTAAGATGAATTTTTACTTAAGATCATGCACCAGCGAATTTCAATTTAAGTGAGTTAAAACTTACCATAAACACCCTCCTTACTGCAGCTTTTGATTTTACCAAGAAGGACTTCATCTAAGAATGGCCTGAACACCACATAGCGGAAATGAACTGGAGTTAAACAGAAATACATAACTATTTTAATAACCTTTAAAAACAGGTACAAACTGCATCTATGTAAAATGTAACTCTATATTGATATTCAATGAAACTGATGTGCTCTGAAAGGTGTTTACTGCATCAATATACTTTCATAATGGGTTGAAACACACTCTCTCACATTCAGTTTGATGACAATAACTCTGTGTGGTTATTGGTAAAAAACCTCAATAAAGTGAAAAATCGATTCTACTGTTTAGGAGCCACAATTTCTCCTCAAATGAACAATAATACCTAAATGAAGGCACAGAAGACTATGATGCATTTTAATCATTTGTGGTGTTTTCATAGATACCTATTGTGTGTGAGGCCCCATCACCAGGAAGCAGATAGGAATCTTCATACTTTGTCATATCCCAAAGTGAAATACACACACCAACATTATGTACAACCTGCAACATATGAGATACATAAATCAACAATATGTAAAACCTGCAACATAAGAGACATTACCAACATTATGTATAACCTGCAACATATGAAATACATACACCAACATTATGTACAACCTACAACATTTGAGACACATATACCAACATCATGTATAACCTGCAACATACGAAATACATACACCAACATTATGTACAACCTGCAACATTTGAGACACATACACCAACATTATGTGCAACCTGCAACATACGAAATACATACACCAACATTATGTACAACCTGCAACATATGAGATACATACACCAACATTATGTATAACCTGCAACATATGAAATACATACACCAACATTATGTACAACCTGCAACATTTGAGACACATACACCAACATCATGTATAACCTGCAACATATGAAATACATACACCAACATAATGTACAAGCTGCAACATTTGAGACACATACACCAACATTATGTATAACCTGCAACATATGAAATACATACACCAACATTATGTACAACCTGCAACATATGAGATACATACACCAACATTATGTATAACCTGCAACATATGAAATACATACACCAACATCATGTATAACCTGCAACATATGAAATACATACACCAACATTATGTGCAACCTGCAACATACGAAATACATACACCAACATTATGTACAACCTGCAATGTATGATATACATACACCAACATTATGTACAACCTGCAACATATGAGATACATACATCAACAATATGTACAACCTGCAACATACGAGACATTACCAACATTATGTACAACCTCCTACATATGAGATACATACATCAACAATATGTACAACCTGCAACATACGAGATATATACACCAACATTATGTACAACCTGCAACATACGAGACATACACCAACATTATGTACAACCTCCAACATATGAGATATATACACCAACATTATGTACAACCTGCAACATACGAGGCATACACCAACAGCATGTACAACCTGCAACATATGAAATACATACACCAACATTATGTACAACCTGCAACATTTGAGACACATACACCAACATTAATGTATAACCTGCAACATACAAGGCATACACCAACAGCATGTACAACCTGCAACATATGAAATACATACATCAACAAAATGTACAACCTGCAACATATAAGAATACACCAACATTATATGAGATTGTGAGATACATATTGACATTCCATTTCAAACAAAGTGTATTGTTAAGTGGAAGCTCTCCATCAAACATAGTAAATAAATAAACTAGTAAATAAAATAAGTGTTAGCTACAGTATACCTTATTTGCAAGCTTCTTGTTGAGAGTTTCGATAACAGCTTCTTTAAAGTTGAGATAGAAGAGTCTTGGGGGAATTGTTACAGTGTCTTTCATCTCTGTTAAGATAAACATCTTCTTAACTGGAAAATATGAAAGTACTAAAGAAACATCATATGGATTTGAAAAAAATATCCTGGATACCTATAAGTTGAAACAAGATAACAACAACGCAAAAGCATAGCAAATCCCATCGAACAGCCATGCCTGCCATTTTACAAATTCCTTCTACTAGTTCTTAAGTTATAGCAAAAATCATAAAATAACGCACATAAAAAATGGCCATCATTTTCAAAATGGTCCCTCACTAGCTAAATTGTCATAAGAAAGTGTAATATGCTTCTAAGTCATTCTGATACACATTGCATCTAAAAACCTCTCTGATTTTCCGTGCCAATCCCACTGATAGAGGGAGTGGGTTTCCCAATTCAATTTTACAATTCCCAGGAAGTTTACTCTTGTAAGAAAGTTGACATACATGTACTTTAAAAAAAATTAATTTCTTCGTGTTTCCTACTGATTAACTCATTGCTGGCCAAAGCTATTTTCGGAGGTTTTCTGCTTGTGACTGGCAACTTTGATGGAAAATTAAGCAAAATTGCATGTTTTCACATGAGAATAAAAAATAGACTGTATCAACACCCTATGTGCTAAGTTATATGCCATTTGTGAAGCCAATGACAAAATATATCACCTTTTGAGTAAAAACACATGTAAAGATGGATGCCATTTCCAAATGGTTACCACTACTTTTTAATTAACAGCAAAAATCATAAAATAATGTGTAAAGGCCACCATTTTTCAAATGGCTGTCATGTGTTTCTTAAATAATTAGATTTCTAGCTTTATTAATGTCCTAATATAACCTTTTTACATTTAAATCATATTGCTCCAGTTTTATATATTGTACCTAAATTACTGTTAAATCGGCATTAAAATGGCCATCATTTTAAACGAGTTGCCATTTTGAAAATCAACCATGAACAAAATTGTTGAGTGAATGTTTTTTCTGCCAAATTCCAATATGGCGTTTTCTGCTCGGACATTTCCATAACTTTCCGGAGGTTGTCTGAACCTTACTCACTCTCAAAATTCATTTTGTTAATTGCGTATCTCACTTCAAGCAAACCGCCATATTGGAAATGGGTCGAAAAAACATTCACTCTATGAACAATTTACATGTCTTGATCGAAAAAGAAGTATTTTAGCGCTCCAATACTTGCACGGATGGATAATACTGATGTAAGACACAGTTAGAGACCAAAAGTAAGCCACTGATCTCATTATTCATGTTTTAAAGGTCACTATTATTCAGCTGTGCAGTGCGCCGTGGGAAAGCTATTATATCAAAATCCACATAGCTTTCGCAGGAAGTAGCCTAATAGACTTAGACTTTTACTTTAAGAACAAGAGAAACAGCACAATGAGCAAACACTAGAGGATAACAAGGCATCACTTGAATGTTAAGCGGCATTGTAACGCTTAAAAGGATACAAACAAAGACACATGTTTATAGATGAATGGACATAATATCTACAGCGCCTATGATTTGAGCGTTCAGTGTTTTAGTACATTTTGAGTGAATGGGAAAAATCAAGTTCAGCAGCCCTGTGCAGACATTCATGGAATAAAACCTGTGCATCGTGAAGTTAATAGACATTACCTCGTGCATGCATTGTTTTTTGAATTATGAGACCATGTGTGATGCTGTTAAGTTTCTTCAGAAAAAATATCCCTGAATTCCATTGAATTGTTACAGACATCAGAACTCTCAGGGGTCTGTGACTAAAGTAAGGCCATTTCGATAGATCCATTTGATTTTCGTGAAATGTGAATCAAGTGATATTATGATGATCAAGGATGTGAAACGTGAAAGTAATTCTGATTGGTAACATGCAACGTGAAAATGAATTGCCACCTGACGTGACTAAATAAAAAGTGCCCTAAAAAGGAGACCCTATCTGTTGCAAGACTAACGCCTGGCGTAACCGTCACCATGTTATTCAGTGTTTTTTAAGTAGCGCAAGGATCCTGCCATGACCGTGGTAATGTTATCGTGAAAGCCTGGTATAACCGCGACAATGCTGTATTATATTGCAATGCCTGCCATGACCGTGACAATGTAATATAGTTCTGCAAGGCTTGGTATGACCGTAACAATGTAATATGGTACTGCAAAGCCTGGCATGACCGTGACAATGTAATATAGTATTGCAAGTTCAGGTATGAGAGTGGTAATGTAGAAATTTACGATTAGGACTGCTATAACCGTGACAATGTGTTTTGCAAAGCCTGGCATGACCATGGCAATGTAATAAAGTATTGCAAGGCTTGGTATGACCGCCATGGCAATGTGATATAGTATTCCAAGTTCGGGTATGAGAGTGATGATGTAGAAATTTATGATTGCTATAATTGACCGTGACAATGTGTATTTGAAAACCTGGCATGACAATGTATTATGGGATCGCAAAGCCTGGTATGACCGTGACAATGTAATATAGTATTGCAAGGCCATGTATGAGGGTGGTAATGTAGAGATTTAGGCTTAGTTCTACTATGACCGTTATAATGTATTGCAATGACTAGTAAATATGTATGATATTAATGCCAGGAATATCCTTAACAATTCTAAGTGATCCTCATTACAATTAAACAGTTTAATACTATGATCATGGTGTTTAACTACCTTAATCATGTCAAAATCAAAATTACTACTATACATTAATATTCACATTCGCTTATAAACCACAATAAAGGCTACAGTCGCGCCAGGCTTCCACAATAACACTTCCAGGGTCATGACAGGCCTTGCAATAGAATACAGCATTGTCACGGTTATACCAGCCTGTCACGGTTATACCAGGCTTACACAATAACACTACCACGGTCATGGCAGGATCCTTGCGCTACTTAAAAAACACTGATTAACATGGTGACGGTTGTGGCAGGCGTAAGTCTTGCAATAGATGGCATGTGCTAAAAAGGCCCCTATACAAAATTGTGACTACGTGACAAATCTCCCCTTCCATAGGCTCCTGTCCCACACATATCACACCAAAGGAGAGTATACTCTCAGATCTACAGAGTATAATAAGATATCATCATCAGACACTCACTAAAAGTTTCAGTCAATCAGTGTCTAGTATGTATCCAACAGACTAAATATAGTCTAAATCAGTGTCAGTGAAAGAAATTTGAAAATATTTACAGTAATAAATTTAGACATGACAAGAAGTCACAATGCTCATCATGACGCTTCAATTCTATAAAACTGATCCAAACCTTGAACCAGTTGAATACTTTGATCCTCGTTAGTTTATAATCATGCAATAGCAGTGAAATATTACCTGATGTTTATATTTTGAAAACTCATGTGTTGTCTTTGTCGTAGGTCAGTACTCCACAATTACGACATTTTATAAAATTAAATATTGAGTAAAAACATAATTATCATTCATATTTCATATCATACCGCTACAAATCAACAAAAGGAGCCAAGTAAATGTTTCATACTTTAATAATAACGTGGAAAGTAAAAATGAATGCCGTAAACATGCGTGTTAAACCGGATATAGAAAGTCAGTCGTTTGAAAATAAAAATGGAAAATGTTTGTGTGGCAATTTCGGTCATACTTCTACAGTTTTTGACACTTTGTAGGTGCTTAGAGACTGAATTGCAATGCTCTAAAGATAGTCCATGTGATGGTGGATGGTAATATGCTAAATAAATATACTGTTCTTCTTTCTAGTGTAGATCTAAAATGCATATCCAAATTGAAATACAATTCATTCTCACCAGCGTACGTGTGTGTGAGCACATATGCAGAAGTCATTATGTGTGGAAACATTTGTCATTTAGTATTATAACTAATAAAAATTTAGGGCCCTTAAGACCTTAAACTGGGCCCAAATTTTGAAGAATTAGGCCCAAATGGCCCAAAAAATACCTAAAACCAAAAAGGCCCATTTTTGAGGCCCTTCAAAATTTTGGGGCCCAAAATCTAAAACAAATTGCTGGGCTTGCCAAGGGGGGGGGGTGGCGGGGGGTTATCCCGTTCCCGGACTATAGTCCTGCACTGAGCGCATTCATTTGCCTGTACGATTACAACTTGGGAGAATTATCTACGCCCCTTACACTTAAGATACCTACCTCAATGCATTATAGAACTCAAGATGTAACTTCTAATATATTGGAACCGCCGATTGTCTGGGTAAATCGGCAGAACGGGAACATTTTCTCTTTTTCATCGAGAGAGATTCCATCACTTTTCAAAATGGCGGTTGGATTTAAAAGGGGAATCCCCCGTTTGGCTGTCCCGGATGTAGCCCGGAAGTACCAATATGGAGGAATTTGATGGTTGAAATAAGTTAAATGTTACACGCAAATATTGCGATCAAAAACGAAAATGTCTTTGTTCTGCCGATAAACCCAGACAATTGTGGATTCAACTACACGAAAAGAATGATAAATTACCAAGGAATCTATTGAAGTAGGTATCTGAAGTGTAAGATGAGTAAAAAATTCTCCCATGTTGTAATCGCACAGGCAAAAGATTGAGATGTTCACAGGACCATAGTCCGGGAACGGGATAAGCGGGGGGCGGCTGGATCCCCCAGATCCACCACTGCTAATAACAGTAGAGAGGTGACATTTAACTTTGCATTGGTCTTATAATCATTATAGAGCTAGAAGTATATGTGACTGAATGTGATGAATATGATATCTGCTGTTGTAAAAATGATAGTTGGAAAGAATATATGGAAATAAAGTATAAACTTGTTCATGTCATTGCAGGTTTACAAATGAAGCTGATCTTATAGCACATCCTGGTCCTTGTAATGTAGACACTGTAGATTATTCACTTTCACAGACTGACTTCATGAGCATGTAAGTTATCCCGTGCCAGGACTATAGTCCTGAGAGCGTCTCAATCTTTTGCCTGTACGATTACAACATGGGAGAATTTACTACGCCTCTTACACTTAAGATACCTACTTCATAAAACTACTGATAAAATTATCATCACACATTTCAGCATACGTGATACTGGAAATATTCCACCCAGTAAAAAGTATCACCACTCAAGTTGAGCTTTCGTGATGATACAATTTTTACTTTCGTGGAATATTTCCTTATCACATGCTGAAAGGTGTGATAACTGATAGTATTGTTAAAAACAGGCTATAAAAATCATTGAAAAGGTGTAATATGTATCACAAGTCCTATGGTATACTATATTAGTCTTGCCCAAACATCTTTAAATTCTTTGCTATTAATTCAGAAAAGGTGACAATGTACCCCACTGTACACTTTGTTCTGCTCAGTAGTGGACCATGGTTTAAAATATGTGCTTGCAACAAATTCATTCATTCTTTACAGTGGTTTGACATTACAGTCTTTTAGATGGCTAACTTGGTTTGCTGCTATACATAGTATTTTCCTGTATACTAGTATTCATCCCAGACATGTGTTATATAATGAATTAAATGTGACCTGATTAATTTCAGATATGCCACCGAGAAACCTTTTGTGATACGTGGTGCTACACATAATGAGGTGAGAAACTGTTAACAGTATGTAGTTGTCTTAATACTATTATTGCTAAATAAAGAAATTCAAAGAATTTTGGCTCATCTATTGCAAAAGATATTTGTCAAAAAGTGGCTCACTTTTTTGGGACATCCAATATATAATGTACTGTATATATGAGCAGAGGAAATTATAACCCCAAAAGCCTGAATACTACAAGTGGTCAAAACAGAATATATATTGCTTGCTTGAAATATCAGTGATGATGATGTTGGCTTCAAGGATTCTTATAGAAATTAGCTAAACATCAAAAGGATGTGTCCGGGTGTATGCCCCTTTGGTCCCTCAGTCAAATGTATGTGAAATATGGTTTTTATTAACTTTTTCATGAGCTTTAATGCATAATTAACCCCCTGTTGAGGGTCAGAATAAGTATCTTAAACAAAAAAAGTCATTATCATAGAAAAAACACCAATGGCAACATGTATGACTTACAAAGAAGAAATAACTTAAGACCCATGAAGAATTTAAAAGAAAATCATATTTTTGAAATATACATTATTTAAGGATTACATTTTTTTCAAATTCTTGAATTTCCCGCCAATTTAATTTGAAGGGAAAAAACAAGATGGCTGCCATTTGATGTAAGAAATATCAGAGAAAAAGTTGCTTCACTTTAAGTTTTCACAATGAGCACAGTTTTCCGGTTTAGATTTTTTGACTGATTCTGACTCTTCATCACCAGGGTCATGTATAGAGATTATAAAATTGAAACCAAAATGTTGTGCTCAGCATGAATTTGACTGAAGTATGTGTAACTTCACCAACACAATTGAAGTCTCAAAACTGGAAGCTCAGTAACTTTGAGTGAGTATAATCCCTTGATTACCCAGATAAAAAACAATTCACTTATCCAGAAATACCATTCAATGTCTATACAAAGAAAGTAAGCTATGTTTTGGAGGATATGTTTCAAACCTTTTGTATAAATAATTCATTTAATATTTGCCATTAATTTTTTTCAATTCTGACAAAGTGATATGCACTGTCTTTGATGCCAAAATTCTTCATCAATTGAGATACAATTTGACGTTTTTGTACTCTCAGAAGAAGGATAAGATATTGAAGTTTAATAATATGTGTGACTGAGTTGGTCTTTCAGACATTACAATTTTCAATATTTTCTAAGTCGATACCCAGACTCATTCCCAGACTCATCCTTTAGCAGTCTAAGAAAGCTTGAAGACAGAGCAGCAATCATATTGGTTGAAAACATAGAAGATGCTGAAACGATACAACTTTTTATGGTTTTGTAATTAAAGATGCAACAATTACTGCAGGGGGGGGGGGCATTCAACGATCATCGACCAGTGTCAAAATATATTTAAGTTTGGATATTTCATCAAGACTAACAAATATTTTTATTATCTACAAAGAAAACCCCATGATGAACATTATTTCAGCTGATATTCCTCTTGAAATGTGGTTGATCTTAAAAATCTATAAGCAGGATTCCCTTTATAGAAGCTTTGAACTGAATTAACACTTCTTAATGCTGAAATTGATTATTTATCCAAACATTTTAAGAAAATAGAATGTCAAAGATGTTAAGCCAAATATTGACCTGATAGCTCAGAAAAGATAACAATTTTCGAATATTCTCTCTACAGTCCTCGTTGCCCCTTTAAATCTATATCAGGCTTGGAAATATCGGTAGCTACTTTCTGTAAAAAAAATTGAGAGAGTTGAAAGTGCTTTCTTTAATCTTTGAAATTTCACAAATATAAAAGATATTCTATTACACTATCACCACATGAAAGACCAACTTAAGTGTGTTTTACTAAGTCATTTCATGTAGTGTTGAATATAAGTGCCTCTGGGCACTTGTTTGTACTCTCCAAAACCCTTACAACCTATCAAAAATGAGTTCTTTCATGTAGTCTTTTCACTATAAAGCCTAATTTCTGAGTTGTCGTTCTAGCCTTATTAGGCTTATATGCTTTTGATAACTGTAGCCTCACCATCCATAAAGTCCCATTGCATTTTCAGTTCAATGTAGTCTTATATTCTATTGATCCATGCAGTAAATCATGACTTATTTCCTACTTTATGAGGTTTTCTTTCTCATCAATGCTATTTGATTTTCTCCCTATTGATGTCATATTTATATTCTCTTAAATTATGGGTTTACATGTATTTGTAGCATTTTAGAACAGTTTCAACAAAAGATATCATGTTAAAAGAATATGGCCAACGGAAAGTAATCCTTAGCTCAGCAAACACCCATTCTTACACTAAAGGTAAATACAATATTACATGTACTTTTTTGCTCTTTACTTGTATATGTAAACTTTTATTATTTTCTTTATTCAGTACTTTCGCCAATCATGCCAAAGAGAGAATTTGCTCAGATCTTACGGTTCAAGGAAGGTCCGACTCAACTCTGCCAGCATGTATTCACATCCACTATGTGCGTATAAGTTAAATCAATGACAAACATGAAAGCAATGATAAACGTGAAATATGAGTTTGGTGCAAATATAGGAAGAACAATTGATGATAATTTTATCATGTATCCCTTCATTACTGTTTTGTAGTGGAAGTGCCATTAGAAAAATATATCAATGAAATCATGAAACCACAAAAGATAGAACAACTTGGCAATGGTGAGACAATTATTATTCATTATCATTTGTATTTCTTTTATAATATAACCTTTCGTGTATCTTTTTCGACTAACTATTTGTATATCCCTTTCACATATTTTCCAGAGAAGCTCTTTTTGGATATCTACTACTGTGTACAATGAGGGGTTTTGATAGCTTTAACTTTCAAAGTACAAAATAAAGGATTATGAAGAATACATTCAATAGTCATTAGTAATAAACATGGCATATTCTGATTAATCTCTCCCTAATCATTCCCTTGAATCTACTAATATACTCCATTTTAAACTTCTGGAGACTTTCTACTGTCATATACCTGGTACATTCGTGTCGTCCAGAGATTTGGCATTTGGACACCATTTTCTTATGGCATACAGTGTACATATGTATATATACATGTATGTGTATATTCATCATGTCTTACTGTTGCTTTTCCTTTATGCATATCACTCAGTACATTCTCTGATATCCAATTATCCATCATGTTTTTCCAGACTTTCTATTGAATTTTCTTGGGAATATTATTGGTATTTATCAGCCACATATTTTCCAGAGACTCTTTATTGGTTTGGTGACAACAATTATACTGAATGGCAGGAGTTCTTTGATCAATATATCCAACCAAAGTATAAACTCCCTGACATGACTGGTGCACTCAGCTTTGGTATAGCAGGTATTTACATCTACTCTTTATTACTGTTAGTGCATATTCACATTTTATAAATTGATCCAAACACTGAAATCTTATCAAAATGAATTTTCAGTCTGATTACATGTTTTATAAAATGCAACCACTTTCCAATCATATTCAAAATCACGTGTTCCCTCAATATGGCTGCTAAATTTTAAATAGCTGCAATTTTTACTAACAATTTGACATTTTGAGGTACAGCCTGATTATAACGTGCATAATACTAGCTATTATATTTTGTACCAGATAGAGATTAGTTTGTGTTTATTTAAACCTCATATGTTTATTCCTCACAATATTGTATGAGTGTACGTTTATATTCCACTGCAGGTGCTGGGACTGGTGTACCATTCCACTTCCACGGCCCGGGCTTTGGGGAGGTGATATATGGAAGGAAGGTGAGTTGTCATTAATGTTTAAGTCTCTAAGGTATTATTATATGGGATATGGAGTCTTATAATAGGTAAGATAAATGTACAATATCAGATAGGAGTCAAGTGGTGTCTAACTCTTCTTGTCTTTTTGTCACTTTTCTTATAAGGCCATAAGAAGTAGATTCTTTGTTTTGCGTCCTGGCAAAATCCGAATCATGCAAGGGTACAAGGAAAACAAACACAAACTCAAGAAAAAACACAAACTTGTTTGCTGAGAAATGTATACATTTTATGGGCATAAAAAGGGATGGCATACCAATTTGCAGTGATTACAAACACATATCTATACATTTTATACCATATATTTAAACATAGCTATTATGCAAGGGTAAAAAAAAAGAAAATACACAATGTATGCCAAACTAATTAATAACACTGATTGAACGAAATGTGATTGTACTTTCAGACCCTTGTAATTGCTATTTGGATGTGTTTGTTTTTTCTGATTTACTCAAAATTGTGCAAGCAAGGTATGAAATCCTTGAACTAATTAGTTTTTGGACATTCTGGTAAAATGTTAAGATGACCATTTGGGATTTTCGTTTTCCACTCTAATATTTTGTTTGTAGTCTTCTCTACAGGTTTCAAGCCAAACCATTTATTGAGTTGATCTGGAATTTAAAGGACGTTCCTTGGTATAAAATCCTAGAACTGACTATTTATTGTGCATGCTGGGTAAAATTAAAGGTGGAAATTTCAGTCATAAATGCTTTTTGTGTTTTTCAAGGCAAACTGATAAATGGATTTGAAATTTTCCTGAATGAGATGTCATTTCTTGCCTCTCCAACGTTAAGCATAATCTATCCTTTCTTTTAATGAAATTCCCCCAGATTTTACCAATTTAAATATCTTCTTTTTTATTTTTGATTTCTATAGCAACTATTTCTAATTAAATATTTCTGTTATACAAAAAAAATTCTAAATTAAATAGTCCTTGTGTCTTGCACATTCTGTGAGAATTTCATTGGAATATAAAAAAAAAGATTAGAGAGGCATTTTGAGGATTTCTTGATCACCTTTTGTTATTGGGCATTTTAATCATAGTTGTATGCTTATATTTTAGAGATGGTTTCTGTATCCCCCTGACCAGAAGCCAGAATTTCACCCCAACAGGACTACACTCCACTGGCTCATGGAGGACTACCCCAAACTTATAGAATATACTAAACCTCTAGAATGTACACTCAATGTTGGTGATGTAAGTACATGCTTCTCTCTAACTGTCTGAAATCATTTGCCATAACCTTAGGTACATCAGCTTTTCAAGTTTCAAAACTCACAACTGCTTGAATCACCAATGGCAACTATTGATTCTTGGCAATGGACTTGGAAAGACTGGTTTCCTATTGGTTGGCCATTGGCCTATCAACTTAATGCCAATATGTTTATTTGTGGTAATGTTTTAACCTTAGTAAAACCCTAAGAGAACAATTTTTACATTTTTATGATAATCCAAATTCACTGAAAATTTATTCATAGTAACCATGGGCTTTCAATTATCGTTGGCAAGGTACAAAAATATGAAAAAGATCAAGTAGATGTAATGTAAGTACTAAGAAATTAAAGATAGCATATCATAATATCTCATATCGGAGCAACGCAATGAGAACTTCAAATTGTTTGTACAAAACAATGAGAAGCGATTTGTCAAGTAATTTCTCAGCAATAGATAAGCCAAATCTCTGAAAACTTTACCTGAGGCACCTTAGGGTATCTTCTGCTAGTGCCATGAATATATAAGAGATTGGTCTCATATTATGTGTGTATTTTAGAATTATAGACAGTACTGTATGTCAAAATAACCAATATCAATGTAAAAGTCACTTATTAATCCATTTCCAAGCAAAAATGACATTTCCATATTTATTCTTACAATATCACCTCCAATGAATTTTGAGAATGAATTGGATTTTGGATATTTTGGATGAATGAAAAGAATTTTTCAGACATCTGTCTCATCCCATCGAACGCAGTGAATTCCGAGCACGAAGATGAAAGCTTATACAAACACTAATTTTGACATACTATTTTGAAGTTCTTTGTATTTGATATGTATTTGATCTTTTTTATATTTTTACAACTTGCTAATAATACTTTAAGGCTACTTTGTACGAATATTCAGTGAATTGGGTTAATCAGTTGCAGAGTTAATACTTGCCAAAAATGGCTCATTTTTTGGGGACACCCGATATATTTTTCAATGTAGACATTTTTGCATCAATAACTTGTATATTTGATTGGATTAAGAGAAAATGGATTAGGATTACAACAGAAGAGATTGCCTCCAACCTTATACATTCTCTGTTCGTCCTCCACGTCATGCTATTTTTATTAAGTATTTTGTTCCCTTCATTCCAGATAATATATTTTCCTGACCGCTGGTGGCATGGAACTCTAAACATAGACACAAGTGTATTCATGTCAACATTCCTGGGCTAAAACATGGAACTATGAACATACATGTATACAAACGTATGCATGGCAACATTTCTGGAATAATACATGAACTTACAGATCTGATCTGAACATAGAATTTGTATCTGTGGCAATATTACTGGGAAAGTGCTTGCTACACAGCTGCTTTTGCTCAAAGTGCATTTTAACTCCAAAATTATTTATGATTGTAAAGTCACCAATATGATGCAGGACCCATTAAATCGCGAGTAAGTTCCCGATAAAATCGTGAGCATATACACAATTCTTTGTGTCATCTGAAAAAATGGATAAGGGCAAAAACACTTATTTACATGTATATTTATTTGAGTTGTGTGCAGTTTGGAGTTGCTTGATCATTACTTTAACCCAATATGTTAAATCCAGTAAAAAAGAATCATTTTCAATGTCATATTATAATGTACCAGTTTTGACTGCTTTGAGTATTGTTGATTCTCGCTATCACAGAACAGTAATGACATGTCTTTTTACCCTTTTTATCCATTTTCCCAGGTGATTCAAAGAATCGCTCATTAGCTCATAATTTCATCGGGAACTTCCTTGCGATTGAATGGGTCCTGGATCATGTGTTTTCATATCTTTTTTATGATTGTTGTAAACTGTTGAATCTGTAATGATTAGGAAGTCTTCTAGGAAATATTGTATTTAGATTAGCGAGTATTAGCAAAACAGGCACTTTTACAAAAGCTAAATGTGCAATAAGAGCCAAATATATGTACCTACATGTATATATTTTACAATGTAAGATAAAAGGTATGGTCTTTGAGTATTACTGGATTCAGTTTGATCTGCACAGCCTATATATAATATCAGTCATCTGGGGCTACTACATTGAAATAGAAGTTCATGAATCTTTAGTCTGATTTAGACAAGGGATTCCTTTTCTGTAAGTGTTTTTAGGTCTACTCTTATGGACTTGTGCCATTCAGCTGTTGCCATTTGTGTTACATTTCATTTTCACTCTTTTGAGGGGTATATCAACATTTCAATGGTCAGTTTTATTAGATGAGGTGCCACTGTACATATAATACAGACTTATATCACCAGTTTAAAGGATTCTTCATGTTTTTCATGGGGAGGCAAGATAATTTAGTCTAGGTTTCAAATGTAATTGGTTAAATCAAATGACATCTTTAAAAAATATATGAAAATTTGATTGGGTGCATAATTGATGAACCTGTGTGGTGAACTACTATCAACAAAACTTTACCTCAAAGTTCCTTCCACTGGGATTTCTTTTGATATTCTTCCATGATTTTTGAAATAATCCAAATCAAGTATTGAAAATATCAGTGGGGGAGTAAAAACAGACTGATTTCTCCAGATTCTTTTGCCCACCAAATTTTCTTTTTGAGACACTGCCATGGGAGTTTGGCCATAACTTTTACAAAGAATTAGAGGAAAAGTAGATATATTTTAAGTGCCAACAAGACTCATAAGTCTGTAAGTACAATGTTTATGGATTTTAATAAGTTTAGATAGCCAATGATTTTAAGCATGTAATCTTGTTTGATTGATGTATTAAAATAAAAAATATATAGAACTAGTCATACTTGACATGCTTGATATTGTCTTATCTGCAATCCCCCAACCATGTTGTTTTCAGACATAAAATACAAGAAAATAATAAACATGTAACAATAATAAAAAATATTTAGTTGTATTATTTTATTATAAAATATCACAATGTACATGTTTTACATGATTACAAGGTGACAGAAAGCACTTGTAGAATCAGAGAGGGAGAGAAAATTACAAATATTGCCAAAAATGATCTATTATTCAAATTCAATATCCTTGTCATGCCTGTTTCCAAAAATCACAAAACTTCACGATTTATTCAAGAAAAAGTGGATTTTAAGATTTCTGTCCACATAAATGCTTGAGAGGGACAGCCTGTGTATTTCAAGTGATAGAACAGGCTGTGGATCACACAGTGGAAGGCCCTGTTGATTTCTCACGTTTGATTATCAACTCGCTACATTACTACATCTCTGACTCAAACTTTAAACAAATTGGCATGTGATATACAATAGTATAGTGAAATAGGTTTGTTACAGTATTTCAATTCTAAATATTTAAGTCATCAATATGCAGGATTTTAATTGAATAGCTGAAGCAACTTTATTGACAGTTCAGTGACATGAAGCTCAAAAGGAATGTAGGAAAATCTTTACCAAGACAAATTATTTGAATCAATTGATTCTTGGCTTATAGTATTATCTCATAAATCTTAATTTGGAAAATTTTTAAATGTCTTGGTGGAATTAACTTAATACCTGAACTGTAAATGTTGTCTGTCACCACTGGACTTTCTTTTTGCCATTTTCACTTGGAGTGTATGTGAGATCAAGCACCTCATAAGTTTAATGATTATCCTTTTAGGACTCCCTTTTCCTTTTTTCTGCAAGTGAGACAGGCCACATTTACCAAAGTCTTGTATTCATTTTTGTGACATAACTGCAGACAGGTTGCCAGTATTTAAGTATGGTCTCTAACCCTAGTTTTTTATTTAGCTGGGATATTAGGTTTTTAGATATCAATGAGGGTACTAAGCCCCTAAAATATTATAAGTTATTTGGCTAAAACTTCTGTACCACTAATGCTCATTTCACCAAGAGAGATCTTTTCACTGGTGAGTGGATGGGACATAATGAAACTCCCAAACCTAATACAATGTATCTCAGATGAGTAATAAATCAGAACTAGGGGCAACATTACATCTAGCATGAAAACTTCACTTTGATTTTTTTCTTTTGGGCAAATTATGAGCATAACCTTGTTAACACTATATGAAGTTATAGGGGTTATACTAATCCTTCAAATTTTCAGAAAAATTCATATTTCATCCACCAAGGGAGTCCAGGGAGAGATACATAAAGAGAATTGTTCTTACACGTTTTAATATTGCTCATCTGACTGTGTGCAGTAATAACATCATTTTACAGGGTGTCAAAAAACAATGGCATCCCCTCTACAGCAAAAACTCCTTCATGTTATATGGTGTGCATATCTCATTTGAAGGATGATTTAATTCCGGGGTTACCTGGGAGATTTCACTTAATAAAACTATATATTGAGAAAGCTACATAGTTACAAAGTTTGCTACTTCAGTACTTTGTTTGTTACTTTATTATTGGTTAAGGGTCAAATCTTGGAAATGACGAATATGTAGGAAATAGCCCAGATCTCAAATGCACTGAACATAAAGGGTTCAATTGTTAAATACAGGGTACAGGGATTGATTGACAGATATCCTCTTGGAAACAGATACAGTAAGGATGTAATTGCTAAAAATGTGAGCAAAGTGCTTGAAGGATAATGCAATGCTACACCTTTATTTGAATCTTTATTGAAATCATATCCATCCAGATAAGCTGCTGTTCGAGCAGCAAGTGGTGACAATTCCAACTACTAACAATCAGCTGTAAATCTGTAAGATTATATGATACAAAGCTGAAATTGCTCAGGTAACTCCAGAATTGAATTGTCTTTAAAATGAGATATGACAAACAATGTAACATTAAGTACTTCCCAGTTCCCACATATAGAGGCCCTACAGCAAACTTCCCAGGGCCTAGATTGGTTCTGGAATATCACAATGATATTACTGTGACATAAATAAAGCTTGGATAACTACACTCAGCTATATTGTCAGACTGCCTCAGCCTTGGGCCATGAAATGTCCATAATAGTTTTTAGTGACATCTATCATTAGATCTTGTGTACATTCTGGCAATTCTTGACTAAACAGGCCTGAAAATCAGAAATAAATTAGAAAATCCAGGACAATATGTGACAAGTTTTTCAAGCTAATGGGAAACCTTTGGCTTGGAATAAAACACAAGAACTGACTATAGACTGTATAAACCTAAGTATTGAAATATAGAACAGTAGTTTTTCTAAAATTAATTGTCATTAATATTAATCTAAGGTACTGTATTCTAGTTTTAAGGTTATCCAGTTTATGTAAAACATAATTCAACTCAACTCATTGCAAGGACATACCTGGTGAGCCTGAGAATAGGGTAAAAGGTGGCACCACTGTCTCAGGGGGAAGCACAGTGTTATCTGCTATTGCACAACAATCCTTCAGGACACATCTGCGACCCTGCAACCATAGCTTAAATTAAAATAAAAATAGTACCATAGTTACACAACTCAAATTGAGAGGTAGTTAATTTCTTAGTTGAAAAAAACTTTGAAAAGTGCTGTTCAATTTGATTCAATGATAATTTTCCAAAAACTTCCAAACCATGTTGTTGGCTCATATATAATCTTTCCAACTCACTGTACAATTTCAGCAAAACTGAGTGAATATGTTTGGAGACTTTGGCAACTTATGAGATGGCACTTATGCCATAACTATGGGCTAATTGAGAACTAAGAACTAGACATACTACACCCCCAAAATGCAATCTGATTTTCGACGCCGTTTCGGTGCCAAATTTCGGTGCCGTTTCGGCACCAAATGGACTGACTAGTCCGGTAGCAAATTTTGGTGTCGAAAGGTTTCGGTGCCGGAACGGTGTCGAAACGGTGCCGGAACGGTGCCGAATTTGTTCGATGCCGAAACGGTGTCGAATTATATTGGCTGTGTACCTATGAATGCAGTATGTATATTAGTCAACTTACAATTATACAGTTCTTGCCTATGTGTACATATGAGCCAACTTGTGCTGCATTGATGACTGAGCCCTCTCCTATGAAGACATGGTCCCCTATTGACAGGGGGAAGAATGCAACTCTGGAAATACAGAGAAAGTACACTTAATTGAGTACACATAATGATAGCAGGGCTCTCGCCAGGCTTTTAGACTGTGGCGCAGCACCACACTCTATTTAGCTCCCTCCACACCCTATTGGCAAATCATGACTGTTTCCACAGTCTAAACTTGACTGAATATACAATAATAGCATGTAAAAAGAATAAAACATATAAATATGATTTATCACGATTGAACGGTTATTCTGAAAATGTTAGCACCACACCCTAAATATTTCCTGGTGAGAGCCCTGGATAGTATAATAACTTCATAAACAACTAGTTTCACTTTTATTAGTTTTATTTAATATCATTCTAAGTTTACAGAAATGGAAATTGCCAAATGTGCTCAAAATTCAATTTTCATGATTTTCCTCATCTTCCCTTGGCAGCAAAATGACTCAACCGAGTGTGATTTTCCAATCCTGATATTATTGCTGAATCCCAAATTACTTTAATCTCATGAAGGACAATTCCCTACATGTGTTATAAAACCTATTAATAGAACCATCAAAGCTATTGTTTTTAAGCCTACTTGAAAAGATCAAATGGAATATTATAAATCAAATAAATAAATATCTTACCCTTTGCTAAACTTTTTAAATGGTGGTCTAATGACAGCTTTCGAAGTTATAACACAATGTCTTCCTATTCGTACATTGGCTAGGTCACCTCTAATAATACAGTCCTTCATTATAATTGTCTGAAATGCATTATAAATGAAACCATCAAAATTATTATTTTTGCAGAATGCAATATCTGTTTTTCATACCTATCACCATGACATCTCATTTCAAAATTCTCTGTCATTTTAGGACCCTTTTGGGCTGAATGAACAGATCTGTTTCCCTGACATTGCCTGTCCTCTCCAGGTCTAAGTTGACATTGGAATTTTGTTATATCATGGGGTAAGGTGACAAAAGCAGGCCCGTAGCCAGGGGGGGGGGGGGTTCGATGGGTTCGAGCGACCCCCCCCCTGGCCAAAAATCCTTTCAAAATCATGCAGTTTTTCAGCATTCTGAGCACATTTTAAGTGATTTAGGTCATTTTTGGACCAAAATTGTCAAAATAGAACCCCCCTGGAAATTTTCAAAAAGTAAACCCCCCTTGGCAAATCCTGGCTACAGGTCTGAATAGCTAACATACAGCAAGAAGTTTACACCTGTGCATGTGGAAATACATTTCCACATCAAAATAGTATTCCACTTGGGAAGTGTTTCACTTGTAGATCTAGTTTTATTAAACACAGTTTAGATTTAGCTAATGGGCAATGGGACCTAGAAATATTCCACATACTAGTATATAGGAGTTCCATTTACAAAGATGTTTCACTTTCCAGACTTTAGTGAATATAAAATCGTACTTACCTTTCCATTTAGGACAATGTTTTGACTTCCACATAGTACTGACTGCCTGCTTACTTTATTTCCGGAAGCCTTCAAGTAAAAACATGAATGAATTAATTTACATTTACAGGGGATAGAAACGCGTCCTCCATTATTTTCATTTGGTGACTTTCATGGTGACATCGGTAGATTTACCGAATCTATCAAAATTGAATTATCTTTGATAAAATACTGGTTAAGACTTATAAAACTACCAGAATCTAATATTTTAAATCAAGCTTATTTATATGGTCAAGAAAAACATGAATTAGGGTTTAAATCATGGTCTGGAAAAGTTTATGATATTCTTCACAAATGTGAACTAACAGAGTATTGGGATGACCAAAGTCAAAATACAGACAACTTAGTAAACTTGGTTGACAAGAAACTAAAGAATGCATTTATAAATAATTGGAGAAATGATATTTTACAATATCCTATATTAAGAACATATAAGCTAGAGGTGTCAAGTACTAACCGGTTAACCGGTTAACCGCCAATAATGCCTTGACCGGTCTGTGTTTTTATGGGTGGTTAGTTGACCGTGTATAATACAGTTATTTCCCGCGCTTATATTGCATGCTAATCTGTTTGGTTTTAAAGTGTCAGTTTCACGTAAGCTACTCATACATGTCATAAGTCCTTACTCCTTACAAACATCCAATCAGCAACTTTAATCCCTGCCACATTGCTTTCTCGCGCTCACTTTGCATGTTAATCTGTTTGTTTTTCAAGCGTCAGTTTCATGTGAGCTACTCATACATGTGATAGGTCCGATAACTCCTTACATACATCCAATCAGCAACTTTAATCCCACCACATTGCTTTCCCGTGCTTACTTTGCATGTTAATATGTTTGTTTTTCAAGTGTCAGCCATATGTAATCAACTCATAGGCCAGATAATTCCTTACAAACATATAAACATCCAATGAGCATCTACATGTATAATCCCTAAAATTTATTCTATTTAATAATTTTACATATTGCAAAACAATTTCATAAATAAAGTTGATGCATTTTTTAATTCGTCAGTTTTGTTATTATTGTTGTCTATCAACGTCGCCAAAATGTCAAAGGTCAATGCCTCGCTTTGGTAGTGAGAAAATTAAAATTAAAATAAACACTAATCAGCTGCAATTCTCGTTGTTATGGTGCGTTCGTGGAGAATCCAAGGATAAACCAGTGTGGTAATTAGTAATTCAGAGGTACCGGTAGTCAGGTAGTGTATGAATAGAATAGAGTAAAGCTTGACGAACGTAAAAAATAAACGCCGATATATTATTTTTCCAATTTTTTTCAACTTTCAAGATCGAAGATGAAGATTTCATTTTAAATTATCAGTTCAAATTTCCCGCCGGTTAACCGACTTTAACCAGTAAAAACACCCGGTTAACCGGTTAATGCTCAAGCAGTTAATTGACACCACTAATATAAGCTATTTAAGAAAGATTTTGAATTAGAACCATATTTGAAACTAGATAATAAAAAATATAGATTAGCAATAGGTAGATTTAGGTTAAGTTCACATCGGCTAAAAATGGAATCTGGAAGACACATAAAACCCAAACCTAAACCAGTTAATGAAAGGTTATGTAATATATTATTATGTAAATGTGTGGAGGATGAATTTCATTTCATCATAAATTGTACAAAGCATTCTCAACACAGGCAAATATTTTTCAGTAAAATTCCTGAAATATATATTACAAACATTTGACTTGAATAGTAACGATTTATTTATAAATATAATTTCTAATGATAATATCATCTTCCAACGACATCTTGGTAAATTTATACACCATTCATTTAACAATTTAGAATAATCAGCAAAATTTGTGCATCACACTTTAAAATATTTTGCCTTTCTTGTATGCTTTCTGTAAATATATCAAATCATGTATATTTTTATTAAGATGTAGTTTTAGTAAGTAGTTTAGTAGTAAGTAGATAGTAGTTTTAGTGAGTAGTTTATGACTAATGTAATTATGTTATGATACAATATGTCAATAAAAGTTATATATATCTGGTACAACTGGAAATACTGGACACAGACCCCCATTTTTGATCCAGAGAGAGGTAGGTGTAATTTTACACGGTAGTCTGTGATCATTTTACAGTGTGTCCTTACCTAAAATCAGGCTCATCAGATTCCCAGTACATTGGGGAACATCCAATTCTTATAAAATGACAGCTATCCATCTAGTTTTTCTGTGATGTGGGGTTAAGCACAGAAATATTTTGATTCTTTTCAGGAAATACATGAATCGAGTAATATTTCTTTTTATTTACCATTTCATTGACAAGTTATGCAATTTTCTTGTGTATGAACTAACAAAACAGCCTCCAATCTGCTTATTTTAGCTTCAAACTGATCAATTAAAGAAAAATGACGAAATTTTAGAAATACTGGACGAAATAAAAAATGTACTGGACGTAAGCCCATTTTCGATCATTTCAAAGCAAAAATTTGCCGACTGGAAGCTTTCTTATATCATACACAAAAAAATTGCATATCTTGTCAAGGAAGTAAAAAAATCTGATCAAAAATTGAGGTCTGCGGAGTACCTCGGTTTGTACGAAATGAAAATACTGGACGCGTTTCTACCCCCTGATTTAGTATGAGTGAAATATGGGTATCCACAATAAAGCAAGTGTGTCATTTCATGGCCTGTTAGTTACTAACAAGTCAATACGTGTGTCAAGCTTTGAACTGGTTCATGTCTGTTTTTGACCAAAAAGGAAATGGTAATAGAGTGCAGTTTCAAAATAAAGTTTCACTAAAGTGCAACCAGCTAATGTACATAGAACTTTCCTGTATAAAGTATGAGGCTGCACAGTGCACATGACCTCTACAATTCTTTTAAATGCGTGTGATTTTTTCCGAATATAATATCACCCCATGCACACAGATCACCTAAAATTACATTTGTATGATGTGAGATATGATATTCACCAGGAAACTTGATATAATTTATCACCCTTGGAGCAAATTCATTTTTTACTGCTTAATAAATGGTGAATGACAGCCAAATTAAGTTCTTTTAATATGAGAATAACGCCATTTGAAAAGTGATGGTTATGATTGAAATAACGATGTAAAGATAAAACCGAAATGAAATATTTGTAGATTTCTTTGAAAAACTAAGAAATATACATCACATATTGAAAAAGTAAGTTGCTTTCTAGGCTAGGGGAGATCAGTCAAACTTTGTTATATGGGGTTACTTCATCATGGAGCTATTTTGACCATGGGGTTATTTCGACCATACGCCCCATAGGTCGAAGTTAGACAGAACTGCCCTAGGGCAAAGAGGTGTAACGTCCATTTTGGGGTAACTTCGACATGTGGGATAAACATATATTTGTTTATTTGATCTAATTTTCGATCTAGAGGGAAGCCAGTTTTTTGCTCGCATTGATCGAGATCTCGCAAGATTTAAATTTTTTCCAGGAATCAAACATGGCGGAAAGCGGAAATTCTAAGTGTCGAAGTATGTGCTTTCAATTAGAAGGGTATGCAACTCTGTAATAATATGAGACCTTAAAAATGATCAATGCCATGCTTCACTTTTATGGTAATATTTCAAAAAGTATTAGATAAATGTATATGTTTTAGCAAGGGAAAGATCAATACCCGGTGATTTCAACGGGAAGTGGCGTTTCGTTCAGTGGATGAGCTGCGCACGCACGCATAAATGTGATTATCCAATATAATTAGGGGAGGGATATTTGAAACAGTTTTTGGTCTCAGGCACGACCCAGGGCTGTTGTCTTAAGGACATTTCGTTGAAAATAAGCCATTCGGCTAATAATTGGTAAGAGTTTGCGATCTTATAATGTATAACTGTTACTCAGACACATATTTTGACACGATTCTGGTTGAAATAAGCTTTGAACCGAGAGATATTCACGATTGATATGCACATTTTTGATTGTGCCATTGCTTTTCCATTGCTCAATCCATGTATTGATAGAAGTAACATTAATAATGCAGATTGGTTTACTTTCAATACATGGCAGACACTACATATCGGTCTATTAAATACCAGTTTGTGCCTTAAATAGTTTTATATTTCCATCCACGGCCTGGAGCCTGGGTGTGTTTGTCTCTTGTGTTTGTGCTTGTGCATGGACTTCTAATCACTAGCAGAATTTAACATGATGCAAACTCGACATTATAACTCATGCTGTAACATTTTGACTTTGCTGGAAAACAATAGGAATTATTTTTCTTGCCAATCAATCATGAATCACAATCAAAATTTCACTATGATCAATCAGGCAATGGTCCAAATCAAGTTATAACATTATATGATATTCAGCAAGAAGTCCGGTAGAAATACAGAATATTTAAACATCAAAGCTGAAAGTTAGCTAATCTGTCAATTTTCTGTCTGCAAAAGAGCGTTTACATTTGACACAATAACAGACTGAGTCTTTGAAATCTAGGATTCCCCAGGAAAATATGACGTCATACTAATTAGCATAAGGATTTCCCTATTGGTATGGGTCGAGCCTTGTTCGAAAACACAATCCATAAATACATGCTAATTTCTAAGGAGATAGGAAGTGTATAACGTGTTTATCGATTTTGTTCAAAGATTTAATCAATTATCAAATTGTTTAAGTGGATAAAGTGGTAACACTTGCTTCAATTCATAGCGTAATCGACGGATAGAAACTGACCGAATTCCCGATATCCTACCCTGTATTACTGTAGGCTATAAGCACAGTGACCTACAGAGGGCGCTATCACAAACAAGTACTGCACGAACCGATAAATTCCCGGGTATTGTAACGCCCTTGGTTTTAGTATTATTTTGAATAAAAATCAATTTTCAATAGGATTAAAGCATAAAATATATTCAATCTCATGTAAAAGTAAACAAAAAAGACCAATAAGAATAAGAGGTATCAAGATGTTCTCTTCGAGTGTTGCATTGTGGGTAATTATTCAAGAACACATTCCAATAAAAACATAATTTGTGGGAGAATGTTCCCTTTCTGTATTGTCATAATTATGATGAAAATCATTTTTTATTAAATTATCAACATATATGTAGATAATCATGTTTTTATTTTTGAGATATTTCTTTAAATCATCTATAAAAAGTACAAAATAAGATTTTCTTGGAATCTCCAATTTTATGCAATCTTATGCATGAAATATGGGAAGTTGTCTGCCCTTCTAGTTGAAAGCCCATAGTCGAAGTGACCCAGTCTCTTGTGTCGACATTACCCATCACATTGATGTTACACCCCTTTGCCCTACCTTTAGGCTAATAATAATGACTAAGTATGACTGACCGCCCAGCTTGCTTCCTTCCTAAATTCCTGTCAAGAAGTGAATTCACTCTATATATCTAAAGGATAGGGTTGCATCACACATCTATCTATAATCTAATATAAGAATTAGGGCGTCTAACTGAATAATGAATAACCTTGAGCAAGTAGGATCTGTGACCAGGGGTCACAACCTACGCTACCTTGTCCCATCCTCAAGAGTAGATTTACATCTTTACTCATTTTCCCTGCAACCATACGATTATGGAACCTTCTTCCAGCAAATGTAGGCCATGATCGACTCCCTGGACATTTTTTAGAAGGAGGCAGGAAAGGTGATGCTTTTGTATTAGTGATGACGATTTCAAAACGATTTTAGAAATTTTAATTCACATTCACACTTCAATTGTATATCATCGCACGAAAGGACACATAAATATCCTCAAGAGGAGTCTGTACTACACTCTGTTAAGCATGATAAAAGGCAAGAAGTTTAGTTAGAAATAAAAGAGTTATCTCATGAATGGGACCCTTACATAGCTCCTAAAAGGTAGAAGACACTAAATGATGTAACACTATAAGCTGAATTTTGTCCACATAGAGCATGTGCACAATACTAAAGACATGTAAAATTGAACTGTCAAAAGAACTGAAATATACTTACCAGCTCGCCTCTTCCGGAAGTTATGATACGTTATGGTGTAACTACGGTAATTAATTTTAAAATATTGAAAAAATCACAAAATACAAGTTCTGAGGTATATATCGCCATTCTTAAGCGAATTAGCCCATACTATGACTATATATTCGCATACCCATATACAGATATATATAAACTTCATCTTCACAATAAATTGAGCTTCTTTCAAATTTCCATTTTTTGAGATAAGTGCCATTTTCTTACAATTCAAGCCGTAAAAATAGTTGGAAAGTGCTTCCCAGTTGAGGTTAATGGCTTTTATACTTACATTAATGTATGGAGCACTTAAAATGTACTTAGAATCGTATAAATAGCTCTATTCTGTGAGATTTATTTTTGTTTTTATTTTTACATTTTTCTCACCTCATAATTGAAGAGCTCCGCTGTTGATTTACATTCAGTTACACGTATTTCCTTGAAAATTCGCCATGATTGGAACAAATGATGGTTGGTTTATGTTTTATTCATTTAGTTTGTATTTGAATCTAGCTACTTAAACACAAAACATGTCTTCGTGTTATGCTAAAGAGCAAAGATCGCGAATTCTAGGTGAAGCCAATTATTTTGCACAAGTCATATCCTGATTGCACCATAGTTACTTTGTACTAATCTCATCCTGATTGCATCAGCCAATTCACGTGATTTACAGTTTACACATGGTTTCAATATACATGTTATACTACTTCCGGGTAGGGTAGTGTTTTTTATACTTTAAAAACGAAGCCATTTCGATCAGTTTTTATAATCTTTGGTAGAACTGAGAGGTATTACAATACATATTTAAATTAATACACATGAGTGTATTTGATGAACTCTCAAAAAATAAAACCCACAATAATATCTTTTTTATTCACAGTTTCATGTCATTGTTTCTAACAAGTCGCCTCTTTCTCTCTTTTCTTTATTTTTGTCAACAGTCAAAATCGGAATTTAAAACTTGGTTTCTTTACAAGCTCTGCTTCTGTAAATACTAAATAACATGAAAAATGTTAAACCTTATATCCTACACTTATTTGATATGAAATAGGCGATCATTGATATCATTTTTGTGCTGTTAAGTGTGGATCTTTTAAATTTTTAGTCAAACTTGATCGCTGATCTCTGTCGATGTGACGTCACGCATTAAGTATGCACGCATTGGCAGTACAATACATAAGGCAATATGGCGTCTTAGTCCTATACATGAGCCAGAATGGAGGTCTGCAAGTTGAAATGAATATGTTTGTTTATGCATCAATCGATCACACATATAATCCAGACAATCTTTCAAATCATATACTTAACATTGTAATGGATTTATTTATTTTGTGAGCTAACGTTCCCTTAATTTTCATTGGTGAAGCAATGATTTTACCTAAAATGAGTCCCTGTCTTTGCATAGTGATATTTAAAAATCGAGAAGCAAAACCTATGTTGAATATACTGTGTATTGATGAAGTTTATATAGCCTAGGGGAACTCAAAAATATTGTTATTATATCGGCAAATTCGCTTGAAAATGGTTGTACACCCTAGAAATTGAATGTTGTTGATTTTTTCAATATTTTAAAATTAATTACCGTAGTTACACCATAACGTATCATAACTTCCGGTAGAGTCGAGCTGGTGAGTAATTTCTATTATTTTGACAGTTCAATTTTACATGTCTTTAATATTGTGCACATGCTCTATGTGGACAAAATTCAGCTTATAGTGTTACACCATTTAGTGTCTTCTACCTTTTAGGAGCCATGTAAGGGTCCCATTCATTAGATAACTCTTTTATTTCTAACTAAACTTCTTGCCTTTTATCATGCTTAACAGAGTGTATAGAAGAAGAAGAATGAAGATTGATGGTGCTCACTGTGGGTTGCATTGGACGATCTTCATGTAACTTTGGTTCAAATTATATCAATATAACATTGAGTTTCCTTACCGTCTCTATGTAATCAGGTTTATTGTAAAATAAATTTTCCTGTTCCATTTTTCTGAATTTCGTTCTACAGATGGCGCAGCAGTATATATTCCTAGCGGGAATATTTCGAACTAAAATGCTGCATTCTGGGATTGCCACGTTGACATCTCTGCGCATGTCAGCTCGTATCGGATACTTCCGGTTTTTAAAATCACAAAAATTTTGGGCGTTCTATCGCAATATATGCGATATTATATGGAATTAGAATAAACAATTGGAAATGAATTTAATATAAAACTCGATGTATCTTTGGAAAGGCTCACTTTTTACCAGGATATCATAACTTGACTATCAACCGAAATTTAGTGGACCCGATGAAAAATGGCGTCTCAACAAAATTCAACAAATTCTCCCTTTCCATCTTCTAGGCCAATGGGACTACCCCAAGGCAGTAGTATGCCACCAGGAATGGCTCAAACAATGCCAGGTATGTGTACTATTGAGAGGGGAATTTACCACAGATTTATTGTCAGTTCCCGTGTCATATCATATCTGATAGCCTATATCATCTGGGAAATTTATTTGTTTCATTCAACCCAGACTTGAAGAAAGACTGATTCAACAGAGTAATCCTATCATACCTCAATAAATGTTGGACTAATTTGTCTTTTGAAACTTTGGCCAAACTAGCACACGATTCTAAGCTATCCTAAATTCCTTATAAAATTTCATAAAACAGATGATGATCCAATCATACAGCATACCATGGGTCATGAGCATACCAGTATGCATGCCGGAGCAAATCAGCTCTTTTCTCTCATAGGGAAGTACATTCTCTCATATCAATTCAAGAGTTTTTTTGTGATTGAGAGAAAATACTCGAGGAGATGAAAAGAATGGTCAAGGAATAGATACAGTGATAGATGCAGTCCATATTAGTAAATTTAAAATTTAGATATACATGTACATGTATGTACTTTGGTCAAATTAATTTGATGAATGACAAAGTGATGATAAGTTGTAATGATTTGAGTCAGCAGAAGATTGGTATGATAAGTTAAGATATTTTCCCATATTGGAATTTTGACTGGGACTAGAATATGTTGAACTTGAAATCTATAAAGGGATATAAAAAATGTAATAATCAAGAGGAAAACCATCAATTTTTTACAAGATATTAATGACCATTTCATATAATGCACAAATGCAGTATACATTTTTAAGTTTGTTGGTATAATTTTACATGAATTATGCTTTCTTACTTGGACTTACAATAATGTAGTACCACAGACCAGTCTATATATAAGGTCAACTTTTTCATCTGCATCCTTCACAAGAAAGGAGATAACATAGAGGTTTGCTAAATTGGTATATTGTTATTATGTTTTGCAGGTGGACCTCCAAGAGGTGTTCAACAGCCAGGATTTCCACAACAGCCACCAGCAAGGTTTGGACCACCTCCACACACGGGTAACCTACCAAGACCCCCTCCAGGTGCAAACATGAACATGCCTCTCAGTAGGCCACCAGGAGCAGCGCTACCTGGAACATTTAGTGGGTTGCCTAACCGACCACCAGGAGTAGGTCCACCCCCAACTGTTAATGGAATGTCTGGGCCAATGATGAATGGTCCCCCACGAGGACCCTCACCAGGGCAAAACAGGCCACCATTCTCACAGGCAGGAAACGTTGCACCTCCACCTATGGTGGGACAACCATATCAGAAGCCTACAATGGCACCACCCCCAGTCAGTCAGCCTCCTATGCCTGGACCCCCAATGCCAGGGGCACCTCCTATGTCTAGACCTCCTGGCCCAGGAGTCCCCCCTATGTCTGGTCCGCCCCCACCCATGGGCAGCCAATCTACAACTGGACCACCCATGGCATCACGACCCTCCTCCCTACCACAACCTACTCCAGACAATGCCATCTCAAACTCAGGTAAGATACTTAGTTTGATACCACATATGTACATGTATATATATGTAATTAAAAGCTTACACCTAAATAATGTTAAGTAATACATTCACTAGCAGGGCAAGTTTATACAATTGCTTTATAGGGGTAGTCAGAGTATGACACTGTGTGTTCAAATAAAATTATGTTCAAATGTCATTTAGCATGTACTAATTCCATGTCCCTTAGATGGTCATCATTCATTTGCTTGTTATTATGATTTCCCTGTGTTGTAAAAGCTTATTTTTGCTATTACTAATGGCATGTGGTTTATGGTTGTAGGAGGTGCAGATTCACTCCCCGTCCCTTTTCATGGCCAAGGCCAATACTCCCACACAGTGCACAATGCCCCCACCCCCACCCCACTCTCACAGGTTCCAGGATCAGGTAATACTAAAATTTATACACATCAAATTTATACACATCAAATTAATTGTACTCTGAATAAGAAGTGAGCATTGACTTCCCACATATTTTAGAGATACACTGACAGAGGTCTGACGCTTATAGACATTGAAGGATCATTATTTCAATAAAATCTCTTAGATTATGAAGTTCTGATACTTGTAGTTAATCTACACATGTTTGGGGTTGACATATTGCTAAAGATTAGAGTTCAATATCATGTTTGTCTATTCATGCTTTTCTATACATGTATTTAGTTCTGCTTCTTAAGTTTGCATCCTTCAACTTTTGTCTTGCTATTCTGTCGCATGATTGGGTGATTATGTTTCATACATGTATGTGTATTGTAATGCCTGCTTTCTTAAGTAATTTAAGGTTGTGTCTTGTTGTAGGACCCCCCTCTGCTAACTCCTCACGAGTCCCCTCCCCTCTGCCTGGTACCAACTATGACGCTATGGAGGGACAATTTACACCACAAAGTAACCACTTCTTTTTTAAATAATTAAATCATTCTGAATCTCAATTTACAATAACAGCCATGGAAGAACTTAGTTAATTTTGACATCTCTCCAAAATGTGGCTTCATTATAATCGTGAAAAATATAGATAGCGAATATTATATCATACCTCTCTGTGCCTCAGAACATTTCAAGTTAAAAGACTTGTATTTATTTTGAGAACATTCAAAAGTTTCAGGTTCGATTCAAGATATACAAGGAATTGAATTTATGTTATTTCCTATATTACAGATACCCCAGCAAACTTTCCTCCTGGTCAATCTCCACCTCAACAACCAGTGCCCCCTATAAATCAAAGCGGAGCAACACCACCAGGGGCAACTAGTGGTGGCATAGCAGGCAAAAGAGTTTATCCACAAATGGTCAGTTGTTTGTTTTGTATGTACAGTATAACATTTCATTTGTAGTTGCCAGAAAGTAATTATCCCAACGAACGAAGTTCTGTAGGGATATAGTGAAGCCGTCCGTCAGTCAGTCAGTCCGTCTGTCTGTCCGGAAGATAACTCGAATACTAGTCAACAGATTTTTTTCAGATTTTTTTCAAGATGGCCACCAGTTTAAAAATGGCGGGAATTTTTCGCAAAAATCTTATGTTTTTCATTTTAAACCAAAATAATAAATATTATTATTTGAAATTTTGGTAGTACATTAACAACATCTATCTATTTCACATATATCCCAGGTTTTTCACCCTGACCCCCAGGGGCCGTAAATGGGGATCTGGAAAACAGAAATTTGCATTAATTTTTAGATGTTTTTGAAGTATAGCTTTATTATATTCAAATGAAAGGCAATTTAGAGTAGATTGCAAATATTGTAAGTTGTAACGTTTTTCTGAGTCCTGCCCCAAAAAAATTCAAAATGGCCGCCTAATGCGGGATTTCGCAATTGTTTTCTGATCTCTTAAAAGTATGGCTATATCATACTCAAATTGAAGGAATTTCAGAGTAAATCACAATTATGGCATTGTTTTTCTGATTTGCGCCTCTGAAAATTCAAAATGGCTGACTAGAGCAGAAATTCGCCATTACTTAGAGTTATCTTGAAAGTATGGTTAGATGTAGCCTTGCCCAAGTCGGTCTCTTTTACTATCTTGATTTCTATTATGACCGCCTTGTACCAAAGAGAAAGCCACGTGCTCTACCGACTCAAAGTTTACGTCGGTAAAATTTGACCAATCAACGACGGCCCTGCAGCGTTAGCTCATTATTATGCACGGTCAAAAACAAGTACACTTTTTACTTTTCGCCGGGACTTTTCACGAACAAACTTGCATGAATTCATCATGAAAATACAAATATTTTATCAGATAAATATCAATCAGAGTTTAGTGGATGCCGGAGCATCGATCGGTAACCGGAGGTGAGAAAATTTCAACAATAAACGTTGAAACGATCGCTGTATTCAAATGAACATGTAGGCTGAGATTCAATCACTGATCGACTACATGACCCGCTACATTGGACTCGGTCTTGCATTTTCATCGCGAAATCAGTTTTAAATCTATTGCATGATTTAATTTATATTAATGACTCTTACATTCCCTATGTACATTTAATTACATAATATATTGTAACTCTAAAGAAACGATCGATCAGATCATCGGCATTGAATTTCAAATCGGGAAGATTGCTTTGCTTATGCAGGTCAACCTGATAACGTTTTTGATTGGTCAATCAGCCTGAAGTCACACGTCGTGTCCAGACTGTCCACGCGTATATCTGTTAATTAATAAGGTTTCGCAATACCCCCGATAGCGTAGGTATTATGGAAATCTCGAAACCGTTGAATAACTCTGCATAATATCAGCGCAGGTGTATTGGATTGTACAAGGCGGTAATAATTCAAGATCAGATAAGTAAAAAAAATACCGACTTGGGCAAGGCTAGGTTACATGATACTACAATGATTTAAAATATTTAGGTAAGAGTAGATGGTAAATATTCCATTGTGACTGTACAGATTGGTGATTATTATAGTGTTCGTTGGGATTTGCTACTCCGTGGAGTTGCCATTTTCTAGTTAATTGATTTTTTAAAAGCACATTTTCTAGATTAATTTACGTGTTTGCATATTTAAAACATTGACTGAATTTTTAATATTAAATGACTGAGATAAAGATTATTTCTACTCACGTTTTGTTTGGTTTTGAATAGATAAAAGCATGTGAATTCATTAAGCTATGCGTTTATGACTTGGTGATCTGTTTGTTAAGATGTTTTCTTTGATTATAGCAACAAGGATATAATCAACCGCCAACCCAAACACAACAACCAGGTTTTAACCAGCAACAGCCAGGTTTTAATCAGCAACCACCAGGTTTTAACCAGCAACAGCCAGGTTTTAATCAGCAACAACCAGGTTTTAATCAGCAACAGCCAGGTTTTAATCAGCAACAGCCTGGTTTTAATCAGCAACAGCCAGGTTTTAATCAGCAACAGCCAGGTTTTAATCAGGGGTTGCCCCCTGGGGCACAGTCGGGACCTGCTAGTGGGGTTATGAATGATGTGTTCTCTGGACAGAAAGCAGGCATGCCAAACAATGCATACCCTAACAGCACAGCTGGTGTCACACAAAATTTTGGCAACTTAAATTTGCAGGTTTGTACCATACCCTGAACACTATTTTGTTTATTTTCTATACGTTTCAAGCGTGTTATGAAAAAATGATGCACCATACACACACACACTGAAGCTACTTGTTGTTTTATGAACACTCAAAATCTCATAAACGTTAAAGACTGCTAGCTTGCTAACAATGAAGTTATATTCCCTGGGCATAAGATAAAAATATTCATTACATACCAATGTCAGTTAAACTTTATTCAGATGCTCCAAATAAAGCAATCTTTGAAAGCATTCAATCCTTTACACCCTCGTTAGTTAATGATATAATTGCTCTTTGTTTTTACAGTATAGTGACCCCAATCAGAGGTCAGTAAATTTGTTACAAGAGCGCCATCTACTGCCCTACGAGGGCATTGAGCCGCCCAAAGCAAAGTTAGAACATGACTTTAAGAAAGTAAATTGTAGTCCTGAGTAAGTAGTTCTTCCTCTAGTCTGCCTCTTATAATCAATTGCAATTCTTACTCTATATTCCTCAGAATGTGTTCTTGATGATATGGAAAATTATATTGATTACAATGTCTAATGTTTGACAAAAACGTGAAAATAAAACCATCTGTATTGAAATTCTGTTTGTAGTCTACATGTTGTACTTGTAAATGAAAATGACATTCAACTTTGCAGGATATTTCGTTGCACCCTTTCAACAATGCCCCAAACACAGAGTCTGCTCAACAAGTGCCGATTGCCACTAGGAATTCTCATACACCCTTTTAAAGATTTATCTGTAAGTTTGCTTATGAGAAATCCACATTTTGTAGAAAATAGTAAGATATTGTTTTACGATGTATTTAGAGAATAGAGATGTTCATCATTTAAATTTAATTATTCATTACAGCTTTCACGATGATGAACGATTTTTTCTGTCCCCTGCACACTTAATCTAACTTAGTATTGAAGGTTATAAACTTGTTATTTTGACAATTATAAAGTTAGCATAGAGAACTTGATTTATATTTTTTTTCAGCAATTACCTGTGATCCAATCTAGTGTAATAGTACGCTGTAAGTCATGTAGGACATATATCAACCCATTTGTGACATTTGTTGACCAAAGGAGATGGAAGTGCAATCTGTGTTATAGAGTTAATGATTGTAAGTTACAACTGCAGTTAAGTTACCAGTATAGTCAAATTACAAGTATAGTCAAATTACAAGTATAGTTAATTTACAAGTACAGTATTACATTTATACTCTTAATATTTGCTTCGGATTTAAATGGGATCAGTTCTATTTGTGTTGATTCACTTTAAGTAATCTTAAATCAATATAAATGCAGTTGTAATTAAGATGTTGTACACGTCCCTTTAGACAAGGACAGAAACAGATTAACAACACATTGGACACAAGCTGAAAGTAATTTATTTATATTTTATTGACAATTGCAATAGTTGTTGGAAGTTCTATGCTTGTTAAGATTATGTTTTATTGTTATGTATTTATTTTGAAATTAAAAAATAATTCCCATGTTGATCAGTAAATTTTTAGTCCTTGCTGTTGAAGACTGTCGCTTGGGCAGCATAGCAAGTATAACTATATACTTTATGATGTACTAATTCAACATTTTATCAAGAGTAAATCAGTAAATTCCTGAATCTTTGAAACATCAGCCATCTTGGTACAAGAAAGTCTGTCACTGTTGGTGTGGTTGCAAATTTTGACTTTGCTATAATTATACAGCTTTACATACATAAAGCACAATGCAGTATATCATCATGATTTTATTGGTTATTTCAGTACCCGAGGAGTTTAGTTTTGACCCAGTCAGTAAAACATATGGAGATCCTCAGAGAAGACCTGAGATTAAATCTGCTACAATAGAATTCATAGCACCTTCTGAATACATGGTAAGCATTTACATTTAGCTATCTCTGTAAACTCAGTGAATTATGTGATTTTGATGTTTGAAAAAGTTATATGTATGATTTACTTATATAATATGATTTGATTTGCGTGTAGTCTCTTGCACTCTACAGTGTTTTAAATCAATATTGAGAATATACCACTTATCCCTTTTCTTTTCCTCCCAGCAAAGTAGAATATTGAATTCAAACAATGTTCCCCTGGTATTGTTCATCTTTACTGTACGCATTTCTGGAGTATTGTTCATACAATCTCACCATTTCAGAGTTTCTGGGTAAGTGTTATTCTGCTGTACTTTTAGCGATTCCGGGTCAAAGGTCACAAGGTCAAATGTCCCTCGGACAAATGTTGCATAGTATGCTTTGTGAAGTGGAATAATATTGATATTATGTTTTGTGTTTCCTTTCATTTGTTGAGTTAAGTTAGTGTTGTTATCTATTAGTTATATTCAAATGTTTATTTAGAATATAATTTAATAATGGATTGTACTTTTCCTCACTCAATATGTTTCATCATACAAAATTATTTTTATTACTTAATCATTTATGTAACATAAACATAAAATTTACATGATTAAAAAGATGATGGGACACCGGGCAGGTGTCTCAGTTTCACAATTTCATGGGACATTTGGCTTGAGGCCCCCACCATTAGCTATCCATTTTACTAATTGTATCTGTAAAGAATAGTGTATGTTCTTCTCTGTATTTCCAGTTGAGGCCCCCACAGCCAGCAGTCTACCTTTATTTACTAGATGTATCCTTCAATGCAGTAGAAACAGGTGAGCTTATACTTTGGACATCTGGAATATGGTCATTGATTAACATATCACCCTGGTCATTCCCTGGATATCTTTAATATACATACTCATGCAATAGGATTTTTATTGTTTAAAAAGATCAATTTTATAGGAGAATCAACAATTATCTACACTATACTTTTTGTCATAAATCCTGAAATCTCGAGATCTTTGCATGAAGATTTACACTATGCCGTGAATTTATTTTCAGTAGCTTCAAGTCCATTAAATGTTTTGCACCTTGCCCAGCTGATTGAGTATTTTGTTCAAAACTGAATAAAGTTTTGAACAAAACACTCAATCGGCCAATTTTGAATCTTGCAAAATACTGAGATACGAAACTGAATCAAAGCAAATGTGACTCCTTCATCAATGCAAATCTTTGTATTTCAGGTTATTTACAAATATTTTGCCAAACATTGCTTGATGAAATAGACAGGATTCCTGGGGACTCGAGGACGCAAATAGGATTCATAACATATGACAGTTCTCTACATTACTACTACATAGCTGAAGATTTATCACAACCGAAGATGTTTGTGGTCTCTGATATAGATGGTGAGTCTCTCTCTACAATCCTTTGTCTATGGATTAAATTAAATTCTGGACAATTGTTGAAGACAATTTAATTTAAATGTAAATGCATGTGTAAAACAGTTCAGTCTTACCTACTGTCTCTGTATTAGGCTATTAGCCCATGGTGCTGTTATGAAAATACCCACATACATACTATCACTTTCTGCCTTTACAATGCTTACTGAACTTCAGTATTTATTAATGCACACATTTTCCTATCATGTTTTGAATTGTTTTCAATCTTGTGTAGCCCAAGAATTCTCTCTATCCAATGTAATCTACTTTTATTTTCAATTTCTTTCTTCCTCTCTTCCTTATCCAATCAACTTTTCTCTATTATTGGACTTACCACATAAAATTGTGTCAACGGGACTGATCAGTCGACATGTACATACAACCCCCCCCCCCAAGATTCTATCTCACTTTTATTGTTTAATGAAATTTTTAACTTATTCAGTGAGTCTCTATCTATGAGTCTTTAAACTATGTATACTTCTGTCCTTTTCCCTCAAGTCTTGATCTGTTCTATCTGTGTCTTTTCTGGATCCCTTGAGTTTTGACCTTTAATTACTTCTCTTACTGAAAACTTCAAATTGCTCATCCTTATGCTATCAATCCTACACATGTCTTAATGTTCTGCCATTTGTTTTAGATGTATTTCTGCCTAGTCCAGATGGCCTTTTATGTAACCTGACTGAGTGCAGGGATCTGGTGGTGGACCTGCTCACCAATCTTCCTACAATGTTTGAAGGCAACAAGGAGACTGGCAGTGCCCTGGGGGCAGCCCTCCTAGCTGCACATAAACTCACTGTAAGCATACTTCAACATACACTGATACACATTATGCATATAGGCTGATATGAAGATACAAAAGGGCAGTCTATATTTTCCAAATCCAGACTATTTGATATTTTATGATACTATCAATGTGCAATTAATTATGATTATATAATGAATATTTCATACAATCATATCAGGGCATTGAAGCTAAGCAACTCAGGAATTGTATTTCCCATGATCTTAAAATAACCGTAGTCTCTTTGATTTTTCAGAGCCCAACAGGGGGCAGAGTGTCTGTATTCCAGACGGTTCTACCAAGCGTGGGTCCAGGGGCTCTGAAGGCTCGTGAGGATCCCAACCAGCGAGCAGCTAAGGTGATTGTATAATCAATTAGAATCTTAACAGGGATTGATTCTTCAGATATTTAAAGAAGATTTCAAAAGATACTGGGAATAGCCTAAATATAATTTTCTATAGACAAAAATTGATAAAAGAATTAGTACATGTAAAGAGTGTGATATTTTTTGATTTTTGTAGAATGTACAACATATGGGTCCAGCCACTGATTTCTACAAGAAGCTATCTCTAGATTGTTCTGCTCAACAAACTGCTGTAGATGTGTTCTTTCTAAACAGCCAGTATATTGACATTGCAAGCATAGGTATGTCATCTCTCTCTATGTCATCTCTCCATATGTCATCTCTCTGTATTTCATCTCTCTTATCTCCATATATCATTGTAAAACTCTTACAATTCCAAAGAAATAACAAATGTCTATTTCTGTATACTGTGTTGTTGATTAACCTTTTGTCAGAGTTACAAGATTAGAAAGACTTTGAAAGCCAGAATTTTATTTGAACACTTTTCATCCAATTAACACAAAAATGGTTTTTAAAATGTCTGAAAATGATCTCTGCCGTCTTATTTTGCTAAAATGAGCATCACCTGTTGTATATGTATATGATTTTAGAACCCGGGATTCAAGAGGTTAAAATTGCCAACTATGATTTAGTTTTGTTATGCATAAATTGTGTTAGGCATAGTGCTATTAATTACAAAGTTTTAACTGTTATTCTGGTCATTATACTTTCAGCGTGCATTTCAAAATATTCTGGTGGCTGTATACAATATTACCCAGGATTCCACATAACTAGGAATGTAGCACAAATGGAAAGGTTTGAGAATGATCTTCGGCGATACTTCACACGCAAGATTGGTTTTGAGTCAGTTATGAGAATCAGGTGTACGAAAGGTAAGACCTGCCATTATTGTAACATTATTCATGACTTTTCCATCCATAATGGTATAATGTCATTATTCCATTGCAATATCATATCATATTTACATATGTTATATCTTATTTACATTGCAATATATTTTTTCAGGTCTCAGTATTCACACTTTCCATGGCAATTTCTTTGTGCGGTCGACTGACTTGCTTTCTCTGCCCAACATTAACCCAGATACAGGGTTTGGTATGCAGATGTCCATAGAGGAGCCCCTCACTGATCTGTCCACAGTCTGCTTCCAGGCAGCCCTGCTGTACACATCTAGCAAAGGTAGATAGATACACCTCATTCTCAGCATTGATCATGTTAATATTACTTGTTGATGTAAAATACAATAGACAAATAAAAGATTTAAAAGTCACCCTTCAACACTCTTTTTTTCTGGACCAATAAAAGGTTTGCAATTGTAGATTGGTGCAAGAGCGATACTCTGTGATATGTCACATTCTTCACAAATAATCTATTCTATTCTATGAATTAGACTTTTAATAATCATGAAATATGTTTAATGAATTGATCCAGAAGAATGCAATGTTGGATGTTTTGAAACATGTTCAGTGTATGTCTATGTATTTGCTCTCTTGCTTCAGGTGAGAGGAGGATAAGAGTGCACAAAATGTGCCTCCCTGTTAGCAACCAATGTATATGTTAATGTTCTCTTGCTTCAGGTGAGAGGAGGATAAGAGTGCACACAATGTGCCTTCCTGTTAGCAACCAATGTATATTTTAATGTTCTCTTGCTTCAGGTGAGAGGAGGATAAGAGTGCACACAATGTGCCTCCCTGTTAGCAACCAATGTATATGTTAATGTTCTCTTGCTTCAGGTGAGAGGAGGATAAGAGTGCACACAATGTGCCTTCCTGTTAGCAACCAATGTATATGTTAATGTTCTCTTGCTTCAGGTGAGAGGAGGATAAGAGTGCACACAATGTGCCTTCCTGTTAGCAACCAATGTATATTTTAATGTTCTCTTGCTTCAGGTGAGAGGAGGATAAGAGTGCACACAATGTGCCTCCCTGTTAGCAACCAATGTATATGTTAATAGTGTTGTCGCGATGTGCCATAATTGTACATCGATGCATCGGCAATATTCAGTAGTAAACATCGATGCACATCGCGATGTACATCGAGAAAAAGTCAGAGAAAAGTGCACTGAAATACCGAACGCTAATGCACTAAAATACCGAACATCCGGTACATCCGGGAACTTCTAGTAAGGGTGAAATGAAAGTAAAGTAATTTTTTTAGATTAATGGTTCATTTCGACTAGCTAAAGCAGTTTTAAAGTGAAATATTTATCAGAAAACATTGGAAAATGAAATAAGACATGAGAAAGGTAAGCGATTTGCGTCAAAATAAGATAAGAAAGGGTGATTTTTAGCAAATTAATTTTTTTCAAAAACATCGATGTTTTGTTTCAGACATCGATGCATCGCCAGAATCATCTTTGGCGATGTATATCGCGATGTATCGATTAATCGCGACAACACTATATGTTAATGTTCTCTTGCTTCAGGTGAGAGGAGGATAAGAGTGCACACAATGTGCCTCCCTGTTAGCAACCAATGTATATGTTAATGTTCTCTTGCTTCAGGTGAGAGGAGGATAAGAGTGCACACAATGTGCCTCCCTGTTAGCAACCAATGTATATGTTAATGTTCTCTTGCTTCAGGTGAGAGGAGGATAAGAGTGCACACAATGTGCCTTCCTGTTAGCAACCAATGTATATGTTAATGTTCTCTTGCTTCAGGTGAGAGGAGGATAAGAGTGCACACAATGTGCCTTCCTGTTAGCAACCAATGTATATTTTAATGTTCTCTTGCTTCAGGTGAGAGGAGGATAAGAGTGCACACAATGTGCCTCCCTGTTAGCAACCAATGTATATGTTAATAGTGTTGTCGCGATGTGCCATAATTGTACATCGATGCATCGGCAATATTCAGTAGTAAACATCGATGCACATCGCGATGTACATCGAGAAAAAGTCAGAGAAAAGTGCACTGAAATACCGAACGCTAATGCACTAAAATACCGAACATCCGGTACATCCGGGAACTTCTAGTAAGGGTGAAATGAAAGTAAAGTAATTTTTTTAGATTAATGGTTCATTTCGACTAGCTAAAGCAGTTTTAAAGTGAAATATTTATCAGAAAACATTGGAAAATGAAATAAGACATGAGAAAGGTAAGCGATTTGCGTCAAAATAAGATAAGAAAGGGTGATTTTTAGCAAATTAATTTTTTTCAAAAACATCGATGTTTTGTTTCAGACATCGATGCATCGCCAGAATCATCTTTGGCGATGTATATCGCGATGTATCGATTAATCGCGACAACACTATATGTTAATGTTCTCTTGCTTCAGGTGAGAGGAGGATAAGAGTGCACACAATGTGCCTCCCTGTTAGCAACCAATGTATATGTTAATGTTCTCTTGCTTCAGGTGAGAGGAGGATAAGAGTGCACACAATGTGCCTCCCTGTTAGCAACCAACAGACAGAAATCTACGCAGGCGCAGATCAGCAAGCTATCATTGGACTCCTGGCAAAAATGGGTATGCTTTTTTTTTTTTATTAATTTGGATAATTAAATGTTTCTGTTGTCTGTTTGACACAGTCAAGATTAAGTAATGCAACATGTCTGAAGTTTTTTAATTCAAATACATGTATACCTATGACTGTCTTGTTCTTCATTGTAAAGTGACAGTACTAGTCCCTTTCATATATATCTATGTCATGAAACATGTGCTGTTTGTTACAGGTGTTGACAGGTGTATTGGTTCCTCAATGCAGGATGCCAGGGAGGCCATGAAGAATGCTGCCATAGATCTCCTATCAGCTTTCTCAAACACTCTCCCTTCTGGCCAGAGAATGGGGGCGCTAAACTGTCCTTTCTCCCTCCGTCTCATGCCACTTTACATATCAGCATTACTGAAATACGTAAGCATTGCATTAACTGGGAGCTAATCTAATATATCACTGTTCTCATCCTACTATTTTAAGTTTTAAAAACATCCCAGGCTCTGGAGATTTGAATAAAGGATTCATACATACAACAGATTAGTAAGATTTCCCCAAGAAATTGATATTTTAAGTTCATTTTCACATGCTTACTCAATACTCATGTACTCATTCTCAAGATATAAATTCTGTGTTTTATTTTCAGAATGCTTTTAGAGTTGGTTCGAGTACTAAATTGGATGATCGAGTGTTTTCTATGGAGATGTGCAAGTCACAACCACTGGCTCAGTTCATGCTGACCCTCTACCCTAGTCTATACCCTGTACATGCATTGGATGATAGGGTAAGTTCACCCTGGCCCAGTTCATCTTATGTATATTACGATTGATACATATAACTCTTGATGGTATTGTTCAGTTTTCAGAGACATATTGTAAATTGCAATTATTAAATAAGATATTTGGTGCTAGTACATTATCTTCAACTGTGGTGATATCCTGTTTTTCTTTTATATCACTCAAAATAATCAATAGAAACTCAAGAGTGTCAGTTTGTCATCATTTAATATACAATGTTATACCTATTACTTTAGAATGCTGTGAGTAAAGGTGACCAGGTCGTGGCCCAGCCTCAGTTACTGCAGCTGTCATTTGCTAACATAGACAGGCATGGGGCGTACCTTTTGGATGCTGGGGACCACATGTACCTGTATGTGGGAGCAGCTATCAGTGACAAGTTCTGCTCTGAAGTACTAGATGCTCCAAACTTTCAGTCAGTGCCAGAAACAATGGTATGTACAATAAATAAAAAATGGCATATTTGTATAAAGCTCATATCATGTATCTTTAAATGATGTTGAGCGTTCAGACTCCAACGAGAAAAAGATATGTTACATATACTCAATGCATAATGTGTACCTTTTTGTATTTTTATGTCCTCTATTTCAGAATGACATCCCAGAGCTAGAGAATGAGACCTCAGAAAGGTTGCGGGTCTTCATCAATTATTTAATTGACCAGAGACCTTTCTATGCTCCACTGACAGTGATCAGGTAAATGGAAAAACCTAGCATACTTCACTATAAGAATTGTCTTATATACTGTATATGACAAGCATACAAGCAAAAATTTCAAATTTATTCTTGAGACTTGAGACTTTATGATGGCTTAAAATGTAGAATGGTTCTATGGTACTTTTATGTCACCACCACAAGTGATTATATTGTTATAGTCTCCAACTTTTTTGTGGATAGCTGTCAGTGTTTGGTGCCTGTAAAAGTGTTTCTGTGACAAAGGACAGGTGATGACATTTTGCATGTAATGCCTTGTTTTTTAATAAAATATTCTATATCCTTGAAATATGAGTTGAAAACGTATTGTCCCATATTTGAAAACAGTGAAAAATTGATTCATTTGTGTTTCAGGGATGACAGCCGAGCGCGTATGCAGTTTGTACAATACATGGTGGAGGATAGGACTGAGTCGTCATTATCTTACTATGAATTCTTACAGCATATTCAACCAAGTATAAAATAGTCAGACCTAGAGTTGCCTCAAGCCCCTGCCATATTAATGCCTTTCATTTCTGATAGTGCTATACATGGCACATGAGTGGCTAGGCTATGTACAGTGTATAAATTAGATAATGAAATGAATAAGCATGTAATTGGAGTATATATATATATAATAGAAATGACCTGGTGTAGAGGCAATAAAGAGGACATAGAGTGCAACATTACCAGCTTATTCTGAGAGGGCACCCACCAATTAACCTGCTTGGGCTGGCTGTGCAACTAGCCACATGTTAACCTTCGGACTGCAACTAGGAAACTTGCTGAATCTGAAATATAAATATTGAGTGCAAGTATGGAATATATAGGCATAGCTTGCTAACTCAGTGTTGTTGGGTGCCAATATTTATGAATTTATAAAATGACTTTAAGTGCTATTGTTTCAACCAATCTAGTTTGGAACATATGTTGTTTTATTTTACTTTCAAGTGTCAGAGTCTCATTAAAGAATGAATTCAAGGTGGTCAATGAATTTGAATGTTAGCTTTATTAAATGAGATGATGTGGTCATTTCCTTGACCCCTTTAATAGTGTGTTAGAGGTTGTTGCTTGTTTAAATTATTTCTGATAGTTTCTTTGTTGGTTAGTGCAAATTAATTGTTTCTTTGACACTTGACATAATTGACTCATCATTGAGTGTGATGGTGTGTGATTTAAGCTTTACATCTAAAATATGCATGTACATTGTCTCGTAATAGAAACTGCATTATTATTAAATTATTTATTATGATATCACATGCTCATACCTATAAAGAATTTGTTTTGGTATTGGATATGCTTTGTTGTTCATTAGTCTCACTTGTGATTACAGTTCATTGTTCTGTTTTAGACATGTTGTATAACTGTATATCTGTAACTGTACACATTTCTACTTGTCTGGTTTATATGTCAACTGATTTAGTGATTTTGTGATTGAATGCTGAGAGACGCATCATGTCTCTTCCCTGGAGAATAGACTGGGTATTGAAGCATTGTATATGTAATGACGGATACCACCAGATCATATATCAGTAATCACACATATATATTTGCAATATATTGCTCTAACATTTTAACAGCTGTTTTGTAATCAAAAGTTGTATCACAGTCCAAAACTGCACAGATTATAGCTTTCATGTCATGTTCTTGGGTGACTTGTGATCACTTTTTAGGACACTTGTGAAATCAACCGATACAATGTATACACTGACTGTAGTGCCTATCATTATATACAAAGAATGTAACGATTCAGCTTATATGGCGAATTGGGCTATTTAGCCCATTGGTTCCAGTCAAGACTTTATATTAATAATATATTTTAAATCCTCACAATAGATGGCTCTCACGTTGGAGCCTGCATTTTATAGCTTACCGCATAACATCGCATTTAACAATAAATGAGAGCCATCTGTTTAACAATTCAAATCAAAGCCTCTCAATTTGCCAACTTTGACACCCAAATAAATTCATTGTGTATTATTTATGATATACAGTATGGTTGGAGAGATATTTTGGTGAGCCAACACATGATATTTCAGTAATAGTAATAATCTTGTGACAATTTCACCAGACTGCAGGCCATGTGCCAGTTTTATATGAGTGCTAATATATTGACAAATAAAAGTGAATCAATTATACCATGACACTTTGGTCATTGACTACTGACTTTCTTATGCTGGATAACCATTGCCTCCAAATGGTACTGAAGAATAATTTGTTGTTAATTGTTATATATGCCACATGTCAAAATGACTCCAATGTAGTTCAATTCTAATGTAATTACTAATGTTATCTGTTTCGTCGTGTATGTAAATGTATCATCTTTAGTTGGTAATGAGCATGTCAGACTACAATTGATGTAATGTGCATCAAAAGAAACAATATACAAAAATTAATTTAAATAAAATGTCTTGTTTTGTAAATGATATTTAATAGGAAGCACCTTTATATTGACTTTTGACCTATTAGATGACTTTGGCCTCTCATAGATCCTTCAGGGACACTATAATTGTAAAATGTGAATCACACAAACATTGACTATTTGGGATGACTTAATTTCTTTTAGTGTTACGTTGTCAATAAGCCTGAGGGTCAGAGAGTAATTGTGTTCCTAAATCGCCCCAAAGCATTTGCAATTACATCTAGTAATAATTTGTAACTTGCAAAATCAAAATATGGATTGAAACTTTTTTCTTTAAATATTAAAGTTCATAATTGTTCATGTACAGTTCATGTGGCCAGTGAAATTACTTTGAAATTGATAAAGGCGTCAGCAGTGAAATTCCATTTGTCACGTTGCTTTCAAAGCAGCACCACATGGCACATACTACATGTACATAGCACTTGTTGATATTGTTGATTACAATTACAGATACAACTTAAATTTATACAGAAATCTCTATTCAATTGGCCAATTCATTTTGATTTTTATGTCAACACATTGTGGTGACATTGTTATATTCTCCATCTTTTTGTGGGTGATGTTTGGTAGTTTTTGGTCAGAGTCATTTTACATGTTAATGCCTTGTTAGAGTCCAGCTCTTATTTCTATCCTACTCCTATTGATAACAGAAAGACCACAGTGCTCCATCTACAAACAACTAACAATCATAATAACAATAAACTGTTATTGTAAACTGTTATTATAATGTAAAATCCAAGAGGGTTCAATAGCTCTAGTGGGTGTACAGATAATGATTGTGATCACATTATATTTTCACTCACAAAACTGCTGATTCACAACTGATTTCTTGAGAAAGCTCCCTGAAAATATTTTACTAAATGGATTAATCACAAAAACAATCCCTGGTAGATATAGTGTTTTGAAACTTTCAGAGGACATGACCAACTAATAACCCTTATTTTATAGTTTTAATAGCGTCTAATGTCTGAATGTACAAAATGTGACTGTTGAAATCATAAATTTCTTGAAAACTGAATGAACTTGGGGAATGGCAATGACAGGCAGATATTCGATTTGAATAGAAGTTCCAGGATTTCACAATTGATTTCATTAATTGCTGGAACGCACGCCCTTTGAACCAAAGAGACTGTAGAGGCACTATTATGAACAATGAAGATTTTTGATTGATTTAATTTGGCACAATTCAGATCTGTCAAATTAAGCAGACACAGAATTCAGAACAAACACAGAATTAAGAATTATGGTCTTCATAGCTTTTATTTTAATAATTCAACCAAACATCCAATGATATGTTAGTGTTAACAGACAACAGAAATCTGATCTAACTTGGGAAGTCATTGTAATGCAGCTGCAATACTCTCACCTCAGTCCTTTGGTATGTTGTAGCATAGGTGAAAACCCCAATTTTTGCATTCTTCTTTTTATCAAATTATGATTAGCTCAATATTGACCTAGCCTATATATATTTGAATATAACATCATTTTTGTTATCAACCGTTTGCAGTTCCATTTTAACAGGGCATTTTAGAAAATGACCGAGGAGTCCTTCAGTGTATCCTATTAAAAAGTACATTTTCCTTGCACTTATTGTCCTTGTAACTGTACCAGCTAGCACTATGATATTGTGACGCCTTTTTATGATTGTTTCTGATGCAAATAAATTGTGCCATGTTCCATAGATGAACTTTCTGATGAACATATCCTCTATTGCAGTCTCTGCAGCTCTGGGCTCATCACACAAACTTGCTGCAAATAAAAACAATGCTTTTGTAAATCATGTTTCACATTAAATCTGAGTTTATCAAGTGGATGGTTTGAAATATAATAGTGCCATGTTTCCTTAAACAATAAGTTAGTTTCATTAAAAATAAAGACTGCTGTTTTTATGTGGCTCATATTTTCTTATAATTTGAAGGGGCTGGGTCAATATAGTCAAAAAATTGAATTAGTTTTTTTAGGTCTTACACCCCCATCCCCCTTCTAACGAAATTCAAAATGTTGATTTGGGTGCAGAATACGAGTACAACCCCAGCATATAATATCTGCTACTGCAACAACATATCTCAAATTCTCTAAACATATCTGTTGAGTATATTTAATAATCATACCATCTGTCAACCCATAAATTGAAGAAGATGGAAACAAGGGTAAGTAAAAATCAATGTCTTGACCCAGCCCCTAACCTGCTAACTGCACTTTTTTACCAAACCAGCCCTTTGAATTTAGACAACATGAATTTATGAACATGTAAGAGGAAGGGAGATATGTATATATTCAAGGGAAAAAATGCTGAATGATGCTAGAGTTTAGAAATGAAAATGAAATATAATTACATGTATTCCAAGAATTCCATGCCTTCCTCTCGCCAATATGTTCCGGGTGGCACCATTCTTCATAGGTCAGAGGCTTTGATCTGTCAGGTGTTGTCTTTGGCACACCTGCTCTTATATTCTTGTAGTTACTAGCGGATGTACTTATGCAGCGACACTGTGCTAAACTTCTCACCTGCTGTAACATCTACAATGAGAAAATTCACATTCAGTTATAATTCACCAGAGGGAGGATTGTACCTGATATATATTAAGGTAATTCTGTATGTTCAGAAATTTTACTGGCTTCCTATTTGATGTTATTTTCAGGAACACATGATTCATTCCTTAATATAAGGTCTATATCTCAGTTTTGTACAGAGTATACAAATGTACCCAGATTATAAGTTGAGGGTAAATAATTTTCCACTTTGTATGCAATTTTTAAAAAATTCAATGAAATACTTTTTATAAGTACCAAAAATGTAGGTCATTGATTTTTCTCATTCATTCTTGATATGATTATTGAGAATATTAACAGAGAATGGAATGAGTCATGTATTCCTGAAAATAATGTTGTGGGAGACAATTGGGGTTTTCATCAAATTAGGAATATGAAATCTTACATTAGAAGTTTTCAAGTTTCTCAACAACACTCACGCGGTACTAACTCTCCGGGGCGTATCGAAACCAAAACGCCCCACAAAACCACGGGGTACCATCGAATAATTTTGGCAACGTACCGGAGAACGACATTTTACTAAGAAATGGCAATAATTTAGCACAATATATTTTTTAACTAGAGTTTTATTTTGATTTTGACAAAAGTAAGTATTCCATGCAATAACTATTTTTCATTCATGAGTTTGTAGGAATTCTGTTGGAACCCAGTTCTGATCAAGTACGAAGTTATTGAAATCGGCGCAGACGGACTTTACTCCGAAAGATGGTTTTTCGATTATAACTTTTCACAACATTTAAGTATAGACTTTTGGAAAAAGTACAGAATAGTCCTTATACTTTTGAATAATTCTGTTATTTCTGATTCACACGACTCTGATTTGTTTAATTAAAAAAAAAGTTTTAAAAATATTACTTAGGAACGTAACCGGAGCTGGGAACGTAACCGGAGCAGATCAGTTGAATTATTTAATCAAAAAAATTAAGATATATGATTTAAAGCACATATACTAATTTAAAAACGTACGGGATTGTTCGAATGCATATTTATTACATTTTATTTAAAGAAAAAAATGTATCCCACTGTGAAAAATTAAATTGGGTATTTACCATGCATAAGTGCACTTACCTTAGAAAGGCTATCAAACATAAAACAATCATTGTATGGAGAATGAAGTGATTAAATGTAGTAAGCAAATAATTCCATTTGATTTCACCCATTGTATTTGTTCAGCGAACTATTAGAACCCACTCTGTTATACTAATTTCGTATATACAGGGTGGTCCAAAAAATGGGACACTCATATTTCAAAAATAAATATTGATTTTCTTGATGAAAACATGTCATATTATATACCAGTGGATACGGAATTAATCTTTAATTTGGTATATCATAAGGTCAAATTTATTATAATGTCTGTCAACCAGCGTCCATAATATAAATGACGTCATTTTCGTTTCAAAACGGGTTTTTCAAAACTTGCAAAAACCAAGTTTTATTGTCAACTTGATTTACATAAACCAATATTCAATATTTCCACCATTTTGATCAATTGTAGCCCTCAATTTTGGCCTAAACTAGTCAATAGCATATATGCTGTTGAGACAATGAACTTCACTTATCAACAATTCTATCCTGAGTAAGGGCTGAGTAGATGTAAGGGGTTCATGATAAACCAATTTTGTTAGTTCTCCCCATTCGTGTTGGTCGCAGACGTTGGGTGATCTGGGGAGGCAGTGATTAAGGGGGAGGAATCTAGGCACATTTTCTTTTAAACATTTGACATTCTTGTGGGATCTATTGCTTTGAGCCCCATCTTGTTGGAAAATGTAATGATTCCAAAATGAGCTCATATCAGAATGGTCCAAAAACAACATAATTGGATCATCCGATATCAACGTCTGCGACAACCACATATTGTGAGAACTAACAGAATTGGTTTATCATGAACCCCTTACATCTACTCAGTCCCTTACTAAGGATAGAATTGTTGAGAAGTGAAATTCATTGTCTCAACAGCATATCAATGATGCTATTGACCAGTTTAGACCAAAACTGAGGGCTAAAATTGATCAAAATGGTGGATATATTGAACGTTGGTTTATGTAAATCAAGTTGACAATAAAACTTTTTTCAATGGAAATAAAAGTGTGCTCGACCAAATCGAATCAACATATGCTTTCTGAAATTCTTCACCTAACCCCCCCTCCATATAAACGTAAGATGTTTGAGTGAGTGCCCGTTTATTGTTTTATGCAAAACCAGTTGTTATCCATCTTTGTTTCGATAAACCTAGGCGTGGGTCATTAAGCAAGTAAGAAAGTGAATGATTTTTTCTAGTTAAACTACAGAACATTGCTTTTCAGTCGTTAATAGACAGTGTTCTATAATTCGATCACACCAAGTAAGCTGACATATGTGTTTGTAAATAATATATATGCTTTAAATCATATATTTTATCTTTTTAAATTATATAATTCAACTGATCTGCTCCGGTTACGTTCCTAAGTAATATTTTTAAAACTTTTTTTTAATTAAACAAATCAGAGTCGTGTGAATCAGAAATAACAGAATTATTCAAAAGTATAAGGACTATTCTGTACTTTTTTCAAAAGTCTATACTTAAATGTTGTAAAAAGTTATAATCGAAAAACCATCTTTCGGAGTAAAGTCTGTCTGCATCGATTTCAATAACTTCGTACTTGATCAGAACTGGGTTCCAACAGAATTCCTACAAACTCATGAATGAAATAGTTATTGCATGGAATACTTACTTTTGTCAAAATCAAAATAGAACTCTAGTTAAAAAATATATTGTGCTAAATTATTGCCATTTCTTAGTAAAATGTCGTTCTCCGGTACGTTGCCAAAATTATTCGATGGTACCCCGTGAAAACCGTTAATTTTAATTTCAAATCTACCCTGTCTTTGGAAAAATCGATGATTGCGAGTCTCACACTACACTGTTTTTCTTCAAACTTGTTCCATTAAAACCTTCACAGAAATACCTTTCAGTTGAGACATTGCCTTTGTTTACAAAGTCTCTCATTTTCGCGGCGTTTTGGTCCCCAGATGTGAGAAGATGCAAATCTTCAGAGATTTCAACCAACAGCCTCGATAAATCACCAGTTCTTTTATTATTCTCCCCTATATTTTGCACAAGGACTCCCATTACAATCCTCCATCGCTGCATCAACATATTTATTACATTAACACAGCAATTTAAAAAAGTCCTACGCAACTGTTCGAAACTGACCAAAACGCCCTGTTGTCTTCCAAAATGCCCTGCAGAGTCTATGACTACAAACGTGGAGAGATCATGGGAGACAGGTTACCTGAAAAGGAAGATAGATATCATATCTATCTTCCTTTTCAGGTAAAAGGAAGATAGATATCATAATCTCTTATCTAAACAAGTTTAGATAAGAGATAATGATATCTATCTTCCTTTTCAGGTAACCTGTCTCCTATGGGAGAGATAAGGTGTATAGATCCAACGGATTTTACCGATTTAGATATCTAGTACCATTTTTTGTAGAAAAACTGATTTTTGACTTCAAAAAGGCTATCTCTTTGACATATTTTCCATGTTTTTTATTCTCTCAGATTGAACAGGTTCAATGTTTTATGCTCTAAGCCAAAATTGCCTATACTGCACATACCTACCAAAATTATTTAGACTAGAGTGAACCCCCCGGGACACTAACCAAACCCGTCTGGCCCTGTTATTTACTCCCGAAGTCGAAGATCTACGACGTCAGGAGTAGATAACTGGGCCAGACAGGTTTGGTTACCGGGACCAGGGACCGAGACTAGAGTCCATTTCACTGCTTCATTTCGTCAGTAGAACGGCAAAAATAAGAAATTGGGAGACCATTGTGCAATAATATATGGAAAAGTATATTCATAATGTACATGAATGACATTTGTATATTTCAGATTTTTTAGTTTTTTGTGCAATAAGCCTGTACCGTCTTGTAATTTGAAGAATTTCAGCCATGTTAATCTTATTGAAAATAACATGGCAGAGAAACATCCAAATATAAGAGGCCACACACTTTATAAGCCAAACTAGAAGCAATCCAAGATATACAAATGTCATTCATGTACATTATGAATATACTTTTCCATATATTATTGCACAATGGTCTCCCAATTTCTTATTTTTGCCGTTCTACTGACGAAGTGAAGCAGTGAAATGTTACTTCCTGCGAAAGCTATTTGGATTTTGATATAATAGCTTTCCCACGGAGCATTTGGACAGCTCAATGATCGTGACCTTTGAAATCGAATTAAGTCGATCGGCGGCTTACTTTTGGTCTCTAACTGTGTCTTACATCAGTATCATCAATCCGTGTAAGTATTGGAGCGCTGGAGTACTTCTTTTTCGATCAAGACTTGTAATTGTTAGTCGAGTGAATCGTTTTACTGCCAAATTCCAATATGGCGGTTTCTGCTCGGACATTTTCGTAAATCTCCGGAGGTTGTCCGAACCTAACTAATTCTCAAAATTCATTTCGTTCGTTGCGTATCTCGCACCTAGCAAACTGCCATATTGGAAATAGGTCTGTAAAACTTTAACTCGATGAACAATTTACAAGTCTTGATCGAAAAAGAAGTACTCCAGCGCTCCAATACTTACACGGATTGATGATACTGATGTAAGACACAGTTAGAGACCAAAAGTAAGCCGCGGATCGACTTAATTCAATTTCAAAGGTCACTATTGATCAGCTGTTCACTTCTCCGTTTGAGAGCCATAAGTTTCAAAATCTAACATGGCTCTCGAAGTGAGTAAGTGAAATGGACTCTAACATAAAACAAGACAGGTGCCAAACAAACACATGCTATCTATTGCAAGACTTACGCCTGCCACAACCGTCACCATGTTAATCAGTGTTTTTTAAGTAGCGCAAGGATCCTGCCATGACCGTGGTAGTGTTATCGTGTAAGCCTGGTATAACCGTGACAGGCTGGTATAACCGTGACAATGCTGTATTCTATTGCAAGGCCTGTCATGACCCTGGAAGTGTTATCGTGGAAGCCTGGCGCGACCGTAGCCTTTATTGTGGTTTATAAGCGAATGTGAATATTAATGTATAGTAGTAATTTTGATATGATTAAGGTAGTTAAACACCATGATCATAGTATTAAACTGTTTAATTGTAATGAGGATCACTTAAAATTGTTAAGGATATTCCTGGCATTAATGTCATACATATTTACTAGTCATTGCAATACATTATAACGGTCATAGTAGACCTAAGCCTAAATCTCTACATTACCACCCTCATACCTGGCCTTGCAATACTATATTACATTGTCACGGTCATACCAGGCTTTGCGATCCCATAATACATTGTCATGGTCATGCCAGGTTTTCAAATACACATTGTCACGGTCAATTATAGCAATCATAAATTTCTACATTACCACTCTCATACCCGAACTTGGAATACTATATCACATTGCCATGGCGGTCATACCAAGCCTTGCAATACTATATTACATTGCCATGGACATGCCAGGCTTTGCAATACACATTGTCACGGTTATAGCAGTCCTAATCGTAAATTTCTACATTACCACTCTCATACCTGAACTTGCAATACTATATTACATTGTCACGGTCATGCCAGGCCTTGCAGTACTATATTACATTGTTACGGTCATACCAAGCCTTGCAGAACTATATTACATTGTCACGGTCATGGCAGGCATTGCAATATAATACAGCATTGTCGCGGTTATACCAGGCTTTCACGATAACATTACCACGGTCATGGCAGGATCCTTGCGCTACTTAAAAAACACTGAATAACATGGTGATGGTTAGGGCGAAGGGGTGTAACGTCGACACCATTTTGGGGTAACTTCGACATGTGGGGTAACTTCGACACCTTGTTGTTTATTTGCTCTAATTTCCGATCTATGGGGAAGCCATGTTTTTTTTCTCGCATGGATCGAGATCTCGCGAGATTTTAATTTCTCCAGAAATCAAACATGGTGGAAAACGGAAATTCTACTTCTAATACGTAAGTGTCGAAGTTACCCCGTCTATTATGTCGACATTACCCCACACGTCGACATTACACCCCTTTGCCCTACGGTTATCGCATCCTACGACCCCTTTAGATTGTGGTCGTACGCGCGTATAATTGGGCAGTCAATGTTTTTACAAAGTTTGAGAAAATACTACGCATTGCACACCTAAATGACCTACCTCGATACATTCCTTGGTATTTTAGAATTCTTTTTATGTTGTTAGATCGCCAATTGTATGGGTTTATCGGCAGAACGAAGAGATTTTAGTTTTTACATCGGAAATATATCAGCAATTTTCAAAATGTCGGAAGGGGAATTCCCCAGGGATTTCCCTTATGACTGGTGCATGCCGGGAACTGAATGGAGGAATTTGACGGTTGAAATAAGTTAAATATTACACGCAAATATTGCTATCAAAAACGAAAACCTCTTCGTTCTGCCGATAAACCCACACAATTGTGGATTCAACTACACGAAAAGAATGGTAAAATACCAAGGAATCTATTGAAATAGGTATCTTAAGTGTAAGAAGCGTAGAAAATTCTCCCATGTTGTAATCGTACAGACAAAAGAATAAGACGTTCGCAAGACTAGAACGTAGAGATAGTCTTGGAACGAGATAACCGGCGTTAGTCTTGCAACAGATAGGGTCTACAACAAATGCCAAGTTTTGATTGAATCATTGAAAATTAAAGAAGAAAAACAGTTGAAGGCTATTGTCCGGGTTAAATTAAAAATACGATCATCATTGTGAAGGGACTTCAAGAGAGATATAAAGGTAAAAATATGAAAAAAGTAAAAAATACTAACTTTTTTACACCCGGAAGCTGCCATTTTGCGCATGAGCGAAACGTATTCTACGTTTATATGTTACAGCTCATCTGATTGGTAGGCGTAAATTTTTAATCCAATGAAACATCGACTTTCAGATTTTACTGATGATGACGTAAGGAAATCGCCATTTTGCTTCGTGTACAGCGGAAACAATATTTTCTTCGTTTTCTTTACATTTGTAGCTGTAATAGCTGAGAATACGAATTTTTTTCATCAGGTATGTCATCTATCTATAAAATCACTTCAATACCATTCATAAATATCCGCATATGATTGAATGATAACTGTGAAATCAGTAATTTATGAAGAACTTCGCAATAATTTTTTTTTGACAAAAAATCAAATGAAAATCAGTCAGATAGCCTACAGACTGGATGTATTTGGGAGGTTTGTAGGTATTTATTTTACAATCTTTATGTGCCTCCAAATGTAAATCGTGGTAAAGCAAGTTTCCCAAGTCTTTCTGGGATATCCAGGCATTCACTCTAAAAGGCTAGGATGTGGGGACTCTAAATCTACACTCAAATTTTTTATTCTGGGAACCAGTTCATATGGTTAAATTAACGAAATGATGTGATGTAACCACGTATCTACTCACCAGTATGTTCTATGTCATCCATCGGACAAGGTTACTATTTTTTTCATGGCCTGAGTTCGTCGCTAACATGCTAAATATAAGAGTTAGCTGACGTTTGGGAGTCTGACTTACCTTCTAAAGGTTAGAACCCGAATCTTAATGAAACCATATCACCTTTGTTCCGTCAACCATGGAGCATTTGCCACAACATCCAAGAGGTAAATCATTGACCGTGAAAATGAATGATTTCCTTGTAAGTTCCGGAAGTTTCAATACAAAAAATTACCGAACATATGTGAAAACCGAATATTTGTTCGTTGTTTTCACGATTTACAGGTTCGTTTGTTCTCCAATGTTTTGGTCTAAATTATAAAGCATCACCAACAGGTCTTACTCGTATCGACTAATACAGCAGACGGCTCATATTTGTACGTAGCATTTTGTTCAGACCAATTGTGGGAGTGCAGATCACGCAGTTTCGTTCGTTGCGTACTTCACTTGAAATTGGTAATTTTAAATATTGGCTACTTCACTTAGCTTGGCGGATGTAGAACATTGCTTAATATTATTTTAATTTTCACACCAGACATGCTTGGTTGACACGTCAACAAAGTAAAGTTCAAGGGTCAATGCGTTATTTAGTGATAACTAGAACGCCTTCCCGGAAGTCAACATTGATGAAAAATGAAAAAGTCGGAAAAGCATTTACACTAATTTCTATCAAATGCTGTGTTTATGCATCATCATAGACGCAACAAAGGTGATATGGTTTCATTAAGATTTGGGTTCTAACCTTTAGAAGGTAAGTCAGACTGTACACTAATTTCTATCAAATGCTGTGTTTATGCATCATCATAGACGCAACAAAGGTGATATGGTTTCATTAAGATTTGGGTTCTAACCTTTAGAAGGTAAGTCAGACTCCTAAACGTCAGCTAACTCTTATATTTAGCATGTTAGCGACGAACTCAGGCCATGAAAAAAATAGTACATTGTGGAACTCAGCCGGGATAATTCCCATCCAGTCCCGAAATATTTTTGTCCCGTGACATCCCTAGTAATTATTATGTGCCTGGCTAGTACCACTTTGGAAATCTTATGTAAGGTTCTATTGAACTTGAAGGCTCCCAAGACCAAGTTGGAAGTTGAAACTAGATAAATTTGGGGATTTATGACGTTTTGTTTTTGCTTATGAAGATCTTGTAAGATTTTCATTTCACTAAAATAACACATTACAACATGTACAAGAGAAGCCACTAAATACATGTAAGAAATGGAAATAGATCTGTCCAATATCTTGTTTTAATCACAAATTCGGTTGATTTCAGCACACAATTTGATTTGCTACTATTTGTGATTTCTGAAAAGTTTACTTTCTCTGTATATTTGCAAATTAATCTCTTTAGATTTTGTGATACAACTCGGTTGATCTATGTTGATTTATGACGTTTTGTTTTTGCTTATGAAGATCTTGTAAGATTTTCATTTCACTAAAATAACACATTACAACATGTACAAGAGAAGCCACTAAATACATGTAAGAAATGGAAATAGATCTGTCCAATATCTTGTTTTAATCACAAATTCGGTTGATTTCAGCACACAATTTGATTTGCTACTATTTGTGATTTCTGAAAAGTTTACTTTCTCTGTATATTTGCAAATTAATCTCTTTAGATTTTGTGATACAACTCGGTTGATCTATGTTTACCTTCATCAGAAAATCATACATACATACAAACATGCATAGCATTCAATGTCACTATAAATTAGACCATTTTCACATAAAGTATGCTGTCATTTTCAAGGGTTTCACTAGAATATCTGACAGCAGGCTAAATAAATGAAAACAACTGGCAAAATTAATGGAAATCCAAAATTCCCTCAAAACAACATGCAATTTTGTGAAAACTGGTGAAAATCACCTGTCGCCTGCTGCTAATGAAACTCCTGCATTTTGCACATGATATGTTTTGACTCTGAAGACAGTATAAATTGAAATGACCTTTTAATGCAAGACTCCCAATCTAACCCAGAGACCACTGTTGATTTTATGACAACTTTAAGTTGGTAAAAATATTATATTTTTTCACTTTCAGTTGTCTTCCAAATACAAGCAGGATGTTTATCTGGGAATTTTTTACAGGAATGTTAAATTATTTAGGTGAGTTATCTATTATCATTTTGAATTACCATACAGACATCTGATTATGTTTTGACATTTGGCTGTCTAAAAGACTAGTGTTTTCTCTAGTACTTAACTTTAATCATCTTTGGTGTCCAAACGTCAAGAGTTGTCAAAAATGAAGTGTTATGGTATATTTAACCCCCATCTTTCATAAATAACTAAGATGACAATGGACACGATCCAATTCACGATTGAGGTCTTTAAACTTGGTAGAAATATAAAAGTAACTGTTGGCTCATTTAGAAACAAACTACAAAATGATTTTGATCTAAATATAATCTCTATGAAACAGAAAGTAGTAAACTATGTATCTACTTTAAATGGACTTATTAGCCTTTTGCAGATCATTGATGTAGATGTAGAATACAGTCAACATTTTTAGGTTTGGGAAAGCGCAATGGAAAAATTATATTTCTTGGTCTGGATAATGCTGGCAAGACGACATTGTTGAGTGTACTGAAGGAGGGCCATATGACTCAACCAGTACCTACTCTACACCCCAGTAAGTCAGAGAATCCCCTACAGAAGCTGAAGCAATGAATGGAATGTGCTTGTGATTTACAATGTCTGCAGCGACTAATATTTACGTTTTGTTGCTTTGTAGATGCACTGCAGTTATACTAATCATGTTTTGTTACGTTGTAGAGTAAACTTGGCTGAACAGTTTTATGAAATCACAAATCTTCATACATGTCACTGTGGTCTAGTTTTATTGGCCAATTTAGTGTTAAAAAGAGGCTCTTGAAATATTAAGAGGTAATTTTATAAGGGCAAACACATAAATAATATTGTGATTATCTGACTAATTTATTTCAGAATAATTTTGCTAGATCACAGTGACTACTAAACTAACCCAGTTGTCCCATTAACATGGTTGCATTGTTACATTGTTAACTGTTAGCATGATGTCTTATAGGTTTATATAAGAAATCTGGTAAGCTGGTGTTCTTAGGATTAGATAATGCTGGTAAGACAACACTACTACATATGCTCAAAGATGACCGTATGGCCCAACCTGTACCCACCCTACATCCAAGTAAGTATGGCCCACCTTGTGCATTGGCCCAGCATTCATCAAAGCTATTCATCAGCAGCCAAATGATAACACTGTACTAATTGCTGTTCTAAAGATTGATCACTTTTGATGTGGAACCAGAATAATTTAAAAATAATATGCATCCCATTTCGATAATACTGAAATTGAATATGTAAATAATACTAAATATATTAATATTATGAATTTGTATATATAACTATAATAAAGATCTATTTCATGAATTAATACCAATTTGATCTTAAACTCAGAAGAAATTCCAGTCCAATCAATAAAAGCCACATGGCCTATATGCTATATGTGAAATTACCTCCATCACCTGCATTCAATAATTTATAGCTATTTAGAGTTATTCATCATAACTTGCAGTAACACTATCTAGTAGATCCTGACCATGGTGGCAGGTGGCAAATCTTTGTATGTGTAATTCGTTATCTACTGTTATATAAATGCATGTATAGGTATTAACCAGCATTAATGTTATCTAATGTGTTTCTGATGGGGAGTATGTCTCAATTACTATTATTCAAATACCTAAACAGGATTAACCTAGTATTTTCTCAGCCATGAGATAATACATGTATATGTTAACATGATGTTAGCATTTGAGAACAAGTTAGGAATATCAGATTGCACTTCCAGTATACCTGCATACAGCTAATAGTGATATATTATTAAGATGTGGCTAATTATGTTGTAGCATCTGAAGAACTGTCCATGGGTGGTATGAAATTCACAACCTTTGACTTAGGAGGACATCAACAAGGTATAAACATTTAATCAGTGTCATTTTTACTATATAGGCCAAATTCTACACAAAATTTAATATCCAAAAGTGACCGCCACATTGTTTGGAAATGTTGAGCAGAAATCACCATTAGTATCTACTTACCCGATGATCTTTGCTAGTAGAGAAGATAAAAAGTTTTTTCAACTGGTCACTCGATGTAACTCATTATTAGTGCTTTTCATCTTTCATATTGGTGGGGATTTAGAATCCCTCATGGTTCATTTCTGTTTCATGTCATGAGTAAGTTAATGTTTAGACCCATTTAAGTCAATTATGTAGTGTAGCTACTAGCTATGGTAAATGATAATCCATTGATTGTTGTATGTTCCAGCACGCAGAGTGTGGAAAGATTACTTCCCAGCTGTAGATGGTATTGTATTCCTGGTAGATGCCTTAGATAGAGAAAGATTCACAGAAGCCAAAGCTGAACTAGATGTATGCTTTTTATGCATTTATTGCTGGTTTATTTATATATGAAGCAAATTTAGATAAAATGAAACTATATGCTTTATTCATAGAGCTCATTTCAAATAATATGATGAATTTTGATTTCATTTGTGGAAGTACATTTCAAATATATACTCATTGTTACTGTTATATTTGCCAAACTGACCACAATTAAGACTTAAAATACAATAACTCAATGGGTTGCCTGAAATCTAATCAAACTGGGCAGTTGTTTAACAACTACAATGTAGAAGATGAAATATTTCATTTCTTCAAAATAAATGAATTTGCACAAAATGAATACATGCAAAATGTAAATATTGTATTCATTTCCTCCTTGAAATAAGCAATAAATATATTCTTGTATATTTTTGTGATGATTGTAACTCAAAATATTGTGTAAACTTGCCTCTAGTGTATCATTAATTAATTTGGCAAAGTTTGTAATTATTTGATGATAGATTGATTGATTGATTGTGCATGTGTATTGCAGAGTTTATTAACAGATGAGCAGGTTGCCAGTGCCCCTGTGCTGATCTTAGGAAACAAGATAGATGCTGCTGGAGCAGCCAGTGAGGATGAACTGAGACACCACTTTGGTCTACATGGCCAGACCACAGGAAAGGTAAGGCACTCACATGGCATTTGATAGACAGTATCTCAACAGTGTCCATGATCAAAAGTGTTGTAAAAATGTGATTTACAATATCTTTCATTCAGATGATAATGATAGACCCTTCCTGGAGCCTCCTTATCAAATAATCAAAGCAATCTAAGTTTGTTTAAATGAGAATAAACTTTGAACATTATCATACTTAAACCATGTTTTGTCTGTATAGTACTACTGTTTGTGTAACAAACTTGTCTTTTTGTCTCGTCTCTTTCATTATAATATTTAGTATGTGAGTAGTTACTACAGGCAACTTCATTGCTATTGGCAGGAGTTAAATTCAAAGAGAAAATTAACCCTTGGCATGCTGCCCTATTTTGGCAAATTTATCTCATGCATCTGGCTTATTTTTTGAATAGTGGAAAAAATGATATACCCAGCCTGGACTAAATAATTAATATCTCAATAACTACTAGATAAATCTGGATAGAATTTTCACAAAAGTTAAGGAAAAAAGGAAGATACACTGGCTTAGCTCGTGAAAAATATCTGATGAAGTTTTTCCATAAATAAACACAACTGGGCATAAATACGAGGGTTGTCCCAGAAGTAATGCACTATATGCTCTAACTTTATCAATAATTGATATTTTTCCATGAAATGTTCAGTAAATGTTCCTTAGATACATTTTGATTATTCTACAAATTTTCATGTTGACTGATAAAACTATATTGATGTTATAATAAAATCAAGTTGGTGAGTTTGGGTAGGGCGGGGCAGGTTATACAGTCACGTCAAAAGGAATAAAAAATTGAAAATATGAAATAATTAATCAACAAATACCATTTTGTGTAGCTATAAGAAGTATGCTCAAAAATACATTTTAAGATACTAAATTACTATGAGAACATCCAAGATTTAATGGATGTATATTGCACAGTGTCCCATTTCACATTTTCTCAAAATATTGCCCTTTGCATATTATATACTTTTGATCCCTGTCAGGTCAAACACTCTCGGCAATTTCTTCCACTGTGACTTGTGGAGTTTTTGCCTCCCATGTTTGGAGTTGTCATACAGGGACAAATCGTCTCTTTTAAATCTCTTCTGCCACCCCATAATTTTAGTTCTATCTGGTATATACTCCTTATATACTTTCTTCATGGTAGCATTGTTTTGCGTGGCTGTGAGTCCAAGTGAAGTATGAAATTAGGCCACCAAACGCAAGGCCTTCTGTTATCAGGTGAGAATTGCAGCTATTTTTGCAATTTCTTGACTGTGACTGTATTTGAATTCGAGACTATTGAAATGTGGTATTATGACATCACAGTGCTAAATGTCATTATTCGTACTTGGTTAACATCGTGCTGAATAATTTTAACAATTTCCCAAACATTTTGACCATTTAAAGGAAAGAAATATTAATAAAATAACACTTTAGATCTTTTCATAATTAGAAAAATTGGTACCTGCCCCACCCACCCCTACCCCCATGTTGTTATAGCAACCATATTAAGACTTAATATTAATGTTGGATGCTTAAACTTCAGGATATAATAGATAAAACTTCAATTGTTATATACACAAAATTTCAGCTGAATTGAAGAATATTAAAGAAAGTTAGAGAATATAGTGCATTACTTCTGGGACAACCCTCGTATACCATGAATACTACTCCAGAATCCACCACTACGCCCCTTGGAAGACTCAACCTCTGGTCTGAATCCAAATCTGAATTTGCAACGATCTATTTTCAACTTTTCGCTTCAGAAAAAAAGATTAAAATTCAATTTCTGATCTCCATTATCTGCTTCCAAAAGCCTTGATAGCTTAAAATCCCAGTCCATATCCTCGAAGTTTTCATTAAGATAGTATCCATTAGAAACAATCAAAAGTGACTTAAATTAGAAAATTTTTGAAAAGTTTGCCATTTGTATTATAATGACGTCATTTAAATGGCCTCATGGGAAGTATTATGTGACGAGGAATCTGATTGGCCAGCAGCTTTACTGGCGGCAAAAAGTTAGTTTTTAAAAGTTCAATCTTGGCGACCGGGTAAATCGGCAGTTGTGGTGGACATATTAGCCTCGAATGGACATGTTCACCAGCAGCACGTTAAAGGTTAAACAGTATAGATATGAATGCTGAGTATTTATAAACTTGAAATGTCTATTTCCTGAACGTAATCAATTTAGTTTAAATCTCATATTTTCCAGGGCACAGTAGCAAAGAATGACCTACATGGCAGACCCATGGAACTGTTTATGTGTAGTGTGCTAAAACGACAGGGCTATGGAGAGGGATTCAGATGGCTTGCACAGTATATTAACTGACCGCAGTTACCTTAGACAAATGGGAGTATCAGTTTATGAAATTATTGCGTTGATGTAAAGGCATTGTCAACCTGTAGGGGAGAATAGAGCATAGACAGCAATACTAGAACAACCATTCTGCTGATAGAGTATAGGATCTGAGAACAAACTATAACAGTCCACCCCACTGTGACAAAACAAAGCAAACGCAATGCAATGATAATGGTTAATTTTGCCTTTACGTCAAATGATTAGGATCGAATTGGAAGTGCAAAACCTATTAACAGGATATTATACCTTCAAGCTGAATAATTAACAAAAACTTGATTCTGTGAATGTGACTTTATAATACACTTATGGAGACATTAGGGTATTGCCAAATATTCTCTTTGATGATCATGAAATTAAATATTTGTTTTAATTCTAAATTTATTATCATAAGTGAGTGGCACTGCTCTGATAGTGTAACCATGTGTTTAAGTACATAATATAATAAAGCCAGCAATATAACTTTATTGGGAATTTTTAGTCAATTCATCACATGGTGTACTGTCCAGCATATCATTATAGGAAATTGTACATGGAGTCAATTGTTTCAAAAATCGCAAAATTGATAGAGTATTTTTAAGGAAATGAAATTGTTCTGAAAAAGTTTTAGCATGTACAGATATAAGAAGTTATATTTAAACGACAATGTTTTTTTTTAAATTAAACAATTTTCTTAATAGGATGTGTACAAATAATGTAGGATAATGTAAATAAAAACCATCACATCATCACATCACTAATTAAAGTGTCATGTAATATATCTGGCTATTGAGTATTCACTTCAGAACTGTACAGCATACCCTCAACTGAATATCTTCTTGTTAGGAGCCATTTCAGTTGAGCCTATACTTGGCCAGCGCTTTATCCATTGCCTTTTGTGTAATTGTCCTCACACCTTTTATGTGGTAAAATATGAGTGATATTCACCAAGTTTGTACGATACATAACAAACTGCACTAAATTCACTGAAATTGTTATTGAAAATCCACCTTGGACAAAAAACTGACATTCTTTGTTTATTTTCAGTTGTTGTCAAGTAAAATTAATATATATTAATATGTATAGTTTGTTCTACTTGTGTTTTTGACTTGTTTCTCACGACATACCAGGACTATATTGGGGGTTCATAACAACCCATATACTGGTGCTAGCATGAATGAATAAATAATTTGTAAACTCCATGCAACTTAGTTCATGGCATTTTAACAAGCAAATATTAACTCCCTGTGATGTTGTGTTATACCTGTGTAAATCTGTGTAGCAATCGTGTTAAGATTAACTTATAGTGTTTCTAATCCTGAAACTATTAGGTCCCCACTTTTATGGGGCATATGTACAGATTAAAGCGTTCTTCAGTTCATTTAGGTCATTGATTCTAGTCGCTTCATTATCAATCTTTGTTGTGGTCATAGTAGTTCTGTACAATCTTCTGACTTTAACATTTAAATTACATTTCTTGCCTATTATGGTTTCTTTTCTCTTTAATCTGATAACAGGGCCATCATATGTTTTGTTATTCAGTTGTTCACTATTATTTGTCATTTTAATACATTATTAGCAGGAATTTAAGCAGGGTTATCATAATGATTTAAAACTTTAAAACGAAGTATTCTTTTCAGCAGTTTATGTGTTGTACTCTATCCGTAAGACATGTAATATGAGGTTAGTGTATGTCTAGAAAATGCATACTTCACTGCACACTTCTACATAAGTTTCTCCAATGTATAGCTAGTGCAAACAGAATTCAAAATAAATCAAGATTTCTTTTTGAGTCAAAATTAAATTTATTATAATTGAGCATATTCATATTGTTCAGCAATATTTTTCAACACAGTCCAGAATGATAATAGCTTATGTAGTGAGCTGCATAGTGCCAAATGCTGCTGTTGATGTTATTTTTATTCAATTTAGGATTCAAATTAAAAAAACGTCATTGAAAAGTATTGTTATTATTTTATTAGTATGATATGTTGAATCATTTAGGAGTGCATATTGTCATTCATGAAATATTTCATTCATTTGACCCTTCAATTTCATTGGATTGTAGTACTTGTACATTACAATCAACTGTCTATTATTATTACATTGAGATTGAATGTAAATGTATTTCAGTTTCTCATATTTAAACAGTAAAATAAACATTTGATACAAAAGTAACATATCAACTTGCATTTTATGTTGGGTTTAATGGATGGGTAGGTAAAACCAATGAACATTTCCAACACTGCCCTCTTTGGCCATAGTGAAGAAACCAAAATACATAGTGTATATTGAACCTGCTAGATTCATGATGTTAAAGGGGCAACAAGGACTGTAGAGAGAAAATTCGAAAATTTTCATTTTTTCTGAGCTATCAGGTCAATATTTGGCTTAACACCTTCTTTGACATACCTATTTTCATAAAATGTATGTATAAACTATAAATTTCAGCATTAAGAAGTGTAAATTCAGTTCAAAGCTTCTATAAAGGGAGTCTCACTCATAGATTTTTAAGATCCACCACGTTTCAATAGGAATATCAGCTGAAATAATGTTCAAATGAAAATATATGTTAGTCTTGATGAAATATCCAAACCTAAATTTGTTTTGACACTGGTCGATGATCGTTTAATGGCCCCCCTGCACTAATTGTTGTTGCACCTTTAAAGGCTGTTTTCATTCATGCTTAGGATTTAACTTTTGCTAATTTTGAAAAACATAGTTATGAGCTAGATCTACCTCCAACCTATCACATGTGTATCTACAATAAATCAATGTGGCTTTAATGCTGATCCTCAGCTTAATTTGTGTTTTCATTTCTGAGGTTTATACTACAGTTAAATTAGATACCTTTTTGTCCCGTGTAAGGGCTCTAAACTTTTCAGACTTCAAGATTTTCAGACTATTTTCCACTTTATGCTGCTAGTTATAACAGTTGGGTTGAGCCATATTTTTAGTGATAATTTGAGTATGTTGCTTTTGAATGTCTATTCCCCATGTAGGTTTGTTATTGATATTTTTTCTCCACATGTGGAAATTAATAAAGGTGGAAAAAATTCAGTTAAAAATAAAGAAATATTCAAGTTTATCCTTCTCAATATGTGCAAATGCCTGATTATAATTTAAGACCAATAACTCTACCCCAACAGCTCAAAGCCCTGTACCAGAGAAAAAATAGTTACCTTGGGGCTAGATAGTCAATTCTACATGTTTTGATGATAATAAGATCTTTATGAAAGAAAAGGATTATCAATCTTTAAGGGTAGTCTCACTTGAAATCTCTAGAACCTCCCCCCAGTTATAGTAGCTAGGTCATTTCAGTGGCAGTCTATGCATATTCATTTGTTTACTACTGTGGTTTAAATTTCTGCCCTTTATTAATAGTTTTATTCATCATCTTTAAAAAATAATGCTTCAATCATTTTGGAAGGTTAATCACAATAATCAGAAATGATATTGCACCACTTTTATCAATAAATGTACATTTTGAAAAAGTATATAATGTACGGATTACATAAGTTCAATCTATTTGGTACCTACCTATGTGCATGCAAGACTATTTTCGAACTGGAATGGAGGTAGGCCTGTATTTGTTTTGTTTCAGTTTCTAATGTAACAAGTTTGAACCATTTAGAAATAAATGGTAAAAAATAAATGTAAATATGCTGCAAAGTTGATTCTACCATCGTGGATTTATACCCATGAGTACATTGCAGGCTATTTGAATTGATGGTGCTGATTGTGGGTAATATATATGGAAAATATGCCCAATATCACATAAGTTGAACAAATGCTTGTAATTGTAAAGAGGAATGTAATTTTCAAAATGGCAAAGGAAGTGCCATCTTACAAATATATTTTGATTTAAAGGAAGTGCTACTGATTTGTTAATGTTATAAGCGTTCGTCTATTTTTAGAAACATTGCTGGGGGTCCCTATTTAAAGCCGCCATTGATTGAGAAGTTGGCAATAACTTGAATTGTATTCCATTAGTGAGGATACCGTGATACTGAAGCAAAATAAAATATTATAATATTACAAACTGAAGGATATAGCAAGAGCGAAGCCATGCAGGCCATCAAATGCGTAGTTGTCGGAGATGGGTACGTTTTTATTACATTTCCTAAAAAAGGAGTGAACTTTTTCAAGTTTTGGGTGAACTTTGCTCAACAAGTAGTTATTCGATTTATTGATACATATATATTATGATGATAAAACTTTTGTTTGTCCTGAGTAGGGGATCTAAATGTCCTTGTAGTCCCAAGAATGTGGATGAGAATCAAAGCAATGTATCACTTCCATTTCTTTGGCATAGAGGAACATGTTTCTACTTCCTGGTCATCAAGGTTATCTATAATCATGTCCATCTACTGTTGTTATTTAGTTAATGAGTTATCAACATACATAAACTGAACAATATTTTATCACTCCATTATGTACAAAAATCAGTCATGTCATTGCATATTCTGGTTTCCTGCGATATGCCAGATTTCCTGCTGTCTCTAGAATAGCGGCCAATGAATTTATTCACTCACTTTTTGTGTATTTGTCAGGTTTTTCCAGGTATGGTGAAATTAAGTTCAACATCACATTTTTAACCCGTTGGTAATATGCGAAACTATGCAGCATTTTACTTGTGACATATCCTCTCTAAATATCAATACAATTACATATCTCACACATATTTCTATAAGTATAAGTATTTAAAATGAGAAATTACTTGCAAGGAAACAGTTGCGAAGAATACAAGACAAACTCAAGAGTTTCTTGGCTAGAGGCACGGACCTCTGCCAGATTACCTCCTCTGTGTCTAGGCTCAATAAATATACTCAAGGACAAGACACGTGATCTTCGGAAAATTTATTTTTCCTTGATTTTTGAGTCAGTTTTTCAATAAATGTCACATGTCATACCTCAAACGATGCATACTGTTGTTAGCTTCAACTCCAATCACTAAAGCCACATATTCAAGAAAGCGTCTGTCTATAAAAGCATAAAATAAGCGAGCGTATATTTAATGGCTTAATCTCCGTTGTTCAAATGATTATTCCCGAAGTCAAGTGCCTTTTATGAGAATGTGACGCACTCCGGATGACGTCACATCAGAGATTACCGAGAAGTCCAATGACGTTTCTTTAAACTCCCGTAGAAACAATTACAACGGTTTGTTAGGCTACGCGATTCTTTACTTTCATTGGCTGCTCTCCATTATCTCTATGCTCTGAAAATTTGAAATAAATGTCCCGGGAAAAGTCGAATTACAGCGTCAATAATGGATATCATGCAACCATTCAAACTAATACATAAAGAATAGATTACAGGGTAAATATTGATCAATCAATGTCTAACAGATGGAAAAAATAAAGGTCAGTACGAGGGTCATATTTTTGGGTGATCATTTTTTTGATGTAGCATTTTTGGCTCGAGTCTCATCTTCCCATTAATCCTTTGAGCCTACTACCAATAGGGGCTGGATCTGGCTCCGGATCTGTGGCTAGAGGGCGAGATCAAGCCAAGAGATTCATTCATGTATATCTTTTTACATGCTCATCTCCCTCTACCTGGTTGTACTAAGTTAAGATTAGTAAATCTGGTAAAAAACACTGCTGCTCCATTTTCTTGCCTGTGGATATCACAATATGTTTGGATGGAGTGAAACTATTCATACTGAGATTGCCAAATACCTTTGCTTATTTTTACAAAGGAACATTAATCCCTGAAAGCAATTTACCAGACATTGTAGTCTGTAGACTGTTATCTTATTTTCAATGTGTGAACATAGAGAATGTTACTCTTTGCATTCATTTGAATTTAAGTCAGGCTCTTAAAAGCATGAAAGCTTTATCTGTGCTTTGAATTGTAGACTGAGTATGTGTGGAAGAAGGGTTTCCTAGCGACAGGTGTTCACTAGAGAGAGATGTTTACTTAGACAGGTTTTACTGTATCCATGCTGTCATCATTGGCCCTGAATTGACCATAATTGAAATGTTCATTATTTAACATATTTCTTTCTGCTCATTGATTGGTTGAGAAAATGTATCAGCATTTTGATGGCCACTGGCAATGGGAGTGAAGCTGCTAAACTGTCAAATTGTCCATCATACTCAGAGGATAGGTTAGAAGTAAACTTTGTATTTGTGGTAAGGGGATGTTAGATGTTTTTCTCATATGACTAACAAAGATACAGCCATCTTTACCCCATGCAAGATTTGCCATCTTTCATCCTAAAAAGTCACACGTGCAATATGAGATTTACTTATGACATCACTTGTTTATAAACATCATCATCATGACAACGGATACACTGTTGCTATGTGTTGCATGCTCATTCTACAAAAATTAGTTGTGACATCATAACAATCGGGCTTTGTTACCCCGTGTAGCAATGTATATTCTACAACATTGTCATGATGTCATAACAATTGAAAGATGAAGTTCCATTATTTTCACTCAGTTTTATCATAAAAAGGTGAAAATATGGCATAATTTATGGAGTCGTGAGAAAAACTTTCTTGTACTCGTACCTGTGAAAGATCGTCCAATTCTTGATTCGCTTTGATAATATTTCTTTATCTCGTCGAAAATATCAAAGCTCATCAAGAATAGACAATCGATCTTGCACAGGTACTCATACAAGAACCTCTATTTCTGTGCAAAAGGATTGAACTGTTGTTATTGTGAACCTAATTTGTGAAAGAAATTCAAAATGAATCTGAAATTTCAATCTACCATTTTGGACAATGGCAACTGCAGTTTCCGTAAAGGTGTCCCAGTGTAGTACACGCATTGTAATATTGGATCATGAATAGGGCCAGTTGTGTTAGCAATTTGTGGTTCATGAATCATTTCCATTGCTAACAATGAAGTTTCCTAATTAGTATCCACCTTATTATGATATTTTCATATTCTAAGATTTACATGTACTTTTCAAAAGTAACATTGACTTATATCTTTTAAACTGTCAATCGAGTATATATTTTATATACCCTAAATATAATTTACTTTATTCACATTGCCGGATGACCACTTAGAAATCTGTGTTAGTGTGCTAGATAAAACAAGGTTTTATGAGGTCACCATGTATTTGTTTTGTTTTATAAGGAAGTGAATAGAATTACCTGCATTTGTTATTATACTCATCAGGTGCGATAGTGGGCCTGAGGTATCTTGATATCTAATAGGCTTGACATGATTTAACCATCTTAAAGGAAGTATTTGAGTTTTGACAATCCTTTAAAAGTGTCACAATTTTACAATAATTTTTTCATGTCGCCTATTTTTAAAATTCTAAAAAAGTGTAAATGAATTCAGTTTTGCCAATATTAAATAGCTTTCTCATTTGAAATCATAATTTTTTTTATAATTTAGAATGTGCAAATGTTCAAATTCAACCAGTGCTCAATAATATAATTACACCCTACTATTACTATCCAAGTAGTCACTCCGTTAGGCCACAATTTCTTTTTACAAATACAAACATGTCATATTTCTTTGAATAATGCACAAAATTTGGGGAATTATAGAAAAACACATGTTTGGAAAAGGTGCTGTTTAACTTTGATTTTTCATCAGTCATCATTTGTACTATGCACATAAAGTGTGTGAGATGTCATGTAGCTAATCTATGTCATATTGTCCTTGACAACCCCTAATACAACAGAGAAATGTAAGAAGATTAAGATATCACAGTGTCTCTTGTTGGAAGAAAAGTGAAAAAGTAAACTTAATGTTCTAGACCACATTTTCCAGAATTTAATATTTTGAATCAGGCTTATTTATGTAGAAAAGAAAAAGAATGATTTGGGGTTAAATCTTGGTCTGGAAAGTTCTTACTCTACACATGTTCACTCACAGAGTATTGGAATAATGAGAATCAAAATACTGACTTCAAGTTGGTAAACTGTATACAGTTTCAAGCAAACTACCCTCAGTCTCGTGGTAACGTTTGAGCATGCAACTCCTCTTCCTATAAAAATTAGAGCCAATAGTAAAAAAATTTTTGATCGACCCTTGTTATCTTGCTTAAAAAACTAATAGAAAACTTGCTTGTAGGAAATATATTTTGAAATACCCAATATTGAGAAAATGTAAGCTGTTTAAGAAAGATATTGCATTAGAATCATATATGGAGTTAGATTAGAAAAAAATAGATTACCAATAAGTAGATTTAGGTTAAGTTCACATCAGTTAATCAGGAAGACACATAAAACCATAATCCAAATGAAAGGTCATGTAACACAATTTTATATGTGGAGGGTGAATTTCACTTATTTTAGTTGAAGTGTACAAAGCAAAATGTTCGATCTGAACTGACATGGTTTATTTGAACTTATAATTTCAAGTGATAATATTATTCTACAAATTGATATCCTGGTAAAGAAGGGGAGTTGTTTGTAGAATGAATCATTTAATTTAAATCATTTTATTGACTATGAGATACCATATAATCCCCAAAAATATTTCTCATTTTTAAGGATTATCCATGGATTAACACCTAGGTATTTCATTTATGTTCATACGATTGGGGATCCGATTCACTTTTGAATAATATAAATGCTAAATCACTTAAGTTCATTAACTTCAGAGAATGAAACATGACGTCATAAGATGTCATGGTTTGGCGGATATACAGGAATATATAGCCGACCTTCAGCTCCATTGACTTCATGTGTAGTAACTCTTCAGGTACTTCATATCTGTTTTTGATGTTTTTCAGTGCGGTTGGTAAAACCTGTTTGCTGATCAGTTATACAACAAATGCCTTCCCTGGAGAGTACATCCCCACAGTGTAAGTAGACCCTGCTACAATAACGTGTCTTTTATAAACATTTCATAAGAATACATATAGGCTCATCAAGGTAAAATTGAAAACCGACACCCTGCAATATTGTCGATTGATTTTTTCAAATGCAAAATCAATCTAATTCGAGTTAAATTTCATGGCCATCATTTAGATTTGTTATAATTAATTGTAATAATTTATGTAATCATAAATTTTACCTGGTCAAAATTATAGTTTTATGTTACCTAAAGTACTGAATCCAATGTTAAAATTACAGTATTTCATTCAGAATAAGTTTGTTCAGAAGAGAAACTTTATGAAATTGAACATATCTGAGGAAATGGCTGTATGAATACACATTCTCAGTGTTGATTCACTTAGCAGCTAACCGCAAGTTTCTTCTCCGTTATATGTGTCATAATATCCTAACTATGCATTGTTGATTTCTCTAAAATTTCAGGTTTGATAACTATTCTGCCAATGTAATGGTAGATGGCAAACCTATCAATCTGGGCTTATGGGATACAGCTGGTCAGGAGGATTACGATAGGCTACGTCCCTTGTCATACCCTCAAACAGTAAGTGATCCACTTAGTTGTAAACTTTTGCTCATTTTGATATGTTTCAAGAATGGAGACTAAGACATGGTAACATTAGTAGATCTTTAGGTAAAATCACCTTGATGAAGTCAATTGCTCTTCGTGATGCCATGGAATTTTTATGGAGCAAGTGAAAGGAAAGAATTAAATTTTGAAAAATTCCACGAAAGATCAACTTACTGAATAAAGTGAATTTTAACTATTATCAGCATGACATTGAACCCTGATGAACAAGGAAGTATCAGTCATTATGTATACAGGTACACATGCTTTATTTAAACACAATTGCAGAACATGTCAGGTTTTGTTAAAGTAACTTCCTTGCTGGCTATTGTTATGTTTTAGTTTTTACTTTTTCAAGTTGAATGTTAGCCATATTTTCCCATTCAGTCATATTATTAAATGCAGTTCAATTCTAATATGAAATGTTTTCTTAATAACTACCAACTTTAATGTTAGTGATGTTGGACTATAATGTAATCACTTTGTATTTATTATTACAGGACGTGTTTCTCATCTGTTTCTCTCTCATCAGCCCTGCATCCTTTGAGAATGTCAGAGCAAAGGTATGTAGATACATCTAATCACGAGTATGAAAGGGAAAGGACCAAAATACTCTAGATATTCTTCAAATTAATATAATGTGTTTTCCTTCTACAAATTTAAATATATAGTCTTTCCTGGATTTAGCCTTTATAGTTTATTTACTTACCATTGGTATTGAGCTGTTTTTTTGTTTTAAGTAAATAAAATGAGATAGCATTAATTCACCATTGTCAAAAATAATGTTTAATGATCTTCAAAGAATGATTTTCAGCTATTCATTTGAGTGCAATTGGCGAAAATTTAATTTGGCCAATTCAGTATTTTATTTAGAATTTAACACATAAATAATCAACAAAATCCCTCTACTGCTTTTCCAGTTATAGCAAAAAAACATAAAATGACATACATAAAAATACCTGCCATAAGACAGTGAAATATGATTTTAAATATTCACATATAACATTTCTACAAAATGGCCTCCATCACTTTTAACAGGATTTTTGTCTGAAAATTGGTGAAGTCATGAATTAGCGAAATTTTCCAATCGCCAAATTGAATTAAGTAGAGCTATAGAAGTTATTACAATGTTTCGATAAAGAATTCTGAGAAAACATGTGGCTACTAAGTTGTTAAAACAAGACATGTACTTTCCATAAGAAGCCATCTCAGTTTTACTGCCTCATATTTGTATTGCTATTGTATTTGTGCTATAAATGTTGTTTTGATGTGTTTCAGTGGTACCCTGAGGTGTCCCACCATTGCCCGAACACCCCCATCATCCTGGTGGGCACCAAGCTTGATTTAAGGGAAGACAAAGAAACCATAGAGAAACTTAAAGAAAAAAAATTGTCTCCCATCACATATCCACAGGGTTTGGCAATGGCGAAAGAAATCAATTCAGTGAAATATCTTGAATGTTCAGCTCTTACTCAAAAGGGACTTAAAACTGTTTTCGATGAGGCTATTAGAGCAGTATTATGCCCTAAGCCAAAGGCTAAAAAGAAGGGGTGTCTAGTTTTATAATACTTTAGGAAAGCTATGGATTCGAAATTGAACAAATAATTTGGAGTTATTGTAGTGTACAATGGGGCCTGATTGTATATGCTATTATTCCTACACTTGAAGCTGATATGGTGAACTCTGGAGCAATCATAGTGCAGTAAATGTGTGCCAGTGCTGTGAATAGATCAAACTCTGCATAGACTATTTTTCCTTGGGTTTTATTCAAACTAAAAACGTTGATAGAAGTCAAGGGCCCATTTCTCTGATGACATCTGGTCCAGTGAGTAATATAATATGTGATACATTTTCATTGTATGTTATTCCCATTCCTGATACAATGGAGAAATGGCCCAAGATCAGTTTTTATTTACACAAATCTTTGGAGGTTGGGTTAGTATTCAATTAGAAGTTATATTGTACACAGCTAGCCCAGTGACATGATTCAGCAATCAGAGCATCATAACATGCATTCAACTGAAGTAGTTGTGTCTTGTGACAGTTAATTTAGGTATTTCATTTTAGTAGCCAGGCCAGCACATGTGAATTATGAGACACTTGGTACAGAGGTTCTGTAATATATATATACACTGCTTTTGACTAAATATCAACTATGGGTACACTTGGAGTATAATAATTGCAATATAATAACACTGTACAGAAATATGTGACGTCCTGCTAGAAATATACTAGCTTTTGATGAATAGTAGTAGTAGGCGGGTCAGAGTGAGTAAAAGTGAAAATCTAGAAACTATGCTTCCAGGCTTGATTCCCCTCTAGACTTGTTATTTGCAAAATTGATAAATAATCATTATTTCCTATGGATTTAGAAGTTTTGAAGCGTGCCAGTATATCGCTATTTAAATGTTAGGAATATTTTGTCAGATGTCTATTAATAAGCTTGTATCAATTTTTTGACTTATGTAAATCTGGACATCATTCGGAATTCAGAAACGTAACTTGTATATACTTAATGGTACCTATTACACAGCAGGGTTATTTTGACAACAAGCTTTGGAGCAAAGGATTTTGTGCTTGTGTGACACATCAGAGAGCTTTTTTGTCAAAATGCTTCAGCAATTATCCCTGCTGTGGAACTAACCATATTGTGTACACTCCTAATTTGTATATAACGTGTAAGATATCAGTTCTACACATGTACTATATATTTCAATATAAACAACTTGCATATAAAGGAAAAACACTATTTGTGTGGGAGACAATATTAATGTGCATGAGCTTGCATTATAGTTTAATTAATTGTGAATGTGAATGAAATTCGCTGTAGTTTTTCTAAATGAACAATCAATGAATTACAATACATAAACACAAGGATTTTGTTAGCACCAGGGTTGTCTGTTTGAGTTACAAATGTTAGCAAAGGGTGCCCAGGTTGAACAATAGATGTCACTGTGCTAAATAATTTGGATGTTAAAATGTCACTTATGTTCCGGATAACCCTGTCTGAAACACCATTGAACTTTGTAACTCTTACAGCGATCAATGTGTGATGAATACATTTATTTTATTTTCGTATAAAATCATCAACTTTATAAACTCTTGATATGTATAGAATTACTAAAAAAGCAAATATAATTTCTATGTAAACTATTGGATCTTGTTATGTGCAGTGTTGCAGGGAGCAGATTCCATTACAGTCTCTCTTTATTATGAACCGATTAAACCTAAAAATGAACAGGGACCACAGAGCAATGTTGTATGGAAAAATACATTCGTATTTTAAAAACAAAATGTTTGTATATTTTGGATTGTTTGTGGTCATCATTGCTTATTTTTCAGACTTGATTGGCTCACACAAAGTAGAGCGTTTTGGCTAGCTTTTGCATGTTAAGTCCTATACAGATGGTATGATATTCTTAGATTAATTCCAACAAACATTTTATTGTTCTGCCCTTGAAAGATGTTACCAAAATACAATTGATCTTATTAAGTGATTTTGCCTTGAGGATGTGTGAAAAGATGAACATTTGAGAAAGTCCCCCTCTGTAGAAAAGATTGAAATAGACTGAGTAATGCATTAATAAATATTCTATTGAAAGGTGACCACATAATCAGTCAGGTCTAGGGTCTTTTCAGTTCAAACAAAAGTTTATTTCTGTTTTTATCAAATTAAAGATGGATTACACCCTTTTCAATAGTTTAATTTTCTTCAAAAGATAGCTTCATCTGCACTCCACGAATCAGAACTAATCCCTTGATCAAGCCTTGCCTAATGTGGCATCCAATGTATTTTATGTTCTCATAAGTACCTGATATTTATTATTTATATAGGAATTCTCATTAAAGGACATAACATTACTTTTGGAGTAACATTCAATGCTAATGATGTTATGGGGAAGGTTTTTTCCATGTAGGCCAGCCAGAAAATTATGATTTCTAGATGCAAAGGGCCATCCAATCAAAACAATTACCCATAACTGTGTTTGACCAATCACAAATGACATCTCAAGTTAGTGTGAGGAAACAAGGAGTAGCATGTGGCAATAGGCAAAACATTTAAAAAGTACCCAACATCCACTAACCTGCCATCCTTATAATACCAAGCAGTCGACAGATGACTTGCTAAATAGATTGATAAATAGATGGCATTAGTGGCTTTGGTTGGATCTAATAAAGAGAAAATTGACAAAAGCCACTCGACGTTTTTAAATGTCCCAACAAACAAAGTTCAAGGTCTATGTACATGACATAGGAACTTAATTTACTTAACAAGACTACTGATGTTTAATGTAAGATATTTTATTAATATTCAGTACTAAAATGATATCACCCTGTGATACATGCAGGTATTACCCCATTTAATATTTAGATTTACAAATATTTGTTCCAGACAAAGTACTCATGAATTATGCATCTGAGTTTTCATTTATGAAGATATATTTGTACTTATGATTATATGGAAGCATTTAGTAAATTCATCGTATCTAGTACTTCTTGGTATTCACAATGGAAGTAAAAGAAGAGAAATAAGGAATTAACCAAAATTAGCAGTGTTTACTGGACACTTAGCCAAAGCTATGTTACATGGTCTCCAAGACTCCCAAAGATGCATTGTATTAACATAACTTACAAAATTTTGTATAAAAATCTCAGGCACATGGTTTCCTCAACTTCTTACATAACCATAAATCGGAAGCTTCCAAGGCTGAGAGGCAGAACTACAATTGAGGTCTAATAACAAAAGCGCCTAATATCATTCTCAATTTTCAACATACAACAAACTTGGGAAAATAATTCCTTCATTTGAATTCTGACAATTTTCGGTTAAAGTGTGACATAACAATTATTTACAAAGGATATGAATGCTATACATTTTCTTCTGTGATTAAAAAGAAAACATCTGACTGTATATCGAATTGTGAGCAAGAAACTGTCACAAGCATCAAATTGTTAATTTAAAATATTGAGATTCCTGAATTACATACATGGATATATCAATCATAATTCAGTACTTTACTTGACTACGGAAGGTTTCCACAACTTGTCATCTACAATGTGAATTAAATGGTTCTACTGGTGCATATTAAAATCAAATCAACATGTTGATCAGAACTTTTCCAGACTAGTTTCTAGAGAAAAGCCTATTTAATTCAAACAGAATTTATCTTTTTGTGTTCTTAGTCCCTTTTTGTATATTAAAGCTACTCAGGCTTTATGCTTGAGATGTGGCATTATTGCACTGTGTCAGAATCAATGGAGACACTAAGTTATGTGTCATGGGTTAGCAAAGAATCACAAGAATCATCAAGAAATTAAATCTTTAGTACTGACCCCTGGAATACAACAATATATGACTGCTATATTCCTAAATACATGTACAGTATATCTAAAACATGCCTAGTTTTAGACAGATATATGATATGGTATGATATGATAAGAATGGATATGATAAGCTGATATGATTCTAGAATTCTCTAAAATTGCACTTATTTTTACGATATATTTGACATCCCAAAAGTATATTTTCATGTGACATGTGTCCAATAAAGAGAATAGATAATATATGAGGCTTTGCCTCTTTGTTTATTAAAGATGGCAGCATCACCAACTACAAACCTCAATGACACCATGAAGTCTCCATTTTATTGGTCGCTTCTTTCGATTTTATCATAGTCGCCCATAGAGAGAAAGAGGGACTACATACACATCTAAGTTAGATAGCTGGTGTTGGAATGTTGACTGGAATGATCGAGAGACCACTAACCTCCCCCTGACAATCGTTTATTTAAAATTTTACTGAATAGCAGCCATTTTAATGTCAACCTTACACATAGATGGCAGGACTAATGAGCAAGAGATAAAGAGAACATGTAAGCAGATATAAAGATATGGCAAAGTAAGAAAATATGTTTACAGATGAAGTTGCACTGAAATATGGAGTAAATAGAATATAAATAAATCAAGACTCAATTATATAAGGAGTCCCATTTTAATGTTAAATGTCTTGAAACCCCTTCACAATCTTATGTCCTTTCCAATCTAACCCTCCTTCCCATCCCAAATAACCATCCATCCTAAAATGACATGACTTGAATACCCTCTACATTCTATCTTCTATGACTTGTGTGCTCAACACTTCCCATTTATGCATATCTGTTTAAGAGGTTTTACTGACAATATAAAACCAAATTATTTCTAAAAGGCCACTTTTTGCTTTCACTTCATCACAAACCAAGACACGAACCTAACAACACTTATTAACAACATAGTATTGTCAGGTTCCTTTAATCACTGATCCATTCTTTCAATTATTAATCCATATTGTCCTACATTCAACTTATGGACTGCACAGATAAATAAATAATTTGAATGTCTTAGTTCTTCTTATCTACTCCCAGTGTTAACCACTGCTACAACTAGTATGAGCATTTTGTGACTAGGCCTTTATAACATAGAGGTATCATGACAACATTCATCACCGCTCTGGAAGTGCTGTTGTTTCATTATTGTTGTCTCTATCTGGATTTCTATTGGTTAATAATTGTTGGGTTTCTATTGTATCTGACTGTACAAAATCATTGTCCCATTCAAGGTCATTGGATGTGGGGCTCTCAGCCTCTGTTTGCTTGTTTTTATGAGTTAGTTTGGCAAGTTCTTCCTCAGTCCGAGATCTTGGTTGCTTGGGTAAACTGGGATCAACTCCTGCAAATGTATCATCTCTAATTAAAACAAGAACACAACTTCTGTTCTGAATCAGAGCACTCTATCCTCTCAGACAATAGTATTATCCACTTCTTTTAATCTTGAGTTGATTTGCTTGTTTTTAAATGTGACGATTTTAAATTACATTCTATTCAAATTCTATCACTGTTTAATAATACATATATCTGCTTTAAATGGGCTTATTAGCCTTCTGCAGATTATTGACATAGACATAGACATGAATGAACAATGTTAATTTGAAAAATAAACTGTTAACATTAGTGTGATAAAAATAGCATTTACAAGGTTATCCAATGTTTAATGTGATAGGAGGATGGGGAACGATACAATGAAAATTTATTTAAGCATTTTCTAAAAAAGTTTTTGATCAAATGGAGACTACCATTTCATATTTTTAGTTGCCAAAAATTGAAGTGAAAAATTGTATTGTACATATAGACTATATTTTCAAATTGAAAACATAACTTTTTGGCATATTGCTGATGGATAAAAACCTTAATTCGAGGCAATGTTTCATATGACCAAAATCCAACAAAATGATTGGTCAATATTTAGTTTCGACAAGTATATATTTAACCATCTATATCGAGAGAGTTAAGTCTATGAAATGCTCCAACAAGAAAGACAATGTGCTAAACAGGATAAACGTATATTACTCCAATTCAAATAAGGATTAACATGCAAAATGTCACCACCTACCATTTGTTACCAAAACTGACCGCTGAATGCCAACTGGTGAACATGGTCCATAATAAAGTTAGAGAATATAAAAGTATGTCTCATTTCTGGTGGTAACATAGAAATGGCAATTAGGACAATGTGTTTTCTGATATGGTGTACCGGTGTTACAATGTACCTTGTTCATGTTCCCACTCTAGCTCTATACTAGAGGCCTCCTTGGTATTTGAGCTACTGCAGTTGCTAGTGGAATCTATAACATGCACAGAACATGCATCATATTTATACATGTATCATATTGGTGTTGTATATTAGCTTGTTAATTTGTTAGACATGTTATTTGGTATTATTATATGCATATGAAACAGATTTAGAGATGTGTTAGTAAATTAGCAGTCAGTAGTATTATGATGCATTTGGTATTTGTGATAAAGATGGCAGCACTGCACTGACCTTGAGTTCCCTCATTCTGTAGCTGTTGACGGCGTGTGTTAATGGAGCGTGCTCTGACACTCTCAAGGAACATTTCAAAGTCATCCTCGCCTCCAGCCCTGCAATTATAAATGTTTATATGCAAATAAACTTCAATGCAGAAGAATAGATGTCTCTCACAATTATTACTGATATCCTACTCCTATGCAAAGGGGATTGGCTCCAAAAATGCAATCTCGATATTTTCCAACAGTGAAAATGTCATAATGTTGTTATTGTCTGACATTAAACTGGTTAGAAATTAATAATCAGCAATCCAAAATATTCGAGCTAATATCTTGATCACTTCTTGCCTGTTTTGAATTTTTTTGTTAGGTAATAAGACCAAAACTCACGATTCAAAATTTGAAGTGAAAATCATGATATTCTTCAAGATCGAATTCATTGTTGGAAAATATTGTGATTGCATTCTGGGAACCAATCCTACATGACTCTTATGTGAATATAGTACGAATTACCACTCTTCATGAACATTCTTCCTATCACCAGAAGCCTATAAATATTACACCATTGTAGTATTAATGCTGCTTTTTACTAATAATGAAACATTAACATGACGATATGTCACCACCTTTCAAAGGTCATTGGAGGTCAACCAAAGGTTAAATTTGAACTTCTGAGAATGTGTAGATGATTTTGCAAACATTGGTTATTTAGAAACAAGTTGAAAAAGTACCTTTTTGACCTTGAGAAGGTTTTTGAAAAGTCAGATTTGAAACTTCTGAGAACTCGAAGATGATTTAGAAAAAATGGTTATTTTGAAGCAAGTTGAAAGAATATCTTTATGACCTTGAAAAGGTCATTGAAGGTGAAATCTCATAACTAAAGTCAGATTTGAACTTCTGAGAACTGAAAAAATTGAAGTCAGTCTAAACAGTACTTTTTAAGTTATTGGAAGTTGTAAGAATTTTTCACAGATGTGATGTAAAGAATATTTTTTAGATTTTCAAGAACATTAGCCAGTATAGTAATTTCTTTATTTTCTTTGAAACAAAACAATAACAGCGGAGTCCTTTTTATTCTCAGTCTGCAGCCTTATATTAGTTCCCTGCCAGGATATCATTTCACAGTCCACCTATGTAGAGGTCAATAATAAATATTGTTAGTACCTCAGTTGAAATACTCGATTTTGATTGGTCAACGAGCGGTGAATAATTTTAACTGTACATCGCGCAATGCATTGCCGGTGAATAATATTCCCAGCATTCCACTAAAATGCTGCATTATCAGACGATAAAATGGCCGCTGCTAGCACTAGCCGTTTCAAAAATGTTGAAGATGAGGATATTATTAGTCTCTTAGAGAGTAAAGACAGTCAAAATACGAAGAAAAATCTAAAACTTTGTACAAAGCTTTTAGTGGACTTCGCCCAGGAGAGTAATTTGACTCCATTGAGTGAACTTACTGCCGTGGCAGATGTAGATAATTTTTTGAAAAAGTTTTACGTTGGTATTAGGTTATCTGAGTTGAGTATGGGTACAGAAACTGGGTTTTCACTTGTATCTACTTCGCTTTCACTAAGAACAATGGGAAAAATGTGAAATAATCACAAAATAGCATATTGTGTTTGAAATACAACATGAACGTCTCAAGGGTCTGGATCCAACTTCAAGTCAACTTCAAGGGTCAGAAAAATCTAAGATATTCTTCGGACTAACAAAACAATTATAGACCTCTCCATTCGGTTTACTGTCAAAATTATATCCCGAGACTGTAGGTCTCGGTTTACAGTCTCCGAATGGAGAGGTCAATAATTGTATACTGTATACTTACACTTCCCATTCTTCCTCCTGATCACCAAGCCAAGAGTTGGACTGGTTCTGTAGATTATTTGCATTGATTTTATTTTCCTCATCACGTCTTATTTTAGCAATTCTTGATGCTTCACGTTTAGCTTCATAGTAAGCCTCTTCCTCATAACGGATGGCCTCCTCCTGCTCATTTAGCTACAACACAAAATATAATTTGAAGATTACACACGTTTAGCTTCATAGTAAGCCTCTTCCTCATTACGGATGGCCTCCTCCTGCTCATTTAGCTACAACACAAAATATAATTTGAAGATTACACACGTTTAGCTTCATAGTAAGCCTCTTCCTCATAACGGATGGCCTCCTCCTGCTCATTTAGCTAAAACACAAAATATAATTATAAGATTACACACGTTTAGCTTCATAGTAAGCCTCTTCTTCATAACGGATGGCCTCCTCCTGCTCATTTAGCTAAAACACAAAATATATTATAAGATTACACACGTTTAGCTTCATAGTAAGCCTCTTCCTCATAACGGATGGCCTCCTCCTGCTCATTTAGCTAAAACACAAAATATATTATAAGATTACACACGTTTAGCTTCATAGTAAGCCTCTTCCTCATAACGGATGGCCTCCTCCTGCTCATTTAGCTAAAACACAAAATATATTATAAGATTACACACGTTTAGCTTCATAGTAAGCCTCTTCCTCATAACGGATGGCCTCCTCCTGCTCATTTAGCTACAACACAAAATATAATTATAAGATTACACACGTTTAGCTTCATAGTAAGCCTCTTCCTCATAACGGATGGCCTCCTCCTGCTCATTTAGCTACAACATAAAATATAATTATAAGATTACACACGTTTAGCTTCATAGTAAGCCTCTTCCTCATAACGGATGGCCTCCTCCTGCTCATTTAGCTACAACACAAAATATATTATAAGATTACACACGTTTAGCTTCATAGTAAGCCTCTTCCTCATAACGGATGGCCTCCTCCTGCTCATTTAGCTAAAACACAAAATATAATTATAAGATTACACACGTTTAGCTTCATAGTAAGCCTCTTCCTCATAACGGATGGCCTCCTCCTGCTCATTTAGCTAAAACACAAAATATAATTATAAGATTACACACGTTTAGCTTCATAGTAAGCCTCTTCCTCATAACGAATGGCCTCCTCCTGCTCATTTAGCTAAAACACAAAATATAATCATAAGATTACACTCCGGAAATGATCTGATTTCTGATTCAATTTCACAAAATTTACATAGGCATTACCAATATATAAACTTGTTTCATTATTGTATGACGCAATTAAAATAAATTACATTGGAGCTCAGTAATGTAACAATACTTGTAATTCAACATTATATGTGATATAAATAATATAACATTGAAGCAATATAAATATATTATCGTATGATCTGTAAAATGAAGCCCTTTGATTGGTCAGTTCTTGTGCTGTACCAATCTGTATTGCTACTGAGATAGTCCGCGTTGATCATCTCCGTCGCAATACAGAAAATATTGGTACGGAGGAGACAATCTCAGTAGCAATATAGAGGATAACACGATAAAAACGTTATTGAATGATTTGAAGTGCAATACAGGATATATTCTGTCTCGATATTCTGTATTGGCACTCGACTTCGTCTCGTTCCAATACGGAATTTCTCGAACAGAATATATCCTGTATTGCACTTCAAATCATTCAATAACTTATATTACAATCCAATGAGTGTAGTGATATGGGTTTATACTTTTAATTAAACAAATAAATAGATTTCACATAGCATTGTTTAACAAATTTTCAAGAATTATTTGATTAATAGTAATTATCTAAACTAATGCATTTACACAAACATTTCAAAAAGGTCCATTTCTATTATTTCTTACTATAGTTACTTAGTACTTGAAACAAATCAGCACATTTCTAAAAAATGTGACATTTTCACACTACTTAATGGTATCTAATATCCAATATCAATTCATTTGAGAGCTTTTGAGTTCATCTAAAAGTAGGATTTGACACTATTTCATGGAACAATTCTGCCAAAGGATACTTGAAAACAATTTGGAACATGGTAAGGTGATACAGTATTTACATGGCCCATGGTTTTAATGTCTTTGTGAAGTATTTTATTAGGATAACTGTTATCTTGAATTTAACAATGAAGCTAATTTCAAAATCATTACAGAATGAAGTATACATGTACATATTATAATAAGGAGGTTAAACTGCACATTTTTAACAAAAACTTATAAATGAACATGTGAAATTATGGTCCTCTATGTATTAGTATTCTCCTTCATATATAGAGTATCTATTTGCCCGATTAAAGCTTTCCCTGGAAAAAACAGATAAAAACCCATAATATTAGTCATAATATTACACACTCAATAACTAAACTATAAATAAATTAAAAGTCACATGTACTTTATATGTAAATTACAGAATCCTGATGTATTCTATTTTCTATGCTTGCTTTATACATTGATCCATCTTCTACATCAACATTCTACATCCAGTCATGCATAAATGGTATAAAAAATATTTCCCAAATGGTAATCGTCCTTTAGGGAGTCATAGAGAAGCAACTGAAATAGATTGATGGGATGCTGTTGGGCTGTCTCACCTCTCAATAGCTGATTAACTTATATCTCCTGAACACGGCAATGAATTGATTCTGAATCAATAACATTTCATTATGAGATGAAACTTCTACTGCTAATGGATTCCTTCCAAAATATGTGCAAATTGTGAATCGCTAATTCATTTTGTTAACAACATTTTATCTCCTGACATTCCTTACATAAATAGGCTGGAATAACAGAACAGACACTGAAAGAATAAAAATGAATGAATTTTTATGAGACAATTTTGCACTTTTTAATGCTAGTGCTATTAGATACTGAAGGGAAGGGTTCATATATTGAAACGAAGTCATAATTTCTAGCTAAATAAATTATATATTTCGTATCTAAGAAACAGCATATCAGAAATATGGATTCCTTTGACAATTTGCTGCGAAATTAAACAAGAAAACATTTTTGAAGACAAAAATAATTTACACGTAGTTTACATCTATCAGATATCATTTCTGTTCAATTTACATAAGATGATGTCAAAAATGTATATCGTCCACAGTTAAATAAAATTTTTGTGCTACATAACTTGCTGAGGTCTAAAGTGGTAATTTCTGAATGTTCTACAAAATGTAATGACTTTATATGGCATATTTGTCTAATCCACCCCTCCCTGGTGACCTCACTTCATTTATTACCTACAGCACTTTACAAAGAAAACCAATCAACAATTATAATGACTTTGGTTGTGGCTAATGCTTTGTAATCCCAGTAGAAGAAAAATATGAGGAATAAGCTGATAACTAAATACTACACTACTGATACAATATCAAGAAATCAATAGCTACTAAGAAATTAATCTCAACTTATCATCAACAATGTGAGAACGAGTCCCCTCGGAGAAGTCTGAACTTCTACAACAACTTCTCAAGATTAATGTTTTCGTAAAACTTTCACTGAATGTAATGACATGTTACTTTCGAGCAAAGTTTCATATTACATTTTTGATTATTGCACTTCCTATTTTCAGTGGACAAGTGACAAATTAAATGGCTATGAAACCCTCCCAGGTGTAGCATCATTTCCTTTTCTGAAACTAGTACAACAGCTACCCGAGGGTTGCGAATTTCACCATTCCAAACATTTTTTTATAGGCATTGACATGCAAAATGTCACCACCTGCCATTTGATACAGATGCCAACCGCTGAGCATCAACCATTGTCTTCAAAAAGTTGGAGACAATATGTCACCAAATGACATAAAATCACTCATCATTTCCAATAGAAATAACAAGGAAGCCAGAATTGTCCCAAGTAGGTGTCATGTGTCCATATGATATCAGCCCATTAAATTTGGACAAAATCTAATAACTTGTATTTGAGTTATCAGAAATTAAATTTCTTCTGATAAATGTTGGTTATGTTGAATACCTGTCATAAATATTCTTTTTTGAACAGAGTTGTACTAATAGCTGGTATTTGAGTATTTGGTTGCATTTTTGAGAAAAAGTAAAGGCCATTTGGAATTGAGTTCCATACCATATTTGAAATTCTTGAGCAGAGGCCCTATTACCATGAGCCATAAAGGACATCAGTCTAATAAATTTGAACCAAACCAATCAACTGGTGTTTTAGCTATCACCCTGACAGACAAACAAATAGATGAAAGGACTGATTGTGATTTCTCAATACTCCTCCCCAAACTTTGTTGGACCACTGATATCATGGACATTCTTTTTAACTAAATATGCAATTCTTAAAATCGCGGATTCGGTAGTATTGAATCTCTAATAAAGATGGCGCGAAAGTTTTTCCTTATAAGGTCAAAATATTTCCCATGATGCAGTTCGCGGGGGAACAAAATTTTTCTACCTTGTTTTTCCCCGTTGGTTTAACATGGGGATTTTCATACCCATTTTTCAAGCGATATTTTCGATCGAAACTCCATGCGATCGGAGAAAACAAACTATCAGAAACAATTAGTCTTTTAATAATCTTTATATAACATATATTTTTTTTCATTTTATTGGCTCCTAACGGGGTGAAAACAATGATTGAAAATGGGAGTATATTCCGGAAGAGAAGAAGTCACGTGACTAGTCGCCATATTGGAAAAAGCAATTCCATTCGACTTTCAACACGTTCATGCCAATATTACCGCACTACAAACTGTAACATCGATGCAACAACTGAATAAAAGTACTCATCTTCATATTACATTATAGAGTTACGTTGAAAACCCACAAACAACTGAGCATTTGACCAAAGAAGACACGTCGCTATTATCTAGGTCAAGTTTAGTGGTTCGAAAGCAAATCTTACATACTCGTTTCCGAATTTTGTTGTTAATTGTATAATCTTTTATTGATTAAATCTGGTATACTGACTATTAATTCAATGACAAAGAAGAAGAATTCCGATGGTGTCATTTTTTTATTTAGCTTGCGGGTGTAAAAACAAAATTGCGTAATTAATTTGATTTAGAACTTTCGGGTCTCACAAATAGCTACACGAAATGCATCGTTGAAAAATATTGACCAATCAAATTTTGTCCTTTTTGAGTACATATATGCACCATATATGCGAACGTTCTGATTCAAAGAGCGAACAGCGAAATGGAGAATTAGTTAGAAATATATGAAAATCCAAGTGTCACAATTACTGACTTTGATTTGCTTCATATAGTCTGAATCAGATTTAAGAGTTTAACGTAAACATGTTGGAGTGATGGCACATTGATAGACAAAGGACTTATTGTACTGTACTTCTACTTTGTTCCAAGGGAAATGAACAATTTTGATGGCAGACTGTCTGGCTCAAAAATAGTTAAGAGAGTTGTTGAACCCAGTCATACTGTGACTCAACAATCTGTTAAACACTTTCTCTTTGTTGCAGTATCGGGTCATTCTCCATGCAGTCGTACAAATTATACAGACACGAATAGCAAATGACGCATGCGTGGAGATTAAAGAATATCGAGTTGGAACCCTGGCTTCCAATCCTCCTTGAGTTCATATTATATAAACGCATGCGCAATAACTACACATATATTTTTAGATAGATGTCACTTGCGTTCATTATTTCACAGCAGTCCCTTCCCATGATGCACCTAATATTGCGGAAATATTTTCCTTTAGTGATAAAACAAATAACTCTCATCTTCGAAATACGTTTTCCATTCCTTGGCAATAATCTTTCATTTGGTATCTAAGTATAACCGAACCAACCGCCGAAAAGTAATTCGAATCCTTCTGAATTGTGGGAATGAAGTACTTTCATTTTTGCGCATGCGCATAGAACACGGGAAAGTCGCCATTTTTCAACTTTCAGTTTCGAAACTTAATTTCATGCATCTTTTTGCGTATAGCAGTCGTTATAGGCTGCCCTTCGTTAAAAATAACATACGGGAATGAACCTAAGGAAACAAAGAACTCTAGGAACTTCCAATTTTTAACAGTGGACGTGTCTTGGGGAAGAAATCGACTCTGGAGGTAATAATTTGGCTGCAAAAAAATTCGGTACTTGCAGTGTAATCACTTCTTAACAAATTATTCAGATTTCTCAGCAACAAGTGGATGGATTGCTACCATTTTAGGTAAGTTTACTCTTTAGTGTTGTTTGAATCAGCGTGTCGATTATTGAAAGGATTCCATATATTTTTACTTGATATATCTAACAATCATTTTCTACAAATTTCAGGTAGCATCAAAACCGACCACCCTTAATACTATTAATAAGCAGTAGACTCATCGGAGGGCTTGCCCGACGCCTCGAGACAAGCCCCTGTGCTACACTCATGCATACCTTTTGTTCAATTTCAGCATCAATCCTTAACTGTTCATGCACGATGGTATCATATTGACGCTCACTTAGCAACAGTCGTTCTCGCTCATTGACAGGTCTAAGAAGTAAAAATAAAACCAATCATAGCAAAATGAAGAAAACTATAATAACAATACATAGCTACAACACAGTTACACACAACAAGCTTGATGAGATGTACGCATCATTTGGATGGTTTACAACAATTGTGTCATTCAAATAGGAAGTATCATGCAAATGTGTGAAACAAATATAAATATACATGTAGTGTATCAACACAACTTGAGATTTCAAATTCATGCCAAGCATTCATCAGTCAGCAGTAAGCATGGTTAATTGAACATAAAAAGTATTCTTGGTAAACTGAGAATAAAGCAATGGCTTCATGAACCAAAATAAAGAAGGGTTTCCTTGGTAAACCTAATCTATAAGAGACTAATACCAAGTGGCAGAGGAAGTTGCTTAATTAACCAACTGCTACCAATTATATTGCTTATCCATAACTTTAAACTCCTGTGATCACCTGAATAATATTTTTCAGTTTGCTTAATAGAACTTCCTCTAGGATTACTTCTTTCATGTTAGCTTTTTGTTTGTCAAGATGGGGTTTTTGTCAACATACGCTTTAAGTTAATTGTAACTATGCTTACGCCTGATGAGGCAAAGCACACAGGGTGTGAATGAAATGTTTTTAAAATGGAATAAGTCAACAAGATAATCGAGTTTAACTCACTGGAAGGATACAAAATCAAATGATCTAAAGTTGGGACATCAGTGTATATCGGGCCATGCTGACATTACTAATATCATGGGCTTTCAAGAGACATGTCAGATGGCTGTTCATCATTTGTCAAAATCCCCATATTAGGAAAGGGTGACTTTAATTGTGAAGGTTAAATGGCCAAGGTCAAGGTCACATAGACAAAATCCGAGCTCTGATGTAGATGTAGACAGAGCTTGCACACATTTTTTTTCCATAATATAAAAAAGGATTAATTTAGCACTAGTTCAAAAACTATCTAATATTGTGGCAGCTGTTGGTTTAATAATGATGTTGATCGAATAGATAGAAGCAACTCATCATGCAGTGATCAAGGTCATTTTAATATCAGAAAGCAAATGTATTGCCTCCAAATCCCAGTATAACAAAAGACTATTCAACAGCCATGCAACATGAACATTCAACACATAGATGTCTCCACCTTACCCAGTGAGCATAGGCGGACACGGTGAATGGGCCACCAATCTGCATCTCTAGCTGGCTAGCATACCAAGAGAAACATTCAGGCATACATTTAAGCAATTAGGAAAATGTGCAAAGAATATGGGGTCAACATTTGCACTATTTGTACACTTTTTACACAATCGCCCATTGTATCAATTCTTCCAAAAACACAATGCATATAGAAGGAGTGAACCATTTACCATTCTTCAAGAAAGATACAATATGTATTTGTGACAATTCCAGTCTTAATATAACTGAGAACTTGGAACATTGAAAATAGGCTAACACCAACCTGTGAACCATTTTCATTATGAGTGGGTACAAAATTATGTGGAGAATATTGAACAGAATCTAGGTAGAATCATAATAAGGCCATGTATAATTTAGTCAATGCAAGACACAATTAAATTAGTAACTCCCTTCTGTGGACTATGAGATTGAACATATGGAATCTATTGTGTAATTATTGGTGGGTTTACTCTAATCAATCTTACCTCGGGTTCTCGTCTTGTGGGCCACCCTCCTGGAAAATACAGACATTACACACTTAAACACTGAATGCACTATATTATCATTAACTATAAATTGCACAAAACCAATTAGGTAAAAAACTCTCAAGTTTAATTAAAATGAACAAAATAAATTCTACGCAATAATTACAACCTACAGAAGCTGATAGAAATACATACTGTAAATGTAATAGAAAATCTACTAACCTCATCCATAAGATTTTCAAACTGAAAAAATAAAGAAAACCAATTAATGATATCTTGACTCAAGAATGTAGCCTGTAAGGGATAGTGTCCAAAGAAAACAGTTAATTTTGTGTGGGAGGGTGTAAATGACAGTTTTGCTAAAACATTGATCTTTGCTCCTGGAATTATAAGAAAACAACATTTTAAATTTCCATTAAGAGGGGAGTGGAAATCAACTTTGTTTATCTACAACAATTGCATTTTGAACACCATTCCCAATGAAAGTGCACTCAAACACATACATCAATAGGTGAAGTTATATGGTGATATTATGAAACAGTTTGAGAATTGCAATAAAGTCAGCAGTTGATCAGACTTTATGCACATAGAGATCTACTAATTCCATTAATTGACAAATATGTCACAATGGTAAGTAGTAACTGTGTACTTAAGAATATTAATTAAATCAAACCCCCAGTTTTAGATTAAACTGTCAGGCTTGATATGGATTCTTTTGTTTAATCATTGAGCCTGAGATCAAACCGACTTAAGGGGAAACAGACGATGGGTCCCTTGCTTTAAAGGAAACTACATGTATGCTGAACTTGCCGAATAATTTTTATGTTACATCCACTCATCCACCCATTTTCTAATGATTTCATTGATTTGAATGGAACCTTTGGTTTTGTAATTATTGAAATCATTAAAATACAATGTAGGTCGCTACAATCATACTTAGTAACAAGATATACCAAGACCAAAACAGAGCTGGTGAAAGTTTCAAATCCATCTTGTCAAGTCCATCTGAACAAACATCAATAAATTCAGACGGTTAAAAGAAATGGTGAATAATTTCCTGCACTTGCAATGTTAATAGAGTTGTAGAGAGAGTCATGGTAAACATTCATTTATCCACTAATGTGAAAGCATTTACCAAATCACAGTATACTAACAGCAATATTATAATCTTTAACAAATTCAGTTTATGGCACATATTCTGGCACTATAAGAGGCATCAAAATAATAGAACAATTTTACTGGAGATATTTAATTGAGTATTTGTGACTATACTTTTCAATAGTTTGACTTTGCTCGATTCTGACACGTAGGTACATATACGATTCCTAACTGATCGATGAATTCCAAATCAAAATGGCTTCTCAAGTTTGTTTATTATCATATCAGAATCGCAAGACAGACCTCAATTCTATGTATGATTTGTGGTTTATATTATGAGGTTATATAATGGTTGATTCTGTATATCGTGTTTATACTCAAGTGAGTACTGTATATGATATATTCATGAGTGACCGAAGGGAGATTCAAAAATATTATATCATTTTGAGTGGTATCACCTTAATCAACAACTTAATATTTGATATCTACGAGGTGATAAAATGATAGCACGAGTAATGATCTGATATATGGGGTTTATCTCATGATTATAATAATAAAAAATTCCAAAATTCAAATTCATTTTATAATATTTTTTTTCATTTTTTATTTATCACAGATATGGGGGTGATAAGTGTTTTTCAAGAAATATCACACAGATCTCCATAATATTATTGTACAGATAACATAATAATTGTGGGATAAATACATGCTATGATACATACGTGTATGAATCTTTCAAAGGAATGTGTTTATGTTTTACAGTACATGTATACTGTATAAGTAGAAATTAGCATTAAATAAATAGCAATAAAATAAATTATTTGTGGTTCTAAAGCAATTCATTTTTCAGACATTTTTTATGTCCACTGTAGAGCAACCTCGGAGAGAGGAGTAAATGGATTCCTTGAGATGGTATTAGGGAGTTTAAGCTTGCAATGTTTTTCTTAACCTAAACGTGAACGGAAAATATTCAAGCGATGTACTGTATTTGTATGGGCGATTGGTCATTCGTATGGGTCTGGCGTTTCGATTTTATATGCAAGATTAAACTCCCTATTCTCAGTACTATACTGTTGATGCTAGCGATAATAATTTCTCTAACTAATTGCTGATCTTAACGTAATTATATATCTTGTATGCCACCAGTGATATATGAAAATAGGCAGCTAGGGCTGTAGTGAAGTAAAGAACATTAGACATACCTCTATAGAGAGAGTTCGCTCCACATTATACCTTGTTCGCAAGTACTTCCTGTAATTATACACAATAAACATCAATCAGCTGAGAATAAAAGGGAATGGCAAAAATGAAATATGAGATGACAGCTATTAAAATTGCTATGGGATATCAGAGCAAGATATGACACACTGGGATAAAGCATAGTTTCGTCTCTGACTTACATAAAAATTTGATATTAAGATGGTGTAACCTACTAAGCATTAAATCTTGCATCAGTCAGGGTGTACTTTTATCATAGTTTTCCAAAATCAAGTGTTTTATGTGCAAATCAAAACAGTATTTCTTGACTTTTGCCTTCTAAATGGTATTTTGTGAAAGAAAATTTTTCTAAAAAAGCATTATAAATTTCTAGGAAATTCTTGGACAAACTACTAGATAATATTGCCAACAAGATAACAGCAACAGGTAATCAGCAACAAACATCTCATGAGTGTCAGAAAACACAAAAGTCATAAAATGACACAACTAAAAATGCCCTCCACTTTTCAAATTGGCCACTTACTAGCCAAATTGTCATTATATGGTCTCTACCTGCCCATCCACCACAGCACAAAATGATAACAATAGAGCATTTTTTCAAAGTGCAATAAAAAGCACTAATGAGCCCTGTGCACACAGAGTGAATTTTTGCATCAAAATTGCACTTTTCTTAAAAAGGAAGAACCTGGGAAATGACTATCCTGAGTCAAACAGATAATGTTGATCAGGCCCATAGCCAGGATTTGCCAAGGGGCAGATCCAGAAGGCTCACTATGTAATTCAAACACAAAAATGGACATCATCGTGTGTTATATCTAAAATTGCCCTTGATCGCTGTTTAGTTATCTTAGTTATCTTATTGCTTGAGCATTCATTTCAAACATGGGTTTAATAAAGGTAAATTGCAATATTATTACTCATACCATCATAACTCTCAAAATGAAGTTCAGAATATAATATTAAAATCCACTTTATGTGGCATTTCTCAATCAATAATGATGATAGTTGTCACAAGTACAAAGAAGATATTTCTAAAGGTGCACTTCATATTGTAAATGACAAAATAAAAGCACAGCTCCACAGAGTATATATAATTCATTGCCATCTTGCTCTGTTTCTAAAATTCCCCTCTTGTATCTGGAGATGCAATGCAACTTGACTTGTCTGTTTTTCACCCCGGGCTTGGATAAATCAATGTAATATTAATGGTACAGTTCCCTTAGCAATGTTAACTACATGTACAGATTTTTATATTCTTCATGTATTATCCAATATAATAGTATGCAAGAAAGCTGAATGCCTGAGGTTAAAATAACTCAGAGACTATCCTCTACATGTATAGATGAATCAAGACTGGTGATTTATGGCACAAAGTACTCTGCTTGAAATTAGTATCAGTGTCTCAAGTAACATTTGAATTTTGTGACTTTTATCTTGATCTTTAATGTATATATATAAAAAAATATGTTCCTAGACTTGAGAATTAGTATGCACTGTCACTGAAATTTGGAACTTTTGATTGGGTTTGAAGATGAAGTCTGGCGAGTTGCCTGGATATGACAGAGCAAAAGCCTAGATTCATGCGTCTTTTCTTGAAGAATCTCGATATAGAAACTGCCAGTCCTCATATAACTCCCCCATTTTAGCCAATTAAGGGCAGTGTCAATCCCTTGATTGTTAAGTATAAACTCCATATATTATTCAAAAGTTGGACTACTGTAGCTTCTAGTACTTTTCTTTATGTAAAATTGCTTTTGTGAGGAATGTTATCATAGATAAGAACTGCACTCAGCCAGGCCTTTCATTTGACATATAGCTCTTTATATCATAACTAATCAAATAAAATATACAAATATATATCATTGGAAAGGAGGGAGAACTAGAAAAACAGCAACTCCATGGAGTAGCAAATCCCACCGAACAAAACATGTTTTGATAAAAAAATTGAGCCAAATACATCCACTGGTATTTGAATTATCAAAGAGTATGACTTTATGGTTGCCATTTTGAAATTCAGCTGTCATCTTTAGATTTCTTCTTTAGCAGAGAATGTCCGTCCAATGGTATCTGGGTTATCAAAGATTACCTTTTTAATGAAAAACGGCAGCCATTTTGAAATTCAGCTATCGCCTTTGAAATTTCTTCTGAAGCAGATTTCCTTTTTCCCTAAACATCAGCATATAAAATTGGAACCAAATCCATCCACTAGTATTTGATTTATCATTAATTACGTTTTTTTACAAAAAATGGCAGCCATTTTGAAATTCAGTGGTCATCTTAAAAATTTATTTTTGAGCAGATCTTCTTTGTCTCTAGGCATCAGCATATAGAATTTGAACCAAATCCGTCAACTGGTATTTGAGTTATCAAAGGTTACGTTCTTTTATGAAAAATGGCGGCCATTTTGAAATTTAGCTACCACCTTGAAAATCCCTTCTCAAGCAGAGCTCCTATGTCCCTAGGCATCATCATGTAAAATTTGAACCAAATCCATTCAATGGTAATTGAGTTATCAAAGATAATGTTTTTTTATGAAAAATGGCCGCCATTTTGAAATTTAGCTGCCATCTTGAAAATCCTTTCTTGAGCAGAGCTCGTATGTCCCTAGGCATCAGCGTATAAAATTTAAACCAAATCCATTCAATGGTATTTGAGTTATCAAAGATAATGTTTTTTTACGAAAAATGGCCGCCATTTTGAAATTTAGCTGCCATCTTGAAAATCCTTTCTCAAACAGAGCTCCTATGTCCCTAGGCATCAGCATCTAAAATTTGAACCAAATCCATTCAATGGTCTTTGAGTTATCAAAGATAACGTTTTTTTACGAAAAATGGCCGCCATTTTGAAATTTGGTGGCCATCTTGAAAATGTCTTCTTGAGCAAGGCTCCTTTGTACCAAGGCAACAGCATATAAAATTTGAACCAAATCCATCAACTAGTATTTGAGTTATTAAAGATTACATTTTTTCCGAAAAATGGCCGCCATTTTGAATTAAGCGGCCATATTGAAAATTCCTTCTCGAGCAGAGGTTCTACAACTATAAGGCATAAGCCCATAAAATTTGAATTAAATCCGTCATCCGGTATTTGAGTTATTGCCCGGACACACGAATGGACGGACGAACGGACGGAAGAACGGACGGACGAACGGACGGACGGACGGACGGACGGCTTCTCTATATCCCCCTCAAACCTCGTTCGGTGGGATAAAAACTAGTACAATTATTGGCTTTGAAATATTTGATAGGTCACCTAAACTAAATGACATTTATGGGGTTTCATTATTGTCACTATAACCTTATCCTATGCTATGACCCCACTTTGTGGTCTTAAGCGCGAACCATTGGTCAGTCAATGTTTCTACAACGTTGGAGAAAATACTATGCATTGGATACTTAGACCTCGTTATATTCCTGAGTATTTAAGGATTATTTCAATGCAGTTGAATCACCAATTGTATCGGTTAATTGGCAGAAGAGTTTTTTGTTTTACATTGGGAATATTTCAGCACTTTTCAACTGATGCCGATCAACCTATACGATTGTAGATTTAACTGCATAAAAAGAATTCTAATACTCAATTATTATGTTTAATGTAGTCGAATCCCTAATTGTAAGGGTTAATCGGTAGAAAGAGGAAATTTTCGTTTTTAATCGCAAAATTCCTCCATCTAGACTCAAGGAGGATTGGCTCCCAGAATGCCATAGGTATCTTAGGGGATCCCCCTTCCGACATCTTGATAAGTGCTGAAATATTTCCCGATGTAAAACGAAAATCTCTTCGATCTGCCAAGTACATAAAAAGAATTCTAGAATACTAAGGAATGTATTAAGGTAGGTAGTTTTGGTGAAGGAGACGTGGATTATTCTCCCATGTTGTAGAAACACTGCCTGAACTATCATTTGAGTGCAGGACTATAAGGCCTGGAATTGGGTAAACTGTAACCATCTTGCAAAAAGGGCTCATAGTTATGGAAAACTTGGAAATTATTGTAATATTCAACATTGCACTGATATTCAATGAACAGAGTATGTCAGACAATGAGTATGAGACTCATATTACACTTTGGACAGAATAATATGACAGGCTTATGTGAAACCAATTGAGCAACTTCTGGGACTTAAACTCAAGATTCCCAAACTTTTTTCAAAAAATCTACACAGCTTATTGTTGATACCTTTTCGTGCCTGTGACAATACTGCATTTACCAAGACTTGAAAAGGGACTTGGGCCTCAGTTCTATTACTGAATTTGGCTGAACTAAGTGTGAAACAGCATTAGATACAGAAAATATAATTAAATATCTGTTCTGAATTCTAGATATGTACAGCTGTCAATTATTATTAATCCATGTTTTATAACATTGACATGTATTTATTTTAAGCATCCCCATTTAAGGCCAGGGTGCATGTTCGGAATTTTGCTGCATTCCTCAATTGAGTCATATGTTATTTTTCAAACTCTTAAATTTTCACTGAATTTTCTTGTTTTCTATACATTTTATCAAAACATACTCCTCTACATTCTTTTCTAGGTACATTAGTGCACTTGCTGTGCAAAAGTGGGAGATGAAGACATTGTCGGGAATGTGTAATTCAAATTCGAAAAATAACATGTGTTGTGATTTAAAATCCAGAGGCACAAGATAAAAACTCCTTTTGAATCACACATGTAAAAATGATGTTTTCATTGAACATCCTTTGAAGAACTTCAAAGCCAGATTCTAAATTATTTTGAACGAGTGATTCGGTACCTTGCCTTGATCAGTAAAATTATTTTCTTTGTGAATTCCTGATAAGAGACCTATTGCTCAAGGGACATGTTACATGTCCCTAGTGTGGTATGTGGTTATATTGCTCAACATTTTGTATAATATGTTCATCCTTTCTACAATAACTTTATATTGTACATGGGGAGTAGTAGGAACACGGTCAGCTTTATCCCGTTCCCGGACTATAGTCCTGCACTGAGCGCATTCATCCCTAATTGTAAGGGTTAATCGGTAGAAAGAGGAAATTTTCGTTTTTAATCACAAAATTCCTCCATCTAGACTCAAGGAGGATTGGCTCTCAGAATGCCATAGGTATCTTAGGGGATCCCCCTTCCGACATCTTGATAAGTGCTGAAATATTTCCCGATGTAAAACGAAAATCTCTTCGATCTGCCAAGTACATAAAAAGAATTCTAGAATACTAAGGAATGTATTAAGGTAGGTAGTTTTGGTGAAGGAGGCGTGTATTATTCTCCCATGTTGTAGAAACACTGCCTGAACAATCATTTGAGTGCAGGACTATAAGGCCTGGAATTGGGTAAACTGTAACCATCTTGCAAAAAGGGCTCATAGTTATGGAAAACTTGGAAATTATTATAATATTCAACATTGCACTGATATTCAATGAACAGAGTATGTCAGACAATGAGTATGAGACTCATATTACACTTAGGACAGAATAATATGACAGGCTTATGTGAAACCAATTGAGCAACTTCTGGGACTTAAACTCAAGATTCCCAAACTTTTTTCAAAAAATCTACACAGCTTATTGTTGATACCTTTTCGTGCCTGTGACAATACTGCATTTACCAAGACTTGAAAAGGGACTTGGGCCTCAGTTCTATTACTGAATTTGGCTGAACTAAGTGTGAAACAGCATTAGATACAGAAAATATAATTAAATATCTGTTCTGAATTCTAGATATGTACAGCTGTCAATTATTATTAATCCATGTTTTATAACATTGACATGTATTTATTTTAAGCATCCCCATTTAAGGCCAGGGTGCATGTTCGGAATTTTGCTGCATTCCTCAATTGAGTCATATGTTATTTTTCAAACTCTTAAATTTTCACTGAATTTTCTTGTTTTCTATACATTTTATCAAAACATACTCCTCTACATTCTTTTCTAGGTACATTAGTGCACTTGCTGTGCAAAAGTGGGAGATGAAGACATTGTCGGGAATGTGTAATTCAAATTCGAAAAATAACATGTGTTGTGATTTAAAATCCAGAGGCACAAGATAAAAACTCCTTTTGAATCACACATGTAAAAATGATGTTTTCATTGAACATCCTTTGAAGAACTTCAAAGCCAGATTCTAAATTATTTTGAACGAGTGATTCGGTACCTTGCCTTGATCAGTAAAATTATTTTCTTTGTGAATTCCTGATAAGAGACCTATTGCTCAAGGGACATGTTACATGTCCCTAGTGTGGTATGTGGTTATATTGCTCAACATTTTGTATAATATGTTCATCCTTTCTACAATAACTTTATATTGTACATGGGGAGTAGTAGGAACACGGTCAGCTTTATCCCGTTCCCGGACTATAGTCCTGCACTGAGCGCATTCATTTGCCTGTACGATTACAACTTGGGAGAATTATCTACGCCCCTTACACTTAAGATACCTACCTCAATGCATTATAGAACTCAAGATGTAACTTCTAATATATTGGAACCGCCGATTGTCTGGGTATATCGGCAGAACGGGAACATTTCTCTTTTTCATCGAGAGAGATTCCATCACTTTTCAAAATGGCAGTTGGATTTAAAAGGGGAATCCCCCCTTTGGCTGTCCCGGATGTAGCCCGGAAGTACCAATATGGAGGAATTTGACGGTTGAAATAAGTTAAATGTTACACGCAAATATTGCGATCAAAAACGAAAATGTCTTCGTTCTGCCGATAAACCCAGACAATTGTGGATTCAACTACACGAAAAGAATGCTAAATTACCAAGGAATCTATTGAAGTAGGTATCTAAAGTGTAAGATCAGTAAAAAATTCTCCCATGTTGTAATCGCACAGGCAAAAGATTGAGATGTTCACAGGACCATAGTCCGGGAACGGGATAAGGTCAGCTGACTTTGACTGAGTCAGTGAAATTGAAAATGAAATTGTATTCTAAAAAATTGTTTTATCACCTGTTGAAATACAACTTACGAATATAGCCTAACGATGGCATGAAACTACGAAATGTAAACTTACCTTTTATCTAGTTTCCCAAGGCATTTGGCACAGCAATTACCCATTATTCCACTCCAACATTGAAATAATCGATCTTATTTCATTTTTTGAGGAACAGGAAGTTATAATTGGTTGCATTAAATTTACGAACGATTCATTATCACAACCGATTTTGAGTTCGTCTTTTTCATACCTAACTAAATTTTCACTTTTCACAATGAATTAGATTACATTACGGATATCTTTTTGAAATCCAGAAATATTCAACCAAGACCATTGTCATTGGACATCTCGTCGATTAAAATACCACACTATAGGAACAAATGTAGAATAATTTGTCACTTATTAAAATTGGTCATTAATACTGTAAGCTTGAAAAGATGGCAGCACATTACAGAGCCTTAAGGCTTGCTAAAACTGTGGTTCGGTCTAAGCACCTGTACACACTAATAGGTCTTTTTTTCCAGATGTTTCATCAGAAGACTGATTCTAGATTTTCAATGGTAGCCAGATTTCACCACACAGGGAACAGGTATCACTTGTGACCAAATGATGTTCTTTTTATCATGCTATATTGTAGAATGCATGGATTTATAAGGTCTTAAAAGTTAACATTTCCCATGATGGATACTAACATTTTCACAACTAAATAGTTTTCAATCTAAAACAAAACAAGGATTTCATTGAGTTTTTATTATTTATTTGGAAATAAAATATTTACCTGAAGTACATGCATGATTAATCCTAGAAATACATGTAATTGTGCATATTGTTGTCTCATAAACTGAACATAATTCAACTGAACATAACATATTTCAACTCCTTATAACTACAATGGTTTAATCATAAACTGAACAAAATTCAACTGAACATAATTCACTGCTATCAGCCTTTGAATTAAAAAGCAAATAGTAATAATAATAATCATTTTTGCCAATAGAAATTACAAAATATATATATGCTTCATTTGCTGCTTATAAAGTCATTAGATAACAGCACACCATTTGCAATTTTCTGTTAACAGAAATGTATGATATTGATAGTTTATTAGTATTAGCTAACTGAGGAAATGATAGCATACAGACATGCAAATCTGACAGAAACAAACCTCATTTAAAAGACAAAGTCACAAATTCAAATTTATTTTGACATTTATTGAGTCATTCAGAGTATTGCTTTATCCCCTTGTAGCTTAATGTGCAATTATCTAATGACAAAATATATCCTAGCTTAACTCAGCAGTATGTCTATATCTCTCTTCTGATTTTACATTTTATATACAGTTTCGCAAATATATACACAATAATCTATATACTATATACATCAGACAACCAAGCCTTGCTCAGTCTATAAATCCTCCATCCAATGCAGAGGATCGGGTGGTTTTGCAAAGCCTCATAGCAGGGTTGATTAACTTCATTATGAAGCAATTTGACAAAACGTTTTGTTACGAATGATTACATATCTGTGTAACTCCTCAAAAATCCTTGGTTTCCTTTTGTTAAAATGCTTCCTAACAAAGCCATTAAACCTGCTGTGTGATAACCATAGTTTACTTTGACACATGCGTGTAGTTCATTAATTGCAAGAAAAATTGAAATTAATGTCACTTATCAAAATTGCACTTAAATGGAACAAAATGTGTGCAATTTTAAATGTACATACATGTAATACGTATTTGTTCCATGTCTACAAGTCATTGTTTATCTATTACTTATGTATCTTGTAAGTTGCACTTGTAAAATAATGTACCGTACTGTATTATCGCGAGACAGTCAAATACAAAAACACTTCAAAAAAATCTTTACAAAAAAGTCCCAGACATAAATGTCCACAGCAGATTACAATGTATAAACAGTAAACACACAGTGTTATTCTTCACTGAAATATTCTAATGCATAGATGCATCTGTAAGTATACAGTGATTTCACAAATAAGTGAATTGCACCTTACACAAAATAAAAAGAGCACAATTTAAGCATGTAATTATGAATTGCTTGGCCCTACTATTAAACTTAAACTCTCAGTCAGCTGTATAAAAATTTGTTCTTTGCCACTATAAGCTTTGTATGCTATGAACTGGCCTTAACCTTGTAGAATGAAATGAAAAAAATGATAATGAATCATATCAGCATATATCGCATCAACAATTGCATCCATTATATGAGAGGGTGTTTCACAGAACCCAATCCTTTTGCGAAAAACATTTAAAGATGAAGGGTGCTAAAATGTTGATTATACTCCCACATCAAGAGTTCACAAAATTATTACATTTAATCACAATATGATTACATTAAATCACACAAAGATATCATTTTCAATTGCGTATCTAACCCTACAGTGCTAATCTGTATATCTATACATCCAGTTACCACGGAAATATGGAATGGTAGTGTATAGTACTGGACAGAAACCTCCAGCTGACCACAAGGACTTAATCATTCTCCTAGAGAACAAAGCTACTAACATTATATGAAATATAGCCTTTCTATATCATGGCCAATAAATGTATATTGTATGTTTATTTACACTTGATGTTGTTCGTTAGCTACTCCACTGTATACGTTCTTCACACTGCACTTAACATCAGCAAATCAGACAAGTGAACACCTTAAGGTGGATTTTGCTAATCACGGCAAATTCTGTTTTACATTCACATGTTTCACTTTTAGTTCAAGTGTTTTTCATGCTAGGCATGGATCTATGGATCTAATCCAAATGTTTATGTTGTTCACTGTAATTGTTATATTTGCAATGGCTTTCAATGAATTGTTTGGCACTTCCTTTTCAAGAACATGCAAATATTGCTCCAATATTTTAAGATACATTGCAATAAGCAGCCTAAAACCCGTCTATGAATAATAGTGTTCTACAGGGCGAAGGTTTCAATATCAAATTGTTCTTCGTAGTATCAATGCAATATATGTAAGATGACTTTGAAACAATATTTAATTGTAATTGAATATAGCGTCTAACACAGTTCAATGCTATACAGTCACGGAGGCCATTTTATTGAGATCAGATTTTGCCAACAAGTGACGTCTTGGTCCCTATAATGAGTAATAAGGCCACTTTGAGCCATCTCCATCGGTTACAGCCAATACTTAATTGGAACAATGAGAAACAAGAGATTTACATAAAGCTATGTCAATCATCATTGAGGCCCAAAGGTCATCTCCATAGAGCTTTAGAAAGACAGTTTGAAGACTACTGTACATCTCAATTCTTCCAATGGTTCTGCTTGGCTCATATGCCTCAATGATGTGGTCACCTGTTGACCACTTGTTCAGAGTGTTTGGTTGAGCTATATCTGGCACAGTCCTTGAGGTAGGGGAACAGATGGCAATGGATAGACCAGAACCTGAAACATGTAAACAAGCAATGTCAGCAATCATCTTCAAAATACTATATCAGGCATCTTATTTTGAAAGTACATGTATATGCATAAGTGATACAATGGAGAAATGTTCAGTAAAATGTGGCACAAACAGTTGTTGATAACTATCAACATACAAAGAGAAAAAGATTTCATTCAATCCTCTGCAATACTCATTTTATGAATATCACCAAAATTTATTTAAGGAAATACATAGATTGTTGCTGTTTACTTATGTTTTTATCCCACTAAAAGCCACTTACCTGGTTGGGTCTCTGTTCTCATCAAACCCTGACACACTAACAAGATTCTGCTTCTGGTTGGCAAATGAGGAATAACTGAATGTCAGCTGGAAAACACAAGGACATGATTCAACTACTAGATATTAAAAAATAAAGTCCTTTAAACAAATTCTTCAGAGAGAACCACTAGTTTTCTCAAATGGGCAATTGTCCCATAGTGAATCTGGATCTATCGTCACTTGTGTTGTTGGGGAAGGGTGATTTGATTCATATATATATTTACTGTCATGATTCCTCAACAAATTGATTGATATGGATCACTATGATTTCAGACTTAACATCAAATATTTACAAAGCATAGTGTACTTCTATTCCAGTATGACATCAAGTAATACAATGTTCTCACCTGATCTTCAAGGTCCCTCACTCTCCAGAGACCTTCTAGATGGGAATGGAAACTGCTTACGACTGTCAACTTTTTCTGCAACTGGGTATCTGAAAGGAATGATGAAAATTATTCCATGCCATTAAAAAGATGGCAGCAAAATAAGTCACCATGTGAAATGTATCATATGACTTTCTATTGTGAAATTGGATCTGTATTTTTTGAATATAATACTGTTATAAACATCAAACTAACAGCGTTGTTTATAATACACAATAGCATGTGATTTATCATCTGGATAGAGGACTTTGAAACTGTGTAGACTACTTCTACTTACATATAATGTATCCTATAGTACAGTCATCTGGCAAGCGGATATTGTTGCATACAGATTTAAACTTGCCTCCTCTGCAAGAAGAATTATAAGAACCTTCTAGAATTTCTCCCAGGGTATACCACATGCAGAATTATTGGGATGTCTTTCATCACAAATAGTATTTATGTATTCATTCGTAAACCATTATTCATATAAGTTTTTAAGTTTAAATATATTGGTATGGTAGAAGTATTACAAATGAGTTTATGGTCTTACATAGGCTATGCAGGATCTGTTGCATTGTGATTTTAATAAATTCACAGTAGGCACTGTAGTGCACACATATTTTTTCATTAATCTATGCCCCTATGTAGATATACATACCCTGCATGTGAGACCATCTTCAATGCTAGAGATCTACTAAGGCAGAAGCCAGCACCACCAGTTGCAAACCAGAATGCTTCTTTTTGCTGAAAGTACAAAGATATATTGTTATTAAAACAAATCATAATTTACTGGCAAATAGATTACAGTGTTTTTCTGATCTTATAATATTTTAATACTGTACTACATTCTCATACACAGAAGCTTATAAACTGCTCATGGACCCTTTCAAATACTGATTTAGTTGAGTCTTTAATGATTTGATTTAGCTGACCCAAGAGCATGTTAATTCCTTTAATAAATAGCTGAATCAAGAAAATGATAATCTCTTTAATGTTAATCTCTTTAATGACTAGCTCTGACTCGGGGACATGTTAATACAGAACATATTTGGAAGATAGCATCATTCTCAAGATTTATTCTGAATATAGCATGTAAACAGCATCAGAGATTATGGCTATTTCCTCTCTGACCACCAACCAGGAGATGATGTTTGCAAGAGTAGTACTATAAGTAGTATATGTAGAAACTGTTATGGTTCTCAGTAAAGAGAGGCAGTCATCAATCTTAGAAAACATACCCATGTGGAGAGATAGTAAATCAGGAGTGATCCTAATCTAAATATTAGCTACCTGAAGAATCTTACTTATGTCCAGTTTATAATTTGTGGTTTCTCACTGCACCATGTAGCTATTGGTGAAATTGATGAATGTCAAGTTGGGGAATCTACTTACAAGTATATTGGACATGAGAGCAATCAAAATACAAATGAAAACTTAGAACTATTGATATATTTACATGCAAGAATATGTGATCAATTGTATCCTAATCAATAATAATAATCCAACAATACGACATTGCACAGACGGGTCTATCGGGTCTATCGAGACGAGATCAATGCTCCAGCGTGTACACAGACCAATCCAGGCAAACCACAATATACCACAGAGAGACCTTCCAGCTCTACTGACATATGGACCAAAGCTGGCAAAACATCACAGAATCAGATTTCAATAATTAGTGCAGATGCAATGTTGAAAATAACAGAAGGTGTTTGTAGGCTATCTACAGTTGTTGACTGACCAAACAAAGCCAAAGAGCTGACACAATGTACTCTTCCTGCTAAAATCTCCATAACAACAGGAGAATGACACATCCCTGATAACAGTTGAAATATTTCCTGTTTTCATTCAAATTGTCTTTTTATAGAGATGTTCAACAAGATTGATACACGCATGAATGTTTGTTAGAAGTCAACATTGAGAGAAAGGTTGCTGAATTCTGGCAAGCCTGAAGTCATGAACACAATACTCCAGAGTAACTTAATCCCAATTTGAACATTCTAACATGATGTAAGGTGGATGCTAGCCCTTGCAATAATATAGCTTATCAGATTCACTTTTATAATAAAAGAGATAGCTGGTAGGTCATACTCATCCTAGATTATCTAATAAAAATACTGTAGTATATCCCATAATCAAGCACATCTAGACACATATAAACTATATGGTGAACTTGCATGAGAATGGTGAAACTACCTTGGCAATTGGAATGTTTTGGTCTGTTTATTGGAAGAGAGTCTTGTAAGCAAGAAGATCAAAGATTTTTACAAGGTGTGGAACCAATTATCCTTCCATTAATAATCATGATAATTCTTGGATCACATCTTGAAATGATTCCACACACTATGAGAAAATCTAGTAGGCATTCATTTTTTAAAAGAAAATCAGCTTTACTTTAGTTTACAAGGAGGAATAAAGTATGCAGTACGGGGCAGGTTGAAGTAAAATCTTGAGTCTGATAACGAATACCACATTCCTCTTCATATTACACAATTACATTGTTATCAAGTAATATAATTAATCAGAGGTTGAAATTACTCTATAAAAACAAACACATGGTTGAAATCACAAATATTAATGACAAGTTGAGAAATTCATGATTATTAGAAACCTAGTAAGGTTGAGGCGCTCCTTTGTGTAACTAATATTTTGGATGCCTTACTTTTCATTACGCCTTTCTCTGCTTTTCTTATCTATATTAGGCCTTCATTTCTATTTAGAATTGTTATTAGAAATTGATTCAAGATCTAGAGATTATCATATTTTTTTTATCAATTTAGTCTTTCTATTTGCTTTACCTGCTAACAAGTAACAAATTGAGAATAAGATAATCAATAAAGTCAATGTTAAGTTGAAAACAAGTTACCCATATACCATATATGGTGTGTGTTGTATGTTACCATGAACATATTGAACTGTTTGGGAAATGGGATTATCTCATTTTACAGTTTTACTTAAGTTTACATTTTTCTATTTCTACATTTATGCCACTGACAAAGTTCCCCACTTCTATTTTGTCTACCTACTTAATAAAAACTTGACATCAACACATTTCTATTTCAATGTTCCAAGACCCAGCGAGAGAACAGCCATAGAGTACATTAACAAGCACTAAAATTGTTTCCTTTGTACAAATGTTACAAACAATTCTATAAACGATTCAGATGATTTGAGAGTAAAAATATTTGAACAGTAGAAGATAAGAATTCTCATATAAGTGCGACCACTACATTAAACGGACACCTTCTACATCTATTTTCAATGATTTCATCATTTCCTCAGAGGAGTGAAGTGTTTCATGGGAAAACTGCCTGATAAAAATGTCAGCTAATTCAAATATAAGTGCAGGTTGCAGAGTTTCAAGGACATTTGTAAAAAACTAATTGCCTAATGGTGAATTGATGATGGTGATCCTTGAGTTGAAGTGGCAATTAGTAATCTCAAATTATGTTACACATAATGAAAGCTTTAGAAATAGTCGCTCAAGCACCTGTAAATTATCTCCTAACTTTCTCATAATCCTTTCTAGAATTCCATCTGTCAATTCAACCAAAAATGTAACAGTCATCAAGAATATACTTCATGTTGTAATTAATTCAACCTCTTAGACTGCTTAAATGACACAAACTGTCCCTTTATACCTTCAAGTATTATAATGCACCAATTTACTAAAAATCAAAATGAAGATGACCTTTTAAAAAGCTTATATGTTAAATTGTCCCTATGAAATATTATATGAAATCAAGTTTTTAATGGAACGAACAACTTTAATGGAGTTATAATAACACTGTTTGAGACACCGAATAGGGAAAGAAGTATGATTGTTTTGCAAATCTAAGAAAACTGCTATGTTCTATACATCCATATGCCCGAATAAATGTAGGCCCTGAATGGCCTGCAGCAAATAAAACATCCTAACTATGCCTAGTGTATCATTAAAATAGTGAAAACCTTGTTCACACCTGCAGACTTTGACAAGATAACCATTAAAATCATAATAAATATATTCAAGAAAACAAACCTTTATTCAAGAAAATCAGTACAAGCAAACAAATCTATTCACAGCAGAAAATGCTAAAATAACCGCCAAAAAATAGTGATTTTTTTAGAGATATTATATCTCATCCACGTTTCAATTAATATATCCTTTAAAACACATACACAATTATTCACAAATCACTGCATTATAAGTATTTTATGTTTGTATGCACACATCAAAATTTATGAACCAACCAAATTCACTGAATGAGATCGCTGGAGATGTAACTTACATTGGTAGCCATATTCCTGGCTTCTATGGGATGTGTGAGACTTGGCTTGCCCAGGTACCAGTCTTCATGACTGTCGTACTGACGTAGCAGCCGCAGGAGTGCAGGTACATTGACATATGTGTCATCATCCACATGGCACCACCATCTGAAGGTAACAAGGATATACTATGTATATGTACAAGCACAGAGCACAAACACAGGCAATAATATGAGCTTATATAATGGTTGATTCTGTTTTTCGTGTTATTACATGAGATAAGTAATAAAACACAAGTAATAAAACACATTTTCACAAAGAATGAATACTGAATATACCAGAATTTATTCTAGAAATGTTCATTCAAAATACATTTTGTTGCAAAAAATGGAACTGTATGATGAATGACACAAACTTGTCACAAATAATTTAGTTCATATTATTTTTATTTTTATCATGTATTCAAACAATTTCTAAATCCAATTTACCATGGAGAGTCTCGTATCAACTATGGAGATGAAGTTTTGTTTCATAAAAGGAAAATCAAACGCTTGGAAAGGGTGAGCTCATATATATAAAAAAACAGCAGTTAAACGAGACACCAGTTTGTATACATTAACGATAGGAGGTTAAAGCTAAATAAAGTGATTGTCTGATAGAAGTGCTGGCTTGAGAACTTTTTAACTTTTTATTTCATTAAATGATGCCAGCTCAGGTGTTCTGACTTGGTTAAGCATATTATATGCATAATATTAAAACGATATTACATTCAACTACTTAATCTTGGAACTGATGGGCAATCACAAACTGACATTTATCCAGTTATCCCTATGTCATAGTTATTTTCCTTGCTATCCAAATATGAAGTGGTTTGAACTAACATATATTAAAGTGCGAATATCAGGCAAATTTGAAAGTACACCACTCAGTGAAATCGTGATATACATCACTCCTAGCATTTCCTCTCTGAATGATTCACTTGAAATTGTCAGCATGAGACTTCAAAAATGTCTGTCAAAGACCGAAAGGCTATCTTTGTATATTACATTACGGCAGTCATTAGAGTGAAGTACTTCCTCAACTGATAACACGAGGATGATACAAAAAATATATATGAAAGTAATTCATGGAAAAAAGCATTTCAAAACCATTTATTATTGGAATTGAAAAGCATTTCCAAAGAGTACATACCTTAAACTATTAACATTTTATTTTTTACTTGGAACAATTAATCAAATTAAATTAGATTTTACTTCATATATATCAAACCATAATAGTTCAATACTTGACCCCTCTAATCAATGTTTATACCCAACAAAAATTCCCACACTCAGCCAGGAGGATTTTTTCTTTAACAAGGCCTTTGACCCCAAAGGTTGTATTTCTTCCCTTTCCATTTTATAAGAATTCCCCATGGCAATGTTGTTTAAAATACAGAGATATAGATAAAGCTACACTCTTTTAATTTGGACCATATTCTTTTTATGTTATATAAGCATCTTTTTAGCTAAATTCTAATATGCTAATGCATTACTTTCTCCATTTTGGCTCAGCTTGGCTGTTCTATCTCTGAGGATTTATCCTGGGATCAACCAAGTTCTCATGCATAAGGGAAAGATTGTGAGAAAGTTGGCCCAATCTTCTCTCCTGGTGTCAATGTTGTGTATCATATATACAGGGTCACTGTACACCTGTGCAAGTCAAGTCTACCAGGACTATCTAGTACTAACACACTGTATTACCAAAACCCCTGACAACAACTGTATGTCATACATCATAGCACACCATGGAAGACAAGCATTTAACATACCTTTCCAAAACAAAAAAAATGAAAGACATTCATTTCAGAATCAAAAACTTTTTTGTCTTAACTAAGAAATACTTATCTTTCAAAAATACAAGTGTTCTTTCATAATGAGAATCATGTCTCAGGATATCATATTTTAAAAGCAAACATACACAAAACACAAATCTAATGAAAAGCGTATTTCACAGAGTTAGAACCAGCAGAAGTGATGAGGATTTAGACAGGCATGTCTCAAGCTATGATAAATGAGCCACCAGTGATTTTAATTCTTTCAACCTGTTTTTGCAGGCATATATGAACAATGCCAGGAATTAGGATTGACAAGAGAGGCATTTGAAACTGTTACCATGTTGATCTCAGAGACTACCTGTTGAAAAAAGGAAAAATACAATAGTGTATGGTCTGACTTGCTTCCCAAATGACCAATTTTATTAGCTTATTTGAAAACTTAACTTTTGACATTGGTATTTGCTTTGTTTGGACATCAGCGTTAAATCAAACAATTCGTGTTTAAATTCTTCCGTAGTATTTACTACTCTTGGCCCATATTTCAAGGTGCAATACAAGTGTTGATATATCCAATGGTGAATATGGGTAGAAGAAAGTACTATAAACACATCTGGAAAATCTCTAAATGTTTATATGGTAGGAGTACGTTCCTCTCTGCAGAGTGTGGATGTGGTGAACTCTAAAGCAAATGTACTGTATGTTTCTTTGTTTCTACAATGATGAAAAGGGAGGGGGTACATTGAGTTGAAGGTAGTAATCGACTACCTACTGAAGATGCTTTATTTACAAGATGGTATAATTCTAGTAATCTAAATGATCCATGTTACTACATTGTATACTATTCACAGATAGATTATGCCTTGTGCAGGAGAATATTTATTTTCTATAATATGTTGAATGTAGCATTGAATCATCTTGATCCATCAAGGTATTTGATATGACTGAAGGAATATACTGGTTTAACATTATGCCACTGAATAGCTTATATGATTAATAAAAGCTTTTAAACATCATGCATGAACATACTTATTTTTCTTATATGCCTTATGAAAGTATAGAGCTATTTTACAAAATTCAATCTTTTTTCAATATACAATTTATTATCTCCTGATCATTGCAGAACAGTAGAACAATTCATGATAGAACAATATACAGTAGAAAGCTTAATCTTCTCACATTAACACTATGGCTTCATTCCTCCCTATAGAACTATAACCAACATTAATGAGGCCATTTCACATGAACCAAGAAAATTCCAGCATTTTTTACTATCAGGTGTTGATAAAGTCAGGAACTTTTAAAGTGCTCAGTTTGAACTGTTGAGTAGAGAACAACAGTCTGAGAGAGTTTATTTTACTACTCTGACTGTATATACATGTTCAGGCCCACTTAACAATACATTGTTCTGAGGAAATGTATAACAATTCTTGGCATGGGATGCCATTGGCAAGCACTGCAAAAAACAAATATTGTCTCTCCCAAAAATCCACAATGTATCTATTAATAATAAAAAATAGGCCCTTAACAAGTTAACAGTAGCTCTTTAAGCATTTTCATTGGAGACCAAAAGGTTTCTTTTGTAGCCACTGTAAGTGAATCAATGAAAACTTATAATGATAAGTTGATAACCACTGCTCTCAGATAGCTCTATAATCTTCAAGAGAACTCAAGGTTCCTTTACAAATAAACCAAGTACCAAGTCAAATTGAAGAGGACATTGAAATTCTGACCAGATCAATTAGACACAAGATAAGATGGTTCATTTCACATTCCCATTTATAGTCACTAAGCCATGACAAATCCAGTTAAGCGTGACACACCCCAAATATCTGTGTGACATCATGAGACACTGCTCTAATCAAAAGTGACACTAATCTACCATAAAACTGCTAGGCATGTATTTCTTGCAGTATCCAGCTTGGGAAAACAAGTCAGTTGCTCTATAGAATGAAAACAAAAAGTGGTCCTAATGTGCAAAAATGTAAACAAGTCAAAGTAGAATGGTGAATTGTAAACCTAACACTACAGATATGTTCCACCTGGTCAAACCACTTTAAAGACCTTGGACATTCTACCTTATACCATGCCCTTAGATTAATCCTTGAATTTGGATATTGGACACCTCTTCAAATGATTCCATGCTTTACAGAATGATATGACAGTACAAAACAATCATGACTTCACTCCTGTATGGCTATGTAGCTCCAGGGGGAACCTTACTAGGATCTTCAGGGGGCCAATGCTTTGTATACATTCCTTACATACAGACTATACCATTACCATACTCTTCTATCACAATACCAATTTATAAAATGAACAGTCCTCTGTATATAAGAATACTCCAGGAAGCATGAAACAACTGAAACGTTTCCCATATTCTTGGATAGTAAATGGTAGAGGTGTCAAGTATTAACCGGTTAACCGCCGATAATGCCTTGACCGGTCTGTGTTTTTATGGGCGGTTAGTTGACCGTGTATAATTCTGTTATTTCCCGCGCTTATTTTGCATGCTAATCCGTTTGGTTTTATGGTGTCAGTTTCACGTAAGCTACTCATACATGTCATAAGTCCCATAACTCCTTACAAACATCATATCAGCAACTTTAATCCCTGCCACATTGCTTTCCCGCGCTTACTTTGCATTTTAATCTGTTTGTTTTTCAAGCGTCAGTTTCATGTGAGCTACTCATACATGTGGTAGGTCCGATAATTCCTTACAAACATCCAATCAGCAACTTTAATCCCTGCCACATTGCTTTCCCGCGCTTACTTACATAGAATAGAGTAAAGCTTGACGAACGTAAAAAATAAACGCCGATATATCATTTTTCCAATTTTTTTCAACTTTCAAGATCGAAGATGAAGATTTCATTTGAAATTATCAGTTCAAATTTCCCGCTGGTTAACCGACTTTAACCGGTAAAAACCTTCGGTTAACCGGTTAATGCTCAAGCGGTTAATTGACACCACTAGTAAATGGGATGAGCTCATAGGATGTTGAATAAACACGGAGATAGCCACTCCTGTTCCTGACAGTAACAGTGACAAGTTGAACAAAAACAACAATTCTCACTGACATTGAAGGGAGATAAAATTAAACTGTTTACAAAAGCTTGAACAGCTTTAGAACCTTTCAATTAACTAAAGATAGGACAAACCCTAAATGCAATCACTGCGAAAATATATTGCACATTGCCAATGAATGTCTAATCTGAAAACCCCTGGGAGTGGTCAAAAGTGTTGGATTTGCAGGTGCTTATATTTCAAGGTTTTATAAACATGTTAGTCAATGGAAGGTAACAAATATGGAACCCAGAAAAAGTGTTCACATTGAGGGGTGTTCGGATTAGAGAGGTATTCAGATATACAGGTTCCACTGTCCATGTTCATACACAATGAAAGAATTAATTTGTTTGAGTTTTACTGGATTTAACAGATGGGCTTATGTTATAACCTTAAATTAAAACATTACCTCAAATTCTATTAGATTATATATCAGGTGCAATCAACCTATCATATACCTAATTAGACATCAATTGTCCACTATATTCATTAATAACAGTTTCAAGTTCACGCACTTCATAGCCTAGACTAGATGTTACATGCAAACAACTGTCACCACTCACCATGTGTGCTTTCAAACACCACCTAATATGTCAGTTATATAATTATCATTTTGAAAGGTGAGAAATTTTTGGTATTTTTCATTTTTAGGCGAAGACATAGTCATGTGCAAGTTAACACATCAAACAAAATAACTGAAGTAAAAGCCTACTGATTTTTTAATATAAAATGTGCTATCTACAAGTATTATCATATATTTCAAACATATTATGCATGTATATAAGTATAAAGCATGTACTATCCAGCCAGCCTACACTACTGCACCTAAATCATTTTTTCCCTTTTCTGAGCTAAGTGTGCTAGTCATGTTCAGAATAATGTGAACTTTCTACTTTAACAGCATAAACTATTGATTCACTTGATAAGTCACAGTCCCTAGGGTTCACTTTTTCCCTATTACTACAACATATTTGTCAAATAAAAATTGTCCCAATGTCAAATACTGACTATAATTGAATTTCAAGATAAATTGCTGTTCGAATGATGCATCTATTCTAGCTTGCTATTTGACTTATAATTTGCGTCTTGTTGGAGAGCAATTCTCTCAAATGTAATAGGATGTTTATCAAGCACATCTCAAAAACTGTTCCAAACATGATAAATGTGTGAATCAATTCTTTTGCTATCAAAGCCCACATTGAGATAATTTCTATATGGGTCCACGTGCCAGACTTCCCCACATCAGAGTATAGAGGAAATAAAGTTCAATGGCATTGCACTACAAAGCAAAAAGCTCAAACTTCACAAGTGAATATCTCACATTTGTATATTTCCATTGATTACATAAATTATTGATATGATTTGACACCTACCTAGACAAAGCAAAAGTGCTTGTTTATTTTATGCAAAGGTATGAGAGAAACATTATTCCAGAGTCTTCTTTTCACAAAAAAGCTACTTAAAAGCAGCAGTGTCTCAAAATGGATATTCACATGATTCATGAAGTTCAACAGGTCATGTTGTCCGCTGTAGAGAGAACTTATGAATACTTTAAATGTTAAACAAAGCAGAATATCACTTATAATCATATTTCAGGAATATCTGAACATCTATGGTTTAGAGCTCATATTTCCCTAGAATAATCATTGGTCACTTTCATTCTGATAAGCAAATCCTACTTAATGGATATAGATAGAAATCAGTAAGTTAAGCTGGTATTATAACAGAGTCTAAATAGAACTAAGGTTATATCTAAAATGCTTTTTATTCCATTAGAATGACATTTGTGAAATGTTAAGATCTGAATAGGCCATTGTTGCGATGTGACCCTTGACTTCCATAGTTCTACCAGGAATGTCTCCCCTTACATAGAACCAGAGTAATACAAGATGACACTTTGGGTGACCTCAAAGCACCTGATGATTCAAAACAGCTTATAAAGTTACAATGTCATACTAGACTATATGTAACAAATCCCGCGATTCAAAGGAACTAGAATTTATTGTAAAAATGCTATTCGATGTTTGCCTGAGTTTTACATGGAGTTTGTGGTCATCATAGGGTCAACCATTTATGGAGAAATCACACAATGAGACCATTAAAGAGGTTTGGTCTACTAAAACACAATATTTCTGAGCACTCCATGTTTGAGCTAACTGATATTTTTCTTTAATTAAGTTCCCTTTCTATGGACTCAACCCCAACAGTTCAAGCCGTTTATATCTTATACCTCAACCAATCATTTCAATTCCATAAGGAAATGATTATTGAAAAGTTCAGAGATTCTGTTTTATGATGTATCCAACAAGGTGACAAAGTAAAAACATTTCAACAAGATCATATTTTTCATGACAATTTTACGTGACTTTACCTGGCATACTATGGACTTGTGGGGGACACAATAGAAATAAGCTAATCCATATAGATCATTACAGGATGGATAAATAATTTATTGAAGCAAATCAAACATAAAAGACACAAACTGAACACTTTTGAAAGTAAAATAAATGTAATCCTACCTTTTATTAGCTGCAATGAATGTGTCAAACTCCACTGACATCTTACAACACAGAGCAGACCTGCAATACAGTAAAACACATCATTAGAGGAACACACATATTCATAAAGTACATTTGCTTTCTTCATTAACATGCATACATGACATGAACATGCATCTTGAACACATGTGCAACACACATGCCATCAACAGGCACAAGGGGCAACACAAATACCATCAACAGGCACAAGGGGAACATACATTCCATCAACAGGCACAAGGGGCAACATACATTCCATCAACAGGCACAAGGGGGAATACACATACCATCAACAGGCACAAGGGAAACATACATTCCATCAACAGGCACAAGGGGCAACATACATTCCATCAACAGGCACAAGGGGGAATAATACCATCAACAGGCACAAGGGGAACATACATTCCATCAACAGGCACAAGGGGCAACATACATTCCATCAACAGGCACAAGGGGGAATACACATACCATCAACAGGCACAAGGGGAACATACATTCCATCAACAGACACAAGGGCAACACATTGTTCATGTAACTCTTAGAGCACATCATGGAATAAGCTTATAATAAACAGTTTTCACAGTTAGTTAGAGTAATTAGAGAGTAATTATTTCAATATCGAAAAAAGACAAGTGGTTTTTCACACGCACATTCTGATCTCCCCAACCTGACCATCTGTCAATCAATATAGTAATTAGTATTGATTTAATCATCTGTTGCTTAAGTCAAGAAAACCTGTTGGATGATCCCAACTTCCAAACTGAATCCTCTCTCTCAGAAAATAAATATAACGAACTACACTCAACATATCTCATGTCACTAGAAAGCAAACTGCTGCCAAAGGAGACGCTCTCTTTTGAGAAGTGAAGTCGAACGAATGCAAAGGGTACTGCCTTTATATTACAACTATTAAATATCATTTCATTAGAGTGATCATTTCCAAATGCTGAGAGATATTTTGTATTCATATTTTATGCTACAAACAAATGAACAAAGTAAGTTCCCATGGCAACCCTTTGATTGCAATTGACATGTCAACAACTTCTCATCTTTTCTTTGGAATCATTTCTTTATTTCTGCCCAATCACAAAGTCTACTTCTTACATTTACTTGTAGGAAGTGAGAAAGCTTTGACAGCAAAACAAACCAGAACAACGGCAACGCCAAAGCGTAGCGAATCCCATCGAACAGAAATGGCTGGCATTTTTACAAACTAAATATATAGCAAATATCATAAAATAACACACATAAGAAAGGCCACCATTTTCAAAACTGATGCTCACTGGCCAAGTTGTCATCAGAAGAAGTAATATGCTTTTTCTTTATAGTATTCACATACCAAATATGAACAAAATCGCTCCACCACTTTTTGAGTTATAGTAAAATACGTTAAAATGGCGGCCATTTTTCAAAATCGCCAATTTCTACCAAAAGTGTCATTAGACAGTGTGCCGTGCTTATGTCATTCACATAGCAAATATGAACAAAATCTCTCCACTACTTTTCGAGTTATAGTAAAATACATTAAAATGGCGACCATGTTTCAAAATGGCCGCCTTCTACCAAAAGTGTCATTAGACAGTGTACCATGCTTATAGTATTCACAAACCAAATATGAACAAAATCGCTCTACTACTTTTTGAGTTATAGTAAAATATGTTAAAATGGCGGCCATTTTTCAAAATGGTCGCCTCCTACCAAAAGTGTCATTTGACAGTGAGCCATGCTTATAGTATTCACATACTAAATATGAACAAAATCGCTCCACTACTTCTTGAGTTACAGCAAAAATCGTAAAATAACGAGTAAAGGCTGCCATTTTTCAAGATGGCTGCCATGTGCTTCTTTAATATCTATATTTTTAGCTTATCAATGTCCTATATAATTTTTTTACATTTAAAACATATTGCTATTACAGTTTTACATATTGCACCTAAATTACTGTAAAATCGGCACTAAAATGGCCGCCATCTTTAAATGAGCGGCCATTTTGAAAATCGGCTTTTGAGCAGAATTTCTACCCCCATAGGGTATATGTGTACAAAATATGAACAAAATCGGGCCAACGGTATTTGAGTTATTGCCCGGACGGACGGACGGACAGACAGACGGACGGACGGACGGACGGACGGACGGACGGACGGACGGACGAACGTACAGACGTACGTACTGACGGACGGACGGACGGAGGCGTTCCCTATATCCCTCCGAACTTCGTTCGATGGGATAATAAGCATTAGTAGAAAGTCAGTCTTGAAACAGCAAGGAGCTGAATGTAAATAAGTACTTAGTGTCTGAAATATGTGGCATTTAGCAAGTTACATGAATTGATTTATTTACATTAACAAGTACTTAATCTCAGTATAAGCTGATACATAACCATCCAGGCTCCAGTTCATACTGACATCTACTAGAGAGCCAAACAGCACTTGGAGCAGGAGACAGCAGGAGGGAGGAGCACCAAGAAGCACCAATACAACAAAACAAAAATCTAAAATCAAAATCATGATGAAGGATGTCCAATCAACAATTTCTTTGGACACATGAAAAACAAACTCAAAATACATTCTCTCAACCAACATTCAACAAAGTAAACCTGAACCCAAACTTTGTTGTTTTTGAACCAAATCTTATCTGATTTGAAGGCTATCATTATACAACATTTATTCCAACAAGTCCTGAAATGTTACTCCAGTTTCAGCAAACATCGCCTCATATGACCACATAGAGAGGTATGTATGAGAAATGCGACACCAATACAAGCTCCCAGTCATCTAGGCCTTGTTCTGTGCAAGCTGAAAGTCGGCCGACACAAGGGAGAACACAGTAACATCTAAAGTACTTTTCCATTTCTCACCAACCCTTCTTCTCACCAGCCTTCTATATGCAATACTCTCTTAGCTTTGCTTCCACTCATCTTCATTCTTTTCTCCACAATCCACCCCATATTCACTCTCCCCTCTTTCCAATATCCATAAGTCTCCCATCCTTGATCTGTCATTCTCCTAATTAAAACCTACTTTAACCCTATAACCACTCTATAACTCAGGCATGCCATAAACACCATGTGCTCTGGGAGACTGGGGAACATCAAACTGTCAAACATGATGAAGGTGTTAAAGCAGCAAATACCTGGTCTCATTCATCACCAACCAACCAACAATGTCATCCTGATCACTATCTCATATCTAAATGCTCTAAAGGATAGTTGCACTTATTGTAAAACATGCATGAGAAACATTTTTAACATTTTGGTATGTGTACAGCATTTACTCCATTGGATTATCCCTGAAAATATGGTAAACTGTTCCCAGTGGTAACTTCCCAGATACCAAAAGGGGCATCTCATTTCAGAAGAAACATCTTAACTAGTGATTAACTCTCTTGTTAATCTTGTTTCTCATCTTCTTGTCACAAAAGCTTTACAGTTGTAGCCCAGGCTGCTCCAGTGGAACAAAGCAAAACTATTTTAAGGTAGACTTTCCAGGTTCACTTGAATCCCAATAGGGAGGTTCTATCTGAGATGGGATGTATCTATTTCAAAGCATGAAGGAATATGATGATATTGATGAGATGATAATGTATCATGATGTGAAAGATAACACTTGTGAGATAAATTGTGAACAACCATTGTGTGGATCTATTTTCCTTAATTTTTCTGGAATTCACTGATTTACAAGCACATTGAAAATGCCTTTGACTTAATATATTGTTTTTTTCTGTTACTTTCATGTTCAGTAAAAATGCTCCCAATGGATTAAATAAGATTAGAAAAACAATAGATCATATTTGCCATTCCTTAAAATAAAGCCATAAATCTTCAATCCAAGTATTTACCCAGGGATTCATAAGAGACAGCTTTCTCCACAGCTGCCCTTTGAGCTATCCTTCTATGTACTAATGAGGACAAATTACTGTTTTTGCCAAATACGACAAAAACCACTTTCTGCCAAAAGGTTCAGTAAGACATAAGTTTACAAGTTAATAATAACCGAAGTCTCATTTTACCAGAACACATGGAATATCTATAATAATAGAGAAAGTGCCTTTCTCATGAATGATTCTTATGGGCAAACATTTCAGCAACATTAATAGACATAGTATAAAAGATTTAATAGAGAATTTTGTTTTTCACACTTACCTACTATGTCCCTTTGAGCAATTTGTGTTGATCATATGATGATCTGGAAATAAAAGATAATTAGAATGAATATACATGTACATGCAAGTGTATCCTTCCTACTAAGAGTGATGGTGTCAAAATCAGACAACTATGACACTAAACAACAAAATATGAAAACATGTAAATCCCCGAAATTTGACTAAATGAAATAATATTTAATCATCTGATCACTGCCAGGATACCATATCAGAGACTAGTACAAGAAGTAAATTCAAACTATTCAAAAGGGTATTGTCATGACAATACAATGTGGTTATTAATCATAGATGTATTGTAATTATCCTTCTTTGTGGGAACCCAGTTCAACCAACTTCACAATGGTATGTCAAAGTTGACCAGGACGGAAGCTATAATTAACCCATTGAAATCAGTCATGTGATATATGACATGCCTTTCGGGAAGATTTTTCATTGAAATATCTTTTTAGTAGAAATAATTTTCTAATTTTCCCTTCTTTCACTCTCAAAGATAAATCATATATTAAGAAAAATAACCTATATTAAATTGATGCATTACATATTTCAATTAATACACTGCATAAGTACTTGCATATTATCATATACAACCAGCATTTGACAGAAATATGTCATTCGTTGGGACTTAAATGATCAAGAAAAACTAAAATGGTCTAAATGCAATTGCAAACTAATAGACTAAAGTACTGTTAAGCCGAGATAAAAACATTGCTATTGATTCAGCAACTTATTTGACTTATAAATCGTCGCAAATTGATGCTTCGGGACACCAAATATGGCAATAAAGTAGAAATTACCGCCAAGTCAATCATCATGGGAACTTCAAGGAAAATTAGGGACATTACAGGAAGTGACAAATAAGTAAATTATACAAGAGGATATTGATTCTAGACAATCTATAAGTCTCACTTCTAAAAGGTTCATAGTCATGATGAAAACGAACAGCATGGCACTTGCAAAATGGGACTTTTTCATGTACTTGAAATAATGTGGCCTTTCCAAATTATACAAAGTGAATTGTTAACACAGTTTCTCAATCCAAATACTTGCTCGTAATATTCATCAAAGAGTGGTCAAGAGTTTTGATCTTGTAAAACAACATTACATTAAGGTCATCCCAAATTATGATGAGAAATCAATATATGATGAGATAATGTGAATCAGAGTGAAAGTTGATTGAATATGACACCACAAAATGTTATTCAGTTCATGGGAGTAAGTTAGCCTTATAAGTTTTTCTTTGGACTAACAAAATAATTTTAGACCTCTCTATTCAGTTGACTTAAAATCATACAGTCAAACTGTATATAAGTCATTAATTTGGCAGTGACTTCAATAACCCAGATGCCAGTACGTAGTTACCAGTTTCACCACCAGGTGGCCAACTCGGTTCAAATGACAGATACATTAGAAAGTTCCCTTATATTAAACTTGAATATTCATCAGTTCTGTTGGATTTTTCATATTACCTTATGTATTTTATATTTATATGAGAATAAGCATAATATATATATAATCTGTCTAATAAAAGAAGATATTTCACTTTTGTGATATTTTAACCCGGAGTCTATGTTTAAAAAACAACAACAACACCATGGGGTTTTTGGGGATCTCCCCAACCCACATTTTCAAAGAAAATTAATTTTTCAAAGTTGATAAACAGTTTTTGAAACCACTTTTCTACCTGTTATTTTACATGTAGATTTCAAATATGATGTCATATTTAATGATGTAAATCAAGATTATTCCTACTCATATCTAGTCTATTACTGATTCTGACCTCAACAATGACATTATGAAATGCAATAGGCCTTAATGACTTTTTGATGAAAACAAAGGACATGCAAGCGATGTATGTTACTAGATGTTGATGTTATCATCTGACATATTGAGTCTATCACGCTTCATTGATCCAGAGGCAATATGACACAGACAAGCAGGGCACAACATCTCAGGGGCGTCATTATATACCAGAATATCAAAACTTCCCGATAAAACAATATTTAAGTAGGAAATGAAATATTGTCAAGGAGATGTTTCAAAATCAATTGCCACTGAGTCTGTCAATGGCGACTGCACTTTGATAATAAACTTCTGTTTTGTTTTTGGTTGGACCTTGAGCGATGCTGGAAACAACCACGCTTATACTAAAAATACGTAGACTTAGAATAACAAAGCTTTTCATGTTCAGTGTTCTTTTTGTTCATTCCTCATTAACTGATCAACAAAATTATTAACCAAATGTTTGTTCTAGTGATAATTAAGAAATAATTAAAGAAAAGAAAACAATCTGAGTCATCATGCTCAATAAATTTTTAGTCATGTTTTCCTGTTAATAATTAATGAAAGTAATGACATAAATAATTAAACAACTTTCTTTCAATATATTTGAATGCATGCTTTTTTTATATATTATTAATTACTTTACATTAAACGTGACTTCTTTTAGCATTTGCCTATACTGCTTATACTCAATACATGAAATGTTAAATATGAACATGTATCTACAGTATGCAGAGTTCATGATACGATAAATGAGGATTTTTAAATACTTTTTAATTATTCATTCCAATGATTTATAATTTGGATATTTAAAAAAATCTGTTTCAATTACAGTCTTGATTTCTTCAATTCAACTGGGGAGTATTTACTTATAACCCAGAGCACACATTTTCTTTGTTTAGCAGCCGCCAAAAGTATAACAAAGGCGCTTACTTGTTTTCTTGGTATACTCTTCGTCATCTGTATCCGTGAATATAAACGTCTGAAATAAAAGAAAAAATATATTAAATGGGCACTTCATTTGGTTAGTGGGTTTACACAACTGTCATGCAACAATGCCACAAAGGCCGCCAGCAGCTGTCATTTGTTGACCCATAGTGGATTTTACACCTGATGATCTATGTAAATGTTCACCACTTTCTGGCTTATGTATGAACAGAACCCAGAGTCATCCAGGGTAGGGTATATTCAACAAGTCATGTCTGGCAAATAAAAGTAATCCTCAAGAGGATGATTTGAGGTAAACATTCTATTTTATCTAAACTGTGTAATAATATTAAATCTTCTTTAAATTACCCATAATGCCTCCCACCAAGAGGTTTTTACTAAACACCGTAACCATGCATGTTTTTGAAGAAATCTCTGGTAAATCTCAATGTTTTATGTTGACAACTTCAAGAGTATCTTTTTACCTTGAGAATCTTACGTCTAATACAGATCATTGGGCAACATGTATTTTGAATGTTAAATCCATAATTAAATCACCCAAAAGAGTTATTTGATGAAAATTGTGATGGTTTCACTAAAAAAATTGAGGTTAAGATATGAAATAATTAAATATTTACAGCAACCACTCATTAACAGTAATTAAACATTATTTATGATCATTCATAGATTTCTTTATTGTATTGTGATTTTTATTAACTCCTATTTAACACTTGCTATAATTGTGCATTATGTGGAATACAATAACAATTAAAGCCAATAACGGTAGCAAATTACTTGACAGAAAAAACATAAAAGACAAAGTTATAGAACAACAACTGGCAGCTGCACAGTTCACATCTTGACAATTCTCAAAATACAAAATATGATCCAAAACAAACAGTTCAAAATACCACAATACTATTGTATTTTACTGCAGGATTTTAATGCAATAGAAACCTGTTGAATGAAAAGAATTAAAATTTAAAAAAGTATTTTCTTGAATTTTGATGTTCAACTGATCTCCAAACATCTGTAACTTGTTAGATATTTAATTTCAAGAATTTCTAGACTTTGATATGTTATTTCTAGGATTTTGCTCAAGATTTATGAATGAGTTTACAGTTGAGTTGTTCATATAAGCTGTTGCATGTAGCCAGTTAATTGTTTAAATCACATCATATTCATTTTAGCAGATGTTAGATCTTCAATCTGTGTGTAAAATATGTCATAGGTTTATAATTGATTGACTTTACAAAATACTTGCTCAATACCTTTTCATCTTTACTGACATTTATGTAATGTTGCAGCTTTCAGATAACTTTCAATATTATCAAAACGTAAAGTGCATAACAATAAGAACAGCTAACCCATGCTACATCTATAAAATTTCAAATATCAATTTCTTCCAACCCCACCCCTATACAGATTCTCTAGAAACCCATCCATTCGTGTTACATAATTTTACAAAACATATACAGTGTAATGTCAAATTCAACCAACTGGAATGTTAGCTATCTGACAGCATTTACATCATTAAACAGGACAGTTATGACAGTTAGATTCACACAGTTAGATAGTTACTTCATTAGACAGTTATATTGGTCTGCAGTCACAATACGTTATACAATGACACTTTCCTTGATGCCATCAAGAGATTCACTATAATGCATCATGTCAGACTTTTGTGCTTGGGAGATCTCATTCAAGTTGGCTTAAAATAGTTTTATCTTATATAAGCCCCCAAGGGACACCCCCTGTACATACAGACATGATAACAGAAATGTTAGCCAATTTCACTAAGAGCCTATCTACTAGAGAGATAAGGGGCACTGCTTTGCCAATCTTGGTTCACTTATCAAATACATTACAAGAATTGTATTTTGGGAGATGTTACAGAAGGCAGCAAAACTGTTTTAGAGATATCTCATGTTTTCCTCAAAGTCCCTCATCTACACATATATTGTTGGGTAATAGAGTTGGAAGACATAGTGAGTTTGATATAATTCTAGAAAAATGATGATCTGCATTTGCTACTAATAAATTACTCAAAAATATTAAGTAGGAGACAAGGTCAATATTATTTATGTTGTTCTATACCATTATAATTAATCACGTTTTACATTGATCCCTCCCTCCCCCACAAAAATTTAATTGAAGTTTTATTTATTTTTTCTAATCAAAAGTCAATATCAAAGATATCGATATCATGGCCCTCTCACTCAAACTACCCTTTTAAGTGTATAGCTCTGCCATTCACTTAAATGATCGATGGTTTATCATTTCAAAGTTCGAAAAACAAAGATTTCGGATTTTCTATACCATCCAAAAATATACTTAAATTTGCTGACCAGCTATGGCAATATAGATCACTTTGCCCTTATTAAAATAACTGAAATCTTAAATCATTATCTTACAGTGGTGCAGAATATAGTAATAGGTTATACAATATATAATTACACATAATATGATAAGATGTACTCAAGTAAGTCCATGATGTACTCTGGCCCTGAATATTAAATAAACTGTTTTGATGATGGATTACATAATTTCAAAGAATGGACAAGTCAGGAGTTAAGTCTTCATTGATATTGGGTCTATTTATTCAAGTTTGTGTCTACATGTACTTCAAAATTTGCCATGGATCGAATGCAGCAGTTATTTTCCCAGGATATTTCATTTCTGATTGCATGCAGATGGAATTAGTGACTGGTATTAGGCAATCATGCAGAGATAAGTGAATGACAAACTGAGATAAACAACCACAAAGCTACACTGACAACCACTCAGGGCTTGCATTAACGGCGTCCCTTACATGTAAGTGACGCAAAAAAAAATTGTAGGACGGAAAAATAAAAAATATTTCCGTTTTTGGGACGGAAAAAAAATTGAGTCAAAACTTTGAACATTTTTGAAAATCTTGAAAATCTCAATAGTTGATCATGTTTGACTTCTTTGAGGTGTATATTAAGATCAAAATATGTGAGATTTACAACTTTATTTTGAGTAAAAAAGAAAAAGAATGCAGAAAAACGAACTATTGTAATGGGCGATAATAGGTTATCACTTTTCTCACTGTAAAGCTGATATAAAACCTTCAAAATGAGTTCAATTGTACAAATGATGCATACTTACCTAGGTGAAGTAGTCTATTTGTGATTATATAACGTCAAAATGGTCTTATTTATGATATAAATCAGAGGATTCTGATCATGTAGAAAATGTAGTGATACACTAAATTACTGAGCGTCAGACAAATTCATACTAAAAAATGTTCTTATTTTGTCAAGCAGTTGTTCAGGGCAAACTGCAAACAGCAAGTATAAAGATAATCACAGTATAATAGTACTTACTATAACAGGCTGGAGGTTACATAACATAAGTGAATTGAATATAAAGAACATGTTTAAATCACAGGGCACGAATGGCAACATTTTGAAAACACATAAGACATGTAAGATCCAGTCATGCACATTCCAAAATAGCCCATTATAGCTAATTTAGCTTATATATCGGAGGACACACTTTTTTCAGTCGGGACTCACTTTTTAAATTTTTTTCCTTCATTGGGACTCACATTTTTCAGAGCCTAATGCAAGCGCTGACCACTATATATAAGATATATATAATTGGTGATATATTATATTGACATCAATACAACAGGTAGTCTTGAATCAAGAACTGTACTCCCCCACTCTCTTAGAGGGAGGGGTATAGGATTTCAATGCAAGGCTAGCAAAGAAGTATATCTCTAAAGGATTTTCCTGAACAGAGTGCAAGGTTTTAATTTTTCCTTATTCCAACCAGGAAATGCCTTAAATTGAAAGTGATTTCCCATTATTCTCAATTTTAGCAAAGATAATTAAGCATTATAATCAGATGATTGTTCCATCTATTTGTTTTATTCTGTGTAGCGGTTAAATGGAAACAGAAATTGATTTATGACACATAATCATGAAATTTCTGTCATCCTAAAAATATATCACAAAGCATATATAAGCTGCAACTACGCTTAATTTTATTCATGATTCAATAGCCAAAAAATATAAATACACCAACTGTATGCATATGTGTTCAGGTCTAATTCACACAAAATCTTATGAATACCTTGAAGAAGTATGCTTGGTTTTGAGATGTAAAAATGTTTATATCATATTGAAGCTGCTTTGAAACTTTAATAAATGAATACCACTTTAACATATCAAACAGGTTCAATGAAGGTAAATCACTATTAGTGTTGCAATTACACCAAAACTGGGTGAAATTATCACCGAGTAATACTTCAGCAAAATCTTATAAAGATTTATCTATTATCCATTATAGTGTTCTTTCGTATACTTATAGATCTATGGATCATTTTGTTAAACACTAGCTTGCAAATACAATAAGAACGTATTGATTATAGAACAAAGATCGAAAAATACCTTGTTCTATTCGACATAACAGTTTTAACGTATATTGTATTTTTGTATTTCAAACAGAATTACAGTTGCATTTATCTTAGATGTTCAATGTTACCAAGACAACAACTAAGAAATGTGAATATAACCACAAAAGAAATCTATTTCTTATAGATCTTTCGACTATGTGGTTTTTTGGGCAACGTATCCAACATCACCAACATCTGGCATTCACTAAGAATCAGTTAAACCATTTTTTATTTCAGTTTCAATTACAAATACAGGTATAAAATTCTAGTACTTTTTCTCTTTATAAAAAAGTCTTCATCATTACTCATCCAATTATAGTAATAAGAATCCATGATAATTTTGAGCTTTAGTAATAAATATTTAATTTTGACCATTAGTAACTGAATACTACTTTTTGGGGATTTACTTATATAACTATTAAATCCTTCCCATTGATTCTCCACCCTCCTGAATTCATTAGTTAAATAAAATCAAAGATTTTCATTATCAGGCAATATTTAATTACAAGCCCAGTCTGTATTAATTAACTTAATTAAATGTGTCTGTCTATTGCATTACAGTTAAAGTGATAAGATCTGCAATTCTTGTTTGTTGATGTATACTAATAAAGCTAGGATACACAGGTTCATCATATCTTCACATATTATCAGTTCATACTATCTTACTTATTCAGACATGGATATATCATTCCATTTACTATACTCAACCACTAGACAATCAAGAATGCATGATGTTGCCACAACACAACAGGTTGAAACTGACAAGACTGTGAATGAACACAGGGTTGTAAATTCCACTTTATATTCATAAAGTATATTTTCTCTTCAGTTTTAAGAACTGAAGAACATATGACGAGATTACTGCTATAACTCATGGTACCGCATGGCTTTATAAAAAAAATTGGGTACAGAAGCCACATTTTCTTTGGCTTCTTTGACATTTCCATTTTCTTGCAAGAATTCCTAATTGAAACAATTCCCAGCATTGGCCTGTCTGGGATCTAGACTACAGCTTTAACAAAAAAATTATAACCGTGGGAAAATGTTTGCATACATACCTGATCTCTTGCCATTACAATCCATGTCTGTAAAAGTAACTCCAATCTAGTTTTATGAAACTTTTCTGTAGTTTTTATGGAGATGTACAAGTCCTGTAGCTCAATTTCATGCTCATCTTCTTTGGTATTATTGTCAGTATTTTTGAGTTGTCTGATTGTTTTACTTTGTCGTCTATTGTAGACTTCACGTTTTGATCTGTGATGAATTTGATTTTCTAATGACCTTTTCTTCAGGGGTGCTTGAGGTCCTTTCACTAAAGCACTGTCGCCATCTTGGGACAAATGTCTCAAACTTTGGTCACTTTCAAACCCATCAAAATTCTCTCCGTTTTTTAAGTACAAAATGTTCATAAATGTCAAAAATGTAAAGCAGGCTAGTGCCTGGAGAAACTTACGAAGATACAGCCTCATCCTGTCTAGTTTTACTGCCGAAAGCAGCGTTAGAAAGAAGCGATTCGTTTTTTCTTGTTCATCTTATCCCGCTTGAGTTCTTGTGAACTTTCTGATAACAACAACTGGGTCAAAGTTGAAAGCACTTGTTGAAGTTCATCGCGCATGCGCATGGAAAGTCTCTTGTGATATCCGGTTCTTGAAAATCTGAAAATGTCTTCGGATTCGTGGTAAGTTTTACATTCCTTAGGCTTATGAGAGAATATAACGAGACTGGATATCAGTTGTTAAACTATGTTAGTATAAATAAATAACTTTCTACAAGTTGTACTTTAGTCATGGTGATGAATACGTCTTTATTTTCATGATGATTTAATTTTTATCATTTTTCTTGCTTGACTCATTTTTTAAGCCAAGATGTATGATATGATTTTGACTCATTTTTTAATTTGATCAACACTCTTAAGCCTAGGTCTATTCTAGTATCTATAAGTAACTTTGTTAAGGTTCGATATAGCTACAGATCCAGGAGTTTGTGTAAGAGCAGCCCTTGATAATGACTGAGTGAAGCTAAACACGTCGAGTGAGTGCAGCGAACAAGCATGAGACTGAGAGTATGAGTGTCTATTCAAAAAATTGAACATTATTTGGTGCATTCTGAGTTGTTCAGAGCACAGTATATTGCATTTAAAAACATACTTAGACTTCTGTAAACTTGGGGAAATATAGAAAGTCTCTTGAATTTTTGGTGATTTTGAAGTCATGTCTGCACTTTACAGTTCAAAATCAACTTCTGTAGTAATTTGACACCACACTCAAGTGCTGTAGCAAGTCAGAAATACGAACACGTATTATTATTAAATACATGATGAATAAAAGTATGACACTGAATAATACCCTTTCCCTAGATTATTAGTCATATAAATCCGACCATCGTATGCTTTGTCATTATTTTTTGATAATTTGGATATTTATTTTTTGTTATTTTCTTGCATACTAGGGTCGTACACACTTCCCGGTTGTAAATTGAGGGAAATGCTTTCCTGGCCTGTTTAGGCAACCAAAATCACACAAATTATGTATTAGAATATGCTCTTCATCGATAATGTATTTAATCCTACCTTACACACGTCAAACGCTTGATAATTGAAGAAGTATAAGAATTTTTCTGGAAACAATTTTTTCCCCATGTGTAGATGCATTCTGGGTAATGATTGTGTAAAAGTAAAACTCTAGGTGAAGCGAAAAACGAAATTACAATAAATAACAGCAGCCATATTGAGATCGAGATTTCAACTCGAAAGTTTATCATCGTCTTATGACAATTGAATCGCCTTCCCAGACACCAAGGAGGGTGAAGAAACCGAAAACAGATATGTTGGTAATAAATAATTACGATTTCGTTTTGGTTGCATGGTTTCACATTTAGACTGTATTCAGTGACCTTGAGTGACCTTGAGAACCATATTGGAAATTGGTTCAAACATATATGAAAATGATTACATTTCTTCAATTATTAAGTATTTCCTGTGTTTAAGGTAAGAGTTAATACATTCTAGTTGAAGCATTGGATCCATTATCTTATCTGTGTAACTTTTGTTGAGCATAGAGGGCAGAAAAGCATTTACCGCAATATACTGGGCTTGATATCCTCGACGCAAATGTTGAAAACAAAAATAAAAAACAAATATCCAAATCGTCAAAAAGAAACGTGAAACAACAACATTAAGTCGAGTTCACTTGACTACTAGATTATAAACTTGAGCTGTTGAGGGAAATCGCGTCATATTTCATATTTCAAAGCTCTGAAATAACTTATTTCACATCTTATAAGTTGGAAATTTTAAAATATTGTTGGGCATCCTTTGTGCTTCAGATCTCATCCACCACTGGTTGCAGGCAAGGGTGGATCTGGGAACCAAAAAGGGGGGTTGGGGCCAAATTTCAGGTCAGAGAAAAAACTTGCGCCCCCAAAAATTTGGGTTCATTTTCTTCAAAATTTGGCTTAAAATTAAAAAATAAGGCCTTAAAAGTCCCAGTAATGAATAAAAAGGCCCACTTTTTGGGGCCTTAAGACGTTTTTTGGCCCAAATTTTTTTCTGAGCCCACCCAAGGAGGGGGGGGGCAGGCCCTTGTAGTCCAAGTTGTTTCCTCAAACATGACTGATAACATATTCAAGACAAAAGAACTCATCAACGTGAAAATATAATTCTTGTAGCAGTTTCATTCTGTGTGGTCATTTTTTCTCCTGGATAATTTTCTGCTCTGTTTGATATATTTGATCTACGTCAAAAGAATTGCAGTTTTGTGAATAAAATGAACAAAATATCATCTACCATGATTTAAATTCCTGAATAAACACTCAATTAACAACATTTTGGTTTCCAACTTTTTGTGACAGATTTCGGCGGTTGGTGGTCAGGATTGGGCATCTGCAATAACAATTTGCAATAACTTATGACATTTTGTCATATTAATGCCTCTTTGAATTCCAGGATTTGAATAAAACAGTACATGCATATTACTATGTGTCCTTTCAGGCTTTCTGACTACAACTATTGCTTAAGGAATGGCCAAGATATTATGGAGAAGATCAGTGAGCGCAATAAACAGTCGAAGAATAGCTCAACTTTTGCTCGTGTAAGTATCATTCAATGAAATCTCATGGTTTTCAATTTAGCTTAGATCTTCCTTTGGTCAAGAGTCACCAAAATAACATTTGTGATTTTGGTCTCTCTTAAATTGGATCAAACAAATAAATGTCTCTTATTATAAACTTAAATATGCCATTATGAGGACCGTGTACTGTACTTTAAACCCCTGAGCTAGACACAATGTGTAGTCATATTTTAATTAAAATTAATCTCAAGATCTTATCTTTTTTATCTGGTATGCTCTTGATGACAAAGGGAATAAAGCCATTTTTTCGGAGAATAAGTCTTATTAAACTTTTTTTTGTGCATTTTAGGTCTAATTTGGTGGTTTAAAGTACAGTTTCTGGTCACCCTGTCGAAATAGAAGTACAGTATGTATTGTTGGGGTTTCATGCAGAGATTTGCCCAAAGGCTTACCAGGCCTAGCCTTGGTGGCTATAGTTCCCTCAGTGGAGTAGGAGGGTTCTCTCTTAGTAACAGTAGACCTTATATTGCAACAACTCATCACTGCCAAATGATAGTGCCAAATATCAACAAGTCACAGAATTCCATTATGTTGTCACTGAATGTTAACATGATGTCAGAGAATGTTAACATGATGTCAAAGAATGTTAACATGATTTCACAGACTAATCGAATGCTAATGATTCATTCCAATGAGACTAATGTTAAGAGAGAATCCAAGAAACCACTATGGGAGAAAGCAATGCAGGAACTACGTCTTGAAAAGGACCATCTGAAGTCAGTTGATGACTGGGAGGATTTTAAGAGTTCAATGGTTGACCAAGTAGATAATGAACGACAGAGAGAGCGACTAGAGAACACTTGGTATGTTAGTGTTATGAGAGCTCTAGGGAGATATGGAAAGTATCAACTTGCTCAAAGTCTCGTTAAATATGTTAGACATAAAGACTTGAATGAATCTATATTATTCATGACATCATTCATGCTCGCATGCACCAGTAGCAAAAGCCCAGATGCTGAACAGCAGGTTTTGAATATATACAACAAAATACTAGAGAAGACTGAGCACTTTGATAATAGCACTGGTGCTGATGTAGTACATGCTCTTTGTAAGACATCTCTGTGGGAGAATAGCTTCAGTATTATAGAGAAACTGGACACACATGGCCCAACACATCAAAAACTATATAGCCATGTCCTGTCTGCTGCATTATGTAACAAAAATGCCAAAAGGACCAGTGAAGTTCTTGATAATTTTACTAAATTCAACAGCCAACCATATGACTTTGTCTACACTGATGTGATACGAGGACTGGATACAGAGGACGGGAAAAGGGCCATTTATACTCTTCTAAATAAAAGTCGACAGAATAGCTGGGTGCTCTCTATGAATGCAGCCATGAAGCTGAAAGACTTTTTTGAAGGTTTGCAAGATGAGAAATGGAGTGGCAGCCTGACTACAGTCAATGTAAAGGGAGAGTGTACAAGATGCCACAAGATCATGGACCAGTTAGAGCTTGCCCCAGACTACTTTAACACACTGCACAAAGCATTTGTAGAATCATCACTCATTGAAAATGTTTTCCTAAAGACAACCCCTGAAGAAATGACAGTATTTAAGAAGTTTGTTGAGAAAAATGGTCCTTTTGACATAGTGATCGATGGATTAAACATTCTGCACCAGACAATCAAAAGCAAGCACACAAACAAAAAGTTCCTCAAAGAACAACAACAGAAAGCTTTTGATTTCTTGGAAGATGTAATTGAAAAGTTGAATGATGATGGAAGGAAAAAGGTGCTTGTGATAACCAGGAAGCATGTTAAACATTGGAACATACAGAGAGTTAGGTCTATAAACAAAATTGTGGATATGTTCTTCACGCAAGACCTATCTGAAGATGATTGTTTTATGTTGTATGCTGCATTGTACAGTGGGCCTAACTGCCGACTCTGCTCCAATGATGAACTGACTGATCACAAGTTTGTGATGCCAGAGGAGCTACGAGAGGCATTCATGTTGTGGCAGAGATCCCATCAAGTTATGGTCACAGTGGGTAAGGGTAGGGGTCAACCACTAATCAATGACCTACAGAAGTATGACATTAGAGTTACAATGGATGAACACAAGGGAAGGGTGGTCTCTATACATGTACCTTATGATGACTTGCAGGACAGGGTGTCCTATAAACGTCCCAACTCTTGGCTTTGTCTCTCTTCAATGAGCTAAAGGTCTAAAGAGTTGTAAATGAAAACATAAACTTCATTAAAATGCAATAAAAATACATGCAATAGCATGGAACAAATGAATTGTGGTTTTATGGAAACAAGGTACACATTATGATGTATGCTCTATATACTCTACCACAAACATCTCTGCCATCTTTTGACAAAGTTCATGTTGATTTCATCAATAGAATTAAGATAGAGGGTCTAGAAAACCAATGGTTTAGTACTTTGTAAAATATCATGTACATTTACAACTGGTGTATGTGTGGGTATTCACATACATAGATACTTATACAAATCAATGTTAAAATCTCCATATTTCCATTAATAACATGAAAAGATCTTGAATTAGACACAATTTTGGAAAAGCTCCCCCTTATCTCTAAATCTACATTTAATCCTATAATGGACATTTCTGACTATAATTGAAAACAAAGATGTTATGTGATACAAACATATCTTCCTATGGTATAATAGGAAGTTGTATATCTGTTGTGGTATAAAGCAATCATGCCTTCCCTCTGCAACTGGAAGTCACATTTGGACAGCCCTGTAATAGCACTAAACCTTCATGGAACAGGAATATCTGTTAGAAAACGCAACTGCCAATTGTCTCAGTTGTGATAACATTCCAAATATTTAATTCCGTCTGTTATCATTTTGTACCTTCCAATAATGCCAATAAATATATGCCAATGATTACATTCTGCAAAGAAATCAAATCAAGTAGCTCCAAAATGACTACTAGTGTTAACTCAGATAAAAGATTTGAACCAAGCCACAGTGTGATCCAGGGTGATCTAACCAGTAACTCTACCTATACTTATCCCAAACCTTGGTATACACTCAGACAAGACCCTGGTTATGCTTCAAACCACCTCATATTCAATTGATCTATACAACCCTTGCATATGGTACTGGATTTGTATACATTACTATGGAATATTACTGATCATTTCTGTTAGGTTGTGACAAACTCTGGTATCTATGACATCTCCAGTTGACTACAATCTGACACTCCAATAACATTCATTGCCCTCTCACATAAAAAAACGATCATTTGAATCATAGGTGTAGCCAGGCGACAATCGCACCCCCCCTGATTGAAAGCTAGCTACACCCCTGTGAATGCAGTTAGAAATATTGCTTGAGTTGAGACCTGGAGAATTTATTTGAAGGAATATTATACACCATTCTGATTTTAAGAAATCATGCAAGATTTTTATTTTGCTCAAAAATGCCAGTGCCCGTTAATGGTTTTACCCTAAACCTCCTGAATGATCCATACAAACATGTTTATGTTCAAAGTTGGTGTTATTCCAGCTTCAGGCACAGACGAGAGCATCTATGAAACAGTTCTCAGGAGAAATAATCAGGTTGAAGAATAGCCTTATCCGAGCCTCATCCTCATATCATATGTAAGTACATGTACCTTGATACAAGAAAATCTTGCAAATAATCATCTTATTCATCAGTAAGGAATTGGCTATTCTGTGTATATATTATACAAATATTTAATTCTATTAAATTCTATTGAAGTGAATACCTGTGCATCTTTCACAAGAAGCCTGAAAATAGAATTAAATATTTGTTTTATTATTCACTGTTATATTCCCCACTCACATTAATGGAATAACAAACTAAACTAAATTGATGTTTAATTAATCATAATCTTGAAAGCCCATGCCTGGGGCTACATAAAATTGAAATTACACGGGACTAAGTCGTGACTGAGGAATATCATTTGATATTTAACGGAAGTCACATGAGTAGTTATTTCAATACCAGAACTAAACATAATGTGCACATTTTTAAAAGTTTGGGAAACTATTGTATAGATTGATGTATAGAGTGATGTATTGTTTAAAGGTAACCATTGTCTACATGTGTTGTATTATTTAAAGTTAACCATTGTATACATGACATGATATATTAACCATTATACCACTCTAAGTCCGATTACAGTTGTATAACATGGGTCTATAACAACGATATACAGTGGAGAGTGGTATATCGTCATCGGATACAACTCCTCCGTATACACTCCAGCGTATACCACTGTAGAAGTGCATTCTGGGAACTAATGAATATTGACCGAAGAACGAGGCGTATGTTTTGTTACACATGATTTCCTAGAATCAGGTGACGTCATAAATGGTTCCCACATGATTTGCTAGAATCAAGTGACGTCATAAATGGATCGAGATCAACATCGGCATTACTGACAGTAGGAGGACACATTGAAAAAACCCATTGTTGTTTACCAAACTTTATATCAAAGTGGTGTAGCGATATATGACGTCATCGCACTTCTTGTTTCTGGTCCGTTGGCTACCATCTTTATGAGGTCCAATGAAACGGGAAACATTTAAACATTTGAAAATGAAAGTGACGGATAGAATTCTACTGATCTCTTCTTTCCAACTATCTCATTTTAATGTTAGAAAAATGCACATAAATGGGAGTAAAATGCAATCAAACACGTGAGACTTTCACTCATTTTGCACCCTATATTCGTGCGAAATTAACATTGATTAAATATAATTTTTTTAAATGTCTGAATCGCTAAAAAGTTAAAGTAAATACGATATTCTATAAGTACCAAATATCAATCAGTTCCGATAAAATGCCTTCATTTGTTACATTTTCTACGAAAACGGCTGGGCATAATTTCGGTAGAAATGTGTATTTTACGACGTTATATGCATGGTTGAATCCAAAAAGTAGCGTGATTCAGGAAATTATCATGTGTGCGTAAAATCATGTGGATATATCATTTTGAGTAACTGAATTATCAAATTGACATATATATTGTCTTTGGAACATCACCTTTACACAGAATTATTTTCATAATGATTGCTCGATTTGTTCCATGATGAAATGCAATTTTAGACCTGGAGCTGACTCGTATCAAAAAGTATTAAGCAATGAGTTCAGGCTCACTGATTTTAAAGATAGATAAAATGAACGAAAGGGAAAAGCTTATGTGTGCCCAAAAGCATGTGGATATTTAACTTTCAATAAATGAATTACAGTTTTGATGTTTATATAATCTGAAGAACATCACCTTTACACATAATTATTTTTATGATAATTTTCGGATTTCTGTCATCATAAACTGCAATTTTAGACCTGACATGTATTAAAGAAGTATCGGACAATGTATTTAGGCCAACTGATCTTTAGGATAAATAAAATGAGCAAAAGAAGAAAAGGTGTGCGTAAAAGCGTGTCAGTATTTGGATTTGAAGAAATGAATTAAAGTTTTGACATTAATATTATTTGTGAAGCATCACCTTAACATAGAATTATTTTTATAATTTTTGCTTGATTCCTTCCATGAGAAAATGCAATTATAGACCTGGTGCGCGTATCAAAGAAGTATTTGGCAATTGCTTCCAGTCTCATTGGTTTTCAAGGTAAATGAAATAAGCAAATCTGGAAAAGGTCATGTGTGCGTAAATGCGTGTTAGTATTTAATTTTGAAGAATTGAATTAATTTTTTGACATTAGTATTATTTGTGAAGCATCACCTTAACATAGAATTATTTTTATAATTTTTGCTTGATTCCTTCCATGAGAAAATGCAATTATAGACCTGGCACGCGTATCAAAGAAGTATTTGGCAATTGCGTCCAGTCTCATTGGTTTTCAAGGTAGATGAAATAAGCAAAACTGGAAAAGGTCATGTGTGCGTGAATGCGTGTCAGTATTTAATTTTGAAGAAATGAATTAAATTTTTGACATTAATATTATTTGTGAAGCATCACCTTGACATAGAATTATTTTTATAATTTTTGCTTGATTCCTTCCATGAGAAAATGCAATTATAGACCTGGCACGCGCATCAAAGAAGTATTTGGCAATTGCGTCCAGTCTCATTGGTTTTCAAGGTAAATGAAATATGCAAAACTGGAAAAGGTCATGTGTGCGTAAATGCGTGTCAGTATTTAATTTTGAAGAAATGAATTAATTTTTTGACATTAATATTATTTGTGAAGCATCACCTCTACGCAGAATTATTTTTATAATTTTTGCTTGGTTCCTTCCATGAGAAAATGCAATTATAGACCTGGTACACGTATCAAGGTTGTATTTAGAAATTGCGTTCAGTCTCCTTGGTTTTCAAGGTAAATTAAATGAGCAGAACCACTGGAAAAGGTCATGTGTGCTTAAAAGCGTGTGTGAGTATTTAATTTTTGATAAAATTTTGACATTTATTATATCTATGGGGAATCATCTTTACACAGAATTATTTTTTGATTCAAATTTAGTTCCTTCTATTGCTCGGAAAGGCATGGCTAAGATTGGTTCTTATGTACAACTGTAATGAGATTTTTATGTTTGAATCGCACAAAAAGAGATAATGTCACATGTGCATGAATGCAAGTCAATATCTTATTTTAAAAACTGAATTATGATTTTGACATTTTCATAAGCTTTAAACCATTGCCTTTCCACATATTTATTCATTTTAACATGAGAACTTTAAACACGTTCATAACTGAACGGTCAATGTGAGTTGAATTAAAATAAAAAAATATCAATTATCTGCGCATTTTCGTTATATTACGTCATACGGGATTTCGTGCTTTAAGTGGGCTGAAAGTGGAAATGGCACGTGTGCGAAAACGTTTGTTATCAATTCATCTTTCAAAACACATTTTCATTTTTTACATATCTATGATCTATGCTATATAACCTATGTACAGAATTATTTTCAAATTAATTGCTAGGTTAATTCAATAAGCAATTCTGAGGTATATTTGAACTTTAATTCCATAGCAGATGTAATTCGGACAAACGTTTTAAAATTCAAGAAGAGATTAAATTAATCAAAATAAATCTTATAATTCAAACAAGTCGACAATACTTGGTTCAGTTCTTTAATTTTCAATCATACCACGGTCATAGATTAACATAAGTGACCGTTTGAAATCATACCATTTTTTTAGAAAATGAAAGAAAATCGCGTTATAACGTGTATCGAGTAATTGTCAAGTTCACGTCTTAAGTTTGATGTGGTAAAAAGCATTCTTCATTAGTCACACATTTAAGTTAAGGGAAGCCAAGATCATTTTAAAAATGAAACATTTGAATAGATATTTTTAACATTGAAATACTTTTAGAAAGTAAGCTTATACTATATAATAGATTTGCTAGAACTAGCTGTTTGGAATTCATCAACTTTTCTCCACAGGATCATTTCGTAGTACAAATGCAGGTCATTCAAAGAAAATATAGGTTTCAACATCCCCGTCTATGAATATTGATCTTTTTCAGACAGCAAAGGTAAGTTTAAAACAGAAATACTTCTTACGAATCCAAATTACATTTTAAACTTAAAATTGTGATCTACGATCTTATGGGTATGTCACAAATTTGATTAGATACATTCACTCAGCAGGCCGTTAAACATGTAATTAACTTTACAAGCGTAACTATAGGTAACTTCGATTTTAGTATGTTCAAGTTCAAGTTCTGTTGTCTCGAGAGTCAAACGATTATCATAGTTTATTTGGCTTGCTTTTAGAATTGGGAAAACAAAGGCAATGTTTATGTTTTATGAACATTCCGATTTGATAGCAAACTTTATTTGTGAGTGTATTAAATCAAATAAAGCTTATTGCGTCGGGACCTGTACCTTCGCCCAATTAAAGGCAAATGTGCCGTCAATTAAAGAAACATGCACAGTGGTACACCGTTTTTGGAAAACATAACACCGATAATAAAAATTCATCAATTGTTATGAAATTTGCACCATCATTAAAAAGAATCTCGAGTTTCATGATGACAAAATATCCGATTCATATGTCAAGAAATAAAAATTTGTTACATTTTTTCCCAAAAAGTTGTAAAATAAAAATAAACTAAAAAAATAATATTTTCACGACAAAAAATAAATAGTTCAACTGTATTGATTATACATGACGTTTTCAAAGAGTAGAAAGCTAGATTCAAAGCACCGTTCCTGCAAGTTTCAAATGAAAATATTAAAAAACGCGCGCGTATGAGAACCGCAACTTTCTATGTCTGCACTGACAAAAACTTGAAATCCCCGCTGTAAAGATATAGTCCCATGCGGATGTGCACGTCATAAAACTGATGGGTTAAGGCAATGTGTCGTCCTACTGTGAGTTGGCTATGGGATATTTTTATGGTTTTTATAATTGTTATGATTGTGTTTGAATCAACTGTAATTAAACTTAGAGTGGCATAATAAGATTATATAATGGTTCATTCTGTATATCGTGCATTTTATACTCTCGTTAGAATATAATGTATTCACTCGTTCGCTACGCTCACTTGTGAATATATTATATACTCACTCGAGTATAAACACGATATACAGAATGAACCATTATATAACCTCATATTATGTATATGTGATGTTTTCAGCACTCAGCGTGAGCTGGAGAGAAGGCAAGTGATGATTGATGAGCTGATCACTAAAGAGAAGCAGATTGAACAAGCACATAGAAATGAGGGCCCAGAGGGAGGAAGGTATTGTTATCTAGACTTGCTGATATATGCTTCTACTCATCAATTGATATATGTGTGCTTCACATGTAGGATATTACTTATATGTAGGATATAACTTATAGTTATACTTAAAAGATATGTTTTACATTATGTGTTTTTCCTGAAATTATAATATAGCTCAATGTTTTTATTGATGAAATCTTTTTTTTACACAAGTTTTGTGGTAAACATCACTACTTCTATATTTTGAATATCAATATATTTGTTTGGCTGGATTTGCCATGCTATGCCATGCACTTGTTGATTTTCAAGTTAAATCATAAAGTTTATTTTTGTTTCAGGTCAGCATTGTTTGGTGCTGGGGCAGGACTTGGTCATGACCCCTGGGGCGTGAAAGAGGAAGATGAGACGACAAGGAACCTCTCTATTGGTGACATACGTCAGCAACAGTCTCACGCAATAAAGGGTAATAAAACAATAACAATATTCCGTTTTTTCCAAAACAACCATTTTTTCCAAAACTAACCAAAGTACACCTTGAATGCTTCTTTACTGATATGTTATCATGTCAACGCCAGAAGTGGTGACATATCATCAGTCTCCTTTCCTTTTTTGTCGAAGAAGTTTGGCGTTTGACATTTGGCATCTTATGCCTTGTTTTAAAAATAATACTGTTGAATAATGTTGACAATCTCTGAATTATACTGTATAACTTTTAATAACATGAACCTTCCAAAATGGCAGTCATGATATTTTTGATTAGAAATTGAATGCTTCTTTTCCAAATATGGTCATATTTGAATAAATGATGCTTTATAACGACACTTGAATATGACTTGCCCAATTTGTGTTTTTTTTTTGATGTTCCCCATCGTACATGTGTCACTTGTATTTTTGCCAAAAATTTCCAAGGTGACTGGGAAACTGCCATTAATGTAATTAATACTTGTTACTTTCAGAACAAGACCAGGGCCTAGAAGTGTTGTCTAGTGTTATTTCTCGTCAGAAACAGATGGCACATGACATTGGAGATGAAGTAGATTATCAAAATGGTAGGTTTATTAATGTAATAACTACAGTAAGTGAAACCTGTATATCAGAACACATATTATCTAATCTGAACATGTGAACACTTTCTGAGTCCAAAAATTATTTTCTCTCATTGACTTACTTGTTTATAAAACCTTGAAATGTGAACACCTAGTCCCAGATGCATTTGGATTAGATAAGTTTTACTGCATATGTATTTTAAAGTCGCTAATTTTGTATTATATTATCATAAGCTTAAGAGAGGAAGCATTTTATGTTAATGTAAGTGTATATATTTTAGAGCTTCTAGATGATATACACGACCATGTGGACAGGACAGACCAACGCCTCATCAAGGAAACGAGACATGTTCAACATATAGACAGAAAATCTGGAGCATGTGGTAAGTATGAATAAGGAGACATCTATTACTCCCAACCTGTTATTATCAACATAAGAGTCTTGGAGACATTTCACCACCTATTAAAGTGTAGTAAACTTAGATGTAAGATATAGGAAACTTAAATATATAAATACAAAGTATAGTAAACTTATATTATGAAATATATTAAACTTTATATTTATATAAATAGAGTAAACCTTAAATTTAAAATATAGTTAAACAAAGTTGAGGAAAGTGTTGTAAACCTGAGCAAAGTGAAATAAATAAAGTACTGGTACTGGCGACATTCTTTACCATTGCCTCTTTCCTAATTTCCCATTGGTCCCCTCAAAGGTTTTTGGGTAGGGATGTGTTTTGAATTTGGAATAGGTACATGTTTTATTAGTTTGTCTAATGGGAGGATGCATTTTTTAAGGCTGAATTAAATGCACATTGGGAAATGAAGCACGATTTTTGAGGACCTTCCATTCTCTGCTTTATTTCAGTGAACTTTATACTATAAACATTCAAAAGCCATCTGTATGAATAATGTTAGAGCATCGTGGAATTCTTGGTACTCTTCAAATAACTTACTAGTATTCTGAGTAATATTCTCATTGCACATCAAACTTGGGAGCAATTTCTTCCTTTCATGTTTGCTTATTGAAATTGCGTAGCACCAGGAGTGCTAATACAGTGATAGCAATAACTTGTAAGTCTAATCATGATAAATTGCTCATTTTGATTCAATTGAATCTTCAGTCCTGTGCCATAAATTAACATCAAGCAACCATTTTGCTCTTCAAAGCGTGATATTTATCATTTCGTGTCTTGCTGAAACATACAGCGGGTGAAACATCTACAGGAAATAGTCTGGAGTGAAATATCCAGAGGGTGAAACACCCGAGAAATGAATTTACTAAGAAATAGTGAAATGTCTAGTTCCTCAATTTAGTACTACTTTATTGGTCTTTGTCTTATTCTTCACAAATTGGATACATTTTGCACATAGGATATGTTTTAGTGCAAGTATATGATTATGATTGTATACATCTTTTGTAGTATGATCCTTTACAGATGGATTCTTACATAGAGATGTAACGCATCCTTTTGGCTAATATGGCAAGTGTGGCAGCCAATTTGAAAAATAGCTTGTGACATTAAGTGTTCCTATAATTTGAAAAACAAGGGAGCAATATGAATCTGCTTCTTGCCTTGATGTTCAGTTATGATTGATTTGCAATTTGTCTGTATTGCTGTTACTTGTTTTATGTAAATTGCTTGATTTTCCATTCCCATATATTATTAAAAGATGGCACTGTAAATGCCAAAAAGGTTTTATTCTTGTGAAATAGAGGTCAGCTATATAAGATCATCTTGTGTGTTCATTAGATGCCTTGTATTGATGCCTTGAAACTACTCAAAGTTAATATCTTTTACAAGGATCTGTATTTGTTTTAGTTAAATCCAGTCGTGAAAACATATAACCAAGTTATTTTGAGTTACTCAATTTAAGTCTTGGCTGTGTTTAGTTCCATTTACATACAGAGTGAATATTCCTCATTCCACATTGTATTCTACATGAATTGTGCATTTTTAACTTTGATATGTTTGAAAATCTGCAGTTTACGATTTTCTGTCAAAATTGTCCAGAATTAAAAAAATGTATATTTGGCCAATCGGATCTCTATTAGCAGACAGTTGAATTGCAAGACCAGATGAGCTACTGATAAGACTCTCACTTTATTGAATTGCAAGAATATCAAATCACCACAGATATTTACACTCCACACATCTAATTCAATCTCCTTTTCCCATTCCCTTTCACTGCACTCTGTTTATTGCTCACCAATTGTATGTTGTTAAAATTGGCTAGATTTAATGCAGCATATTTTGTGAGGGAGGTTCAATGAAGGGGTAAGCCGCTGCATCTAAATGAGCAGCTTCAAGTTCTCTCCTGTCTCTAAAAGACTATTAATGAACAATTTCATGAGTTTCAACACTGCTTTTATCTGATTTATTGCAATTTAATGACATTAGGGAAGAGATTTATGCTATTGCCAATGAGATCTTAGAATAATAAGCGTATCTAGTAGAAAATGATCACCTAATTTTCTAGTTCTCCATTTATCATTAAGTGATGAAGGTTTAACTCTGTCACTCTCAGTCTGTTATCTGAACTACTGACTCTCTTCATGCCCGAGTTTACTTTTGCAAGGAATAAGACACATGCAGTACCTCAGAAAATATACAATGTTATATTACATCTCTGAAATATGTGAATTTTTCGAGCAATTTTACTGCGGTACCCTATGTTAAAGGTATTTAATTCACTACATTTCAGGATACTGTGTTGTAATTGTGTCACAGTGGCTCGCTATAAAAAATCCAGGGCGCTGGGTCATCTGTCCCCTCAGTTTTATGCATAAGAAATTCGCTATTAAATGAATTATGCAATGGAACTTTTAAAAGTTTTAAGTTGAATTACTTGATCGAAAATAGAAATGAACTATGTGATGAATCTTATTTTGATTGAAAACAAACCTATTATATTGTTCATAGCTATTATAATACGAGGGTTGATCCAAAAGTTCCGAACCGTTTGCTCTAAAAATCTTAATATTTTATGAATATTGTTCATATTTGGCCACGACCACCCCATATATAGTAGTTTCATTTTGTGTAAAAATAAATAATAAATCTGACCAGCAACATAGGTGTCTGGTTACCATAGCAACATGACAACAGGGTAGATGGAGCTGGAAGAAATGAAACTTTATTCCGAATTACAGCAATTGAAGAGCTATTTCAGATCATTTTAATTCTTGGAGTTTCACTCCCATAAAATCTCATACAATATAGTTTATAAGTTCATTCGCCTTCCAAAGAGTCACCACAATGTGCTACATAGTTCTTACAGCGTTTCAACAAGTCCTGAAATACATGGTGAAGTTTAACTTTAGCTGTAGCATAAACGCGATTAGTAGATGCCTGGATAAGGTCAGCTTCTCCATCGAAATGGATACCACGCAGTGGTTTCCTGGCCTCAGGAAACATATGAAAGTCACATGGTGCCATATCAGGAGAATATGGCGGACAGGGCTTTAGTTGGGCCTGCCAGCACTTGTGTATTGCCTCTATTGTAACATTGGCTTTGTGGGCTTGGGCATTATCATGGTGAAAGTAAAAGTTCCCAAGGAGATCTGTTCGTTTTCCTCATAGCATCTTTAAGATCTTTCTTCAGCACCTTTTAAACTGAGTAAGTGTCATACCTAATTGATGGACTCAAAATAGATCAACATATCTCATAAAAGTAATCTAGTTTACAACTTTAAAATGAGTGATACGGTTTTGTAACTGACCTTTGAATAACAAGGTCCATTGGCGGTGAACCAGGATAACTGTGTCGTACTCTTGCTCCACCTACCCTGTTGTCATGTTGCTATGGTAACCAGGCACCTATGTCACTGGTCAAATTTATTGCTTATTTTTACACAAAATCGTACGACTATATATGCGGTGGTTGTGGCCAAATATGAACAATATTCATAAAGTATTAAGATTTTTAGAGCAAACGGTTCGGAACTTTTGGATCAACCCTCGTATAACTTGATCAACAACATGGATTGAATAACTGCAGTGAGATCAACTGCACTATCTGGATCATTGTCCGCAAAATACAATTGATTCATCATGGAGCCATCCTCCTAAGCAGGTGTCAAGAATCCGTACCTCCTTCTTCCCCCTACTATAACCAATTTGGAAGCGCCCGATTTAACTGAATCACGTGATCTAATTATGTGCAATGACTTGATTCTGTCGCAGTGTTGCGACAGCCAATCAGATTGCGAGTTATTAATCAGGAAATGGTAACTGCTTATCGCAAATATATTCTGGATTTTGAAGCCCTGTGATCAGAGAATGTCATGGAGCATGCACAGAACAAATATGAATGTAAAATTATTACATTTTTATCTCATATTTTTGATGAAATACTACTTCCAGTGAAACAAAATAACTTAGATTAATTTTGAAATCTCTAAATTAATGGTCCAAAAGGCATTTATTGCCTTTTTGCAACTTTATGCGCGTGTGTATAGATTATGCGGGCCAATGTAAATTATGCGGAATTATGTTGTGGGCACATAAACGCATTAAACTGAGTGGTCAAAATTGTCCAGCTCCTTAGTAAAATTTGGTGTACTGCATTGTAATTGCGCTGCTCTTCTACATTTCAGGGTATTGGGTCGTGATTGTACTGCTACTGATCACTATCGTAGTTGTCGTCGCCGTGCCTTATAATGGCAAGCCATGATGCATAACGGGTGTATCTAGTGCCTTATAAGAATTCCAAGGTAACTTATTTATTTACCGGTTAACAATGTAACTCCCTCCTTGGTTTTTGCATGGGCTTTCAGTAGATCTATTGAATGCCCATGGTTATTGGTGGCTCTCATTGGTACATATCTTAGAGGGGCTTTTCTCCCATAGTTAGTGTTGCTCTATGGATACTCTAGGATGAACATATTTCACACTTAAGGATACGAAAATGAATATTTTTACATTTTCTTCAATGCTCAGATAGCTACTAAATATGGGATAAATGTAGTGGACAGTTTTGGATCGAGAGGATGGCCCGTAGCCAGGATTTGCCAAGGGGGTTCACTTTTTGAAAAATTCCAGGGGGGGTTCACGTGTGACAATTTGGGTCCAAAATTGGGCAAAATCACTTAAAAAGTGCTCAGAATGGTGAAAAACTGCATGATTTTGAAAGATTTTTTGGCCAGAATTCATTTTCGCTCTAACCCATCGAACTCCGCCCCCCTGGTTACGGACCTGATGAGGTAAATGTCTTCCAATGGATTCAAACTGACCATCTTTATGTTACTTTTGTGAAATGTGTTAACAAAATGCATGTGTTAACTTCCTTGCTGTGAAATATGTATATCAACTTGTTTATTGCAAAGTAACTGGTTTGTATGTATTGCTTGCTTGTGGAATACATGTGTTTGCTTGCTTTTTGTGAAATGCATTTGTAAACTTGCTTATATTTGATAACTTCTTCTTCTTCTTGTATTACACACTACTTAATAATGGCTTTAGCTTTACCATTGAATGGGATAATAATGTTTTTTCCTCTGGTAATAAGTTGGCATTTACCCTTATACCTTTACTTGTTTGTACGATGTACAGTAAAACCTGTATATCCGAACACCTCCCCAATCTGAACACCTCTCAATGTGAACAGATTACCATTGTTGAAAAACCTCAGAATGTGAAAACCTGCCAATTCAACCATTTTTAGGAGGATTAGACAGGTTTTACTTGGGGGTTTACCGCACACTCATATTCTCATTTCTCACGAAGACCACTATTGTCTTAATATAGTGCCATCTGTTCCCCCATGAAACGTGTCCATTGACCAATATACTTTCAACCTTTAAACCACAAATATACTTTGGAAGTATCAATCTATATTATATTGTGACAATAAAAATAGATAACTGATGGCTATAATCACTTTTGCAAGTAGGCATACTTTATAAGGATTAGAATTCTGCCACTAATGTGCGATGTTTGTGTGTAAATAGTCATTTATAAAGCAGAAAATCACATTCGCCTGAATCAAAGTAAATCTTTGTTTAATGCTACATTAAGTAAAAGGATAAGTCTAATTGATTTGAACTAGGACATGACTTCTGTAAAAGAACTTCTTGAGTCGATGTTGATTTTTTATGTTCAATTAAAGAATGGGGTGTAAATCTGAAGTCATTATATGTAACAGTATCATTCACCTGGAAGTGATTCAGCTTAGCATTCTACAAGTATCTATTCCACACTGAATATGTGGTAGATTTATAGCAAATCAATTTCAATTTTCCATTTAATCATAATTATTATCCCACCGAACGAAGTTCGAGAGGGATATAGGAAAGCCGTCCGTCCGTCCGTCCGTCCGTTCGTCTGTCCGTCCGTCCGTCTGTTTGTCCGGGCGATAACTCAAATACCGTTTCACGGATTTGATTCAAATTTTATAGGCTTATGCCTTATGGGTGTAGGACCTCTGCTCGAGAAGGAATTTTCAATATGGCCACTGAATTCAAAATGGCCGCCATTTTTAGTAAAAAATGTAATCTTTAATAACTCAAATACTAGTTTGCAGATTTGGTTCAAATTTTATATGCTGATGCCTAGAGACACAGTAGATATGTTCGAGTAAAAATTTTCAAGATGGCGGCTAGATTTCAAAATGGCGGCCATTTTTCGTAAAAAAACTTAATCTTTGATAACTCAAATACCAGTGAACGGATTTGGTTCAAATTGTATATAATGATGCCAAGGGACACAGTAGATCTGTTCGAGTTACAATTTTCAAGATGGCCGCTGAATTTCAAAATGGCGGCCATTTTTCATAAAAAACGTAATCTCTGGTAACTCAAATACCAGTGAACGGATTTGGTTCAAATTTTATATGATGATGCCTAGGGACAAAGGAGCTTCGCTCAAGATGGGATTTTCAAGATGGCCACTGATTGTCGAAATGGCGGCCATTTTTCGTAAAAAAACGTAATCTTTGATAACTCAAATACCAGTGAACGGATTTGGCTCAAATTTTATATGATAATGCCTAGGGACACAATAGATCTGTTCAAGAAAGAATTTTCAAGATGGCGGCTTGATATTCAAAATGGCGGCCATTTTTCGTAAAAAAGGTAATCTTTGGTAACTCAAATACCAGTGAACGGATTTGGCTCAGATTTTATATGATGATGCCTAGGGACAAAGGAGATCTGTTTGATAAAGAATTTTCAAGATGGCGGCTGAATTTCAAAATGGACGTCATTTTTCGTAAAAAACGTAATTTTTGATAACTCAAATACCAGTGAACAGATTTGGCTCATTTTTTATGATGATTCCTAGGGACACAGTAGATCTGTTCGAGAAATTTTTTTCAAGATGGTGGCTGAATTTCAAAATGGTAGCCATTTTTCATAAGAAAAAACGTAATCTTTGATAAGTCAAATACCAGTGAACAGATTTGGTTCAAATTTTATATGCTGATGCCTAGAAACACAGTGGCTCTGTTCGAGAAAAAAAATTTAAGATGGCGGCTGATCTTCAGAATGGCTGCCATTTTTCATTTTCATTTTCGTAATCTTTGCTCAACTGCCGTTCGGTGGGATTTGCTACTCCGTGGAGTTGCTGTTTTTCTAGTTGAAAATAGCAATAAAAAGAGATAAATCTACTTTTGCCCATGATTGAAGGAGCCTACATTAGCAGATAAATTATTAATTATCTTATATAAGCTGTAGTGACAATAGCGATAATAATGCTAATACCATTTATCAGTTTCTGATGAAGTTAGACTTATTTTATTGATGTAAAGTTCTTTTTACATACAACAGCGCCACCTTTTGTAACATTAGTATGGCTTATAGGCTAGCCCTATTTATAATATTATTTTTAGGCTATAAGACTTTCTAAACGTAGCAAACCTTTGTAGAGGGGTGATATCCTGCATCTTGAAATTTTACCAAGCTTAGGTGTTATACTTGTGGTCTATTGTGGGTCAACAATGTTTAGGGTATTTTTTTTTTTTTTTTATTTATTGGAAACGCTTTTATTACAGCGGAACACAAATGGTTCTTCCAGACATTGGCAAAACATTTAAAAGCATATATCAGTTTACAGGCATTATATATAAGAAACTAAAACATGTTATTGGGTCTGGGGTTTATATACACATTTTAAAAGACCCTTTACACATTTATCGAACTTAAAAGCTTCTTCTTGTCCCCACAATGTAAAAATGTCCTCACCTAAGGCCCAACATGTTTTAATTTGCACACTGGCTGATAGAAGACCCGACGATAGTGCTGGATTACATTTTTCAATAACATTTTTATAAAAAGTATTTCTATCATTACCAAAGAAAGGGCAAACAAAAAGTCTATGTTGGATGGTGTCTTTTACATTTTTATCACATAACGTACATATTCCATTTCCCTGTCCCTATTTTTCGTATTCTGTTTTTAAGCCAAAACACCCTGATCTAGCTTTGAACTTTAATTTTTGCCCATAGAAGTCAAAATCTGTGGTCAGGTAGTTTTTTAAGAAGGGATGGGGATTTAGACATCGATACAGTGAGAGTGAAGATTTTTCATTCAATGCAGATTTAAAATTATTAAGCCTTTGTTGATCTGATATTTTGATAAGGGCCTGATACCAGTCAATATCATCTCTGTAGATAACATCATCCAGTCCATATTTTGTTAGGATGGATTTTATGTTTGAAAAGTAAGGGAATGCTTTGCTTTCATCATTAGCACAGAAGCCATCATACATAGAATTAAATATCTTTTTGTGTAATGACCCTTCTTTGATATTACATTTTAGATATATAAAGTAATCTATTTGCCTTTTTTCAATGACATCAACAAGAGGTCTCCAGCCTAAATCACCTAAAAGTGCTTCTCTGGCTGGGCAACACCTAATTTGGAGAATTGATCTCCCAATATTATATTGCATTGATTTCATTTTATCCGTGTTAGTTTTGTTTAATGTGAATATAGGACAGCCATGAAGAATGGCAGGGACAAACATTGAGTTGTACATTTTCTCCCCAAATTTGAGACGCATGACATTACAGTGTTTTGTCAAAGTGGAGACTATCATACCTTGAATTTGTTTATTTACTAACTGGGCTATTAACTCATAAGTGTGGGTCAAATAAATATAATTTCTACTGCATTTAACATAATTCCTATCCTTTTTTGTATTTTTGCACATTTTGCATTTTTTTACCAATCACTAGTAACTAAACCCCAAAAATCAAGTCATATACTAGTAACACTATAATCTTAATATGTCATATAAAGCCTTAACCCCATCATTACATAACCCCATAGTTCCATAACCCCATCATTGCGTTACACCCATAGTTCCATGACCCCAATATTGCATCAGCCTATAATTCCATAAGCCTATAATTCCATAAGCCAATCATTCCATAACCCCGTCATTGCATTAGCCCATAATTCCAAAACCCCATCATTACATAACCCCATAGTTCCATACCCCATTATTGCGTTACACTCATAGTTCCATGACCCCATCATTGCATTAGCCCATAATTCCATAAGCCTATAATTCCATAAGCCAATCATTCCATAACCCCATCATTACATTAGCCCATAAACCCATAATTCCATAACCCCATCATTGCATTAGCCCATAATTCCAAAACCCCATCATTACATAACCCCATAGTTCCATACCCCATTATTGCGTTACACTCATAGTTCCATGACCCCATCATTGCATCAGCCTATAATTCCATAAGCCTATAATTCCATAAGCCAATCATTCCATGACCCCATCATTGCACGAGCCCATCATTCCATAACCCCATCATTGCATTACCTTATCATTCCATAACCCCAGAGTCCCATCATTTTATTACTCCATAGCAAATGCATCTTGGTGTTGGTTTATCAATGATCATAATCACATATCATTAAATTACAGAATTGTCTTACCGGTAGTTATTTGTACATGTTAAATATTTGATTTTAAATGATATCATTTATTTATTGAAAAGCAACTTTTAATTGTTAACAATAAATAAAGTTATTGATATTATCAGTTAGTTTAAAAAATGAATTAGGGTATTTTATATGTCAGCCAGTTCAGTTTTGATAGCTCTCTGAATTAATTGCAATTTCCTCTTAATCCTTTGCAGCAATATATTGTGGCAGAGCATCATGGTTATGACCAACATTATCACTCACAAAACCAGTGTTATAGCAGCTTTACATTGTATGATTTCAGATGTACAAGGAGATATGTACCATGTTATAAGACTGATACCACATATGTGGCATAAAAGAGACTTTTTATACCAAAGTGCAATTTTAAAATCTGTGTATAGTATAAATATATTTTTTGTAAAAAGCATCACAATTGGAAAGGAATGATGAACTGTATATAATGAATATATTGAATGTAAATACAGAACAAAATAAATAATGTAAATACTATATTATTCATATAAATATGTGTTTAGTTTTAAGAAGTACAAATACAGGCTTTTATGTGGCTCTTCCAGCTCTTTTAGAGTTAATCCCAAAGTCTCAGTAATATAGAATTTCCATCAGTAATATTCAACTGGGTGAATATACATTTGAAAAACCTGAAATCATGATAAAGATCCATATATACAAATAAATAAACCAATCTTTTTTGTAACCTCTGTGAGCTGTTAAAAAATAAATCTTCAATAAGATTCTTAATTTGATCAGAAACATTTTCACATTTTTGATAATATTATTAATACTAGCATTTTAAGCTCTCTTGATCTTGTTGCCACTTAAATATAAGTGTTATAGCATATTGCCCAATCTTTCCAATGGTACATAAAACCTGTCACGTGCATTTTGTTTTGAAAATACGCTATAATTATGAACAGATCACAGTTTATTCACAAAATTGACTACTTTTTAAGTATAGTGCCAGAAACTATTAAAATGACCATAATTGGTATATGATACGTACTGGTATACAAAAAATGAACAATGGTTAAACTATTTGCTAAACAGTGCATTTTTGTGAAACAAGATAAGTGACTTTCTCACTGGCTGCTCTCACTTACTTTAGTTGTCTGTAAGAAATAGAGGATGAAAGTTATATTCTTGTCACGTAATCTTGCAATATATTACTCTTCACCAGGAAACAATCCACCGTGAGATATATGTTATTTCTTTCTAAGTGTTTTATCTCTTCTTCACACATTGAGTTTGTCTGGCAATCCAGGTTTATATTGTAATTTTATACATCACTGGAAATTTGATTGGTTATTTATGGGGAAGTGCATTCAAAGGATGATTAAAGGACTTTCAGATAAGTCATTTCTTTTTGGGATTTAATTGAGAGATGTTTTAAAGTTGTTGATGTTGACATGTTCATGCTTCCCTGTGTTATTACTTGGTTGTTCATTCAATTTTACATACTGTACTCCCACGTGGTTTTGAAAAGAGTTTATCAACTTTGAAAATTTAATTTTCTTTGAAAATGTGACTTCTAGGTCGGGGAGATTCCCCATAGACCCCATGTTGTAAAACCACAAAAAGTGAAATATCTTCTTGTATTAGGCAGATAATATTTTCTTTTACGGGACATATTTAAATTTGTATAACTATCACATACATAAGGGTAATATGAAAAGTGAACCACTAAAATTGATGCATATTCAAGTTTAAGGGAATTTTGTAATACCCTGCCATGTTATTTCCCCCGAATCAGCCACCTGGTGGCGAAAATGGTAACTATCTACTCGCATCTGAGTAATTTTGCGGCTATTATATTTCGTGAATTTTCCAAAACTCGCGAAAAGCGCAAAATATAGTAGCGCGCAAAAATTACCGGGAGTACAGTATTTTCCTTTTAGAACTCTTGGGCTGTCGGTCATATATTGCGCCATGAATCATAAAATCTTGGTCTTTATTCCTTAAAGTCCCCGTCTAAAGTTTGAAAATATTTTTTTATCGTTCATTTACTATTTGTCATGACTTAAAAAGTTATTTTAGAGATTTTTGAAAAAAATAATTTTTTGAAAAAAAAGTTGTGAGCATTTCATTTCTCAAATATTCAAATTTCCTGCCATTTTTTAATAAAAGTTTTTAATCATCAAATATTTCTTAATGCATTCCAAAAAAGATTATCCTTTTAACACCAATGCAAAGATTGAACAAAGGACACACTATTTCAATAATAAAATGCCATATTTAATGAGCCACTTCAATGTTTTAGCATATCAAAAATATTTTGAAACATTAGTGATGTCACAAAGGTACCAAAAACTTTTTGAAAAAAATTGAAATTTTTTTCTCGATGTCTATCTTTTCTCAATATGCTAAACTTCAATAATCAATCAATGTTGATTGTCTAATTAGGTTAAAAGGAAAAATATATTATGTTTTAGATATCATTGTACCATTGGTTTCTATGAGAACTAAAATTTTGAAATGCATTTTTCTCGGAACCATCTTCTTGCACTGATAAGTTCATTTCTCGCTTATTTATGAACCGATTTTCTTAATTTTTTCGGCAAAAAACATGCGAGGATGAATGCTATGCATTGGTATGAATTGTGGCTAATTAAAAGATATATGTGACCTCTAAAAGTTAGTTTTAAATAAATTCACAAATTTTGGAACAAAAAGTCTATCAAAAACCACTTTTTGAAATTAAAAAAAAAAGTTTCACATATCACACTTTGATAACATTGGGTAAGACTACAATATAAGCCAAAGTGGTTTAAACTTTACATGGGGACTTTAAATGTTGAGAGTAAATCTAATGAAAAAATGTGAACTTTTTAGAAAATATATGTACTCTTAACTCATCTCTTGTTTTTTTGCATCTTTGATAAAGACCTATTTTTAATCCCCCTTAATTTATTTTATTTATACTTGTGAGAGTGCTCCCTGAAATAAATATGTACACCCAGAAAGGAAGGCATCCTTGCTTTACTCAAGCATTTGTGGAATGGGTTGGTTCAATAGGTCACAAAACTCAGTTTTTTTAGAGTCAGCATTGTCACTTTTCCTCATCCAAAGAGACAAACTTACTAACCATACTAGTTCCTGTTATCACTGGAGATCCACTCGATTACGCTGGTTACTGAAACGGTTCGTTGGTTCATTTCGGTAACAAAATGTCGGAATGTCGAAGGTACGATTTTTCTTTTTCCTTATTTTACACGTCGTAGGTTGAATTCCCACGACATTTTTATCACAAACGTATATCAGTATCATATGTTTAAGAAAATGTACATATTTGCGAACAAATAGTTCAGAAGACAACAGAATTATCGATTTAATTCCTCACTTAAGTTACAGAAATGGTATTTCGAAAAACAGTTAAGATCTGCACTTTTAACCCATACTGTTTCTGTAACTTAAGTGAGGAATTAAATCGACGATTCTGTTGTCTTCTGAGCTATTTTTTCGCAAACATGTACATTTTCTAAAACATATGATACTGATGTTTGTGTGAAAAAATGTCGTGGGGATTCTGCCTACAACGCGTGAAATAAGGAAAAAAGAAAAATCGTACCTTTGATGTTCCAACCAGCTTAATTAATCGAGTGGATCACCAGTGTGTTATGGAGGTCACAATAGCTGGGCCAACAATGGTCCCTTCAATCTATACAGAATATGATATGAGCTAGACTAGTCTAGAAGTATGAATTGGTATCATTTCAAAAATAGACTCTAAGTAGGAAGTTGATGTGAGGTATAACATTTGGAAGATATCCACCTTAATTATAGCAATATTACACCAGTATGGGGCTCCCCAATTAGTCTTCTAGATCTATGAGAACCAAATTATCAATAAAGATGCTGACAAAATAAACACACATCTTCTAGGAGTAAACACTGTGTTATATTGCCTCTCACAAAATGTTTGGCTTAGAAAGGTGGTAAGGATTTGCTCCTATTAGAAATCTGTCTTTTTCCAAGTTGATTGCTTTTAAGGATTTAGTAGATGGAGGTCTAAATATGTTGAAAGTGAGAAAGTACAATTGTTCAGTGGCTCATGTATGTTCAGCCTCTAATCAATCTGTAGAAAGACCACCAATCAATATGCTTTTTCCAAAATTGTGATCAAAAAGCAATGGTAATTGGTGAAAAGCTTTGAGGAACTTTTGTCTTCAGCCTAGACTATGTTATTAAAAATCATGAAACTTTATGATATAATTAATGATATAATGATAGAGTTTAAATATACATGACTAAGTATCAACCACACTAAGCACAATTTGAACTCTTCAAACTCTTGTCGAAAATTGTCCAAAAAGTTCTTATTTTTAGCTTCTTTTCAAACGTCTGTCAACATCAAAAAAATTTATGATGCAGGAAAATTTGGAACGTGGAAACAAGATTTTTGATTGACAAAGTCTAGAATTTTTGAGGATACCCCAATAAAGTTTCTACATGTTCTATGTCACCACCAAAAAGTGGTGACATATTATTCTGGTCTCCATTTTTTGTGATGGCGGTTGGTGGTTGGCAGTTGGCGTCTGTAACAAATGGTGGTGACATTTTGCATGTTTATGCCTTGTTCAACCTTGCATTTGAAGGATGTAATGATAACATTTTGGAACCTTACCTTTGGAGGAAACTTTCATTTGGAGGCTGTCCTGGTAAACTCAGTTGGAGAGCATATGGTGTGATTGTCAATGAGCAAACGCATATTGTTGTTTTACATATAGTTTATTTTGTACAGTAAAAGACTATCCATAGTAATAAATTATACATATGTAATAACATGTGACATACATTTCTCTACAGATTAAAACATGAAAACATCTGCACACATATGTCATGGTGGCTTGAGTATTCGGTGAAGACTGGACGTCTTCTGAACACACATTACAATTATTTCAGAGAATCTATTAAATCATGAAGATTAAAACTATTAACAGATCAATAAGTTATATGCTAACATAACATAACTCTGATGTTGCCATGACAGCATAACATTACTCTGATATTGCCATGGCAACATAACATAACTCTAATATTCATGACATTACTTGGACAGATATTATCATAACCTTATGTCTTGAAGACTTCACATTACTTTCTACAATACATGTATTTTAATTATTTCACATTTTGGAAAATGTGATTTTAGAATGATTGTGTTTTCTTCATTATGAGGGATGACAAATAGTATAACCCACCTATAATATTATAATGTTTATGGCAAATATCTCCATGTGGCGTATGGCCTGACCTTGCGAGGACAATACTGGCTTGATGAAAGAGTGCAGATTTGGCACAAAATTATGTTTACCAGCAATATGATGTCATGAGAATCATAAAATCAAAAAATTCACAAGTGAGTGGGCACTGACTTTTCATATTTAGGATTACACTAGGTCTGTAGGTATCATTCATTGAAAATGGTCATGTTCAGTTTTAGGCATTCATTTCTATTATAGGCTTGGTGTTATTCTTTATTGTTTCAGATCTATAGCATTTGCCATCCCCTTTAATAAAACACAAGCCATCTTTTGTTATTTAGATACATTTTAGTTTAAGTTTTATTTTATTTACAAATAGTTGAAACAAATCCATAAGTTAGTGAAATATACTGTATAAGAAGTAATTTTACTTAAGAAGAAATTTTACTTATAATTTCCAAATGGTATCAGGAGGTTAAATAACATTTTGGCAAGATTAGTGTTCTTGTGTTAAATAAAAGGCTAATTCAATGATTTAGATAAGATTTATTCTTGCGAACTTGAATCTTGCTCAAAAGCAGGAAAATTTCCATTTTGGCAAAATTACCATTTATACAGTTTATGTTTTACTTGCTTACTGTTGTGATCCAGAATATCTGGACATACAAGCAAGTATAGTGTCATCATATACAGCTGCTTTAATAAGCATTATGTATTTTAAATGATTCTTTTTTTGTAAAAAATCAAAATCGGGATCTTTTATTTAATCTCTGTAAAACCAATGCTATTTATTTACATTTTATGTGACCTTATGACATATTTTTTTATTAAAATATGATAGTTATGTTTGGATATTAAATCCATGTGGATGTTACATGTACAATCAACATGGAATATATAAGGAACTACATGTATACTTCATTAATTAACATGTTAGTTAAAGTGACATGTACACCATTGAATCTAGGAATGAACCTATTTTTACATTAACTTCATTTTGCTGCATACAATGTTGAAATTACTTATACTCATGCCTTAATTTGAAACCTGGTCACAAAATCCTATTGAATTTAGGCTTATTGTCTTCCCTTTTTAGCATTTTGTAAAAATGTCAGATTGTTTCCTACTCAGATCATGCCTAGTATTGGATTATCCCTGTAGTATATTTTATGTATTACATGTGTAATACATGACCACTCTGCCAGTGTTTCTACATGATTTTGACATTTATATATTATATTTACATGTATATCATTTTAAGACAATAACATCCAATGTTGATGTCCCACTTTAATTTTGACATTTATTTATACAGAAGATACTGCCGGTGATTTTGTTGCCATGGCAACTATGGTTGCTATACCAGTTTTCTGTTACCATATCTCATTGCATTTTTATGTTCCAGAGAAATCTACCTCAATGACCAGGCCAATAAGTTGATTAATAGCATTAACTTTTACTCCATCCTAATTTTATCCTATTGGCTCCCATATTTCAAAACCTTGATTGAATTGAAGTTGAAGAAAGGGTTTGAAAATGACCATCCATGTTAATTGGAAGGGGTATTTTGTGTTTTTCTGATATTTTTTCACTGTTTTTTCTGATTAATAAATTATTTTGAAAAACTGATGCATGTTAATCATGAATACTTTTAATCCTTTCATTAAGATTTAGAAACTAGATTAAATTCAAGTTATATTTAGCATGTACCATCTATAAAGTAAATATAAATGCTTCATAGTTTATCATTGAGTATATACAATTATGAATAATCAGTAATTTTAATAAATGTAAATAAATCAAACATTTGATTGAAGAGTTTGATAATCAAATTCAGAACATCTAGCAATATTAGATAGAAGCAGATTTCATATTAGATTTTATGTCACCACCATGAGGTAGTGGCATATCATCATAGCCAGTGTTTTTGTGTCTGTAACAATTGTAATTGTATCAAGGTGGTGACATTTTGTCATGGTAACACCTTGTTATTTATTATGTTCTGTTGTAATTGAGTTAAATGCAAAATAAATAGTGTGATGTCTATTAAATGTTTCTAATTAATATAAAAACATGTTGCATTTTCTATGCACGAGTATTTGAAGAAACCTGCAGTTTCTATCATATGTGAGTATTTAAAGCAGCTTTTGTGCAAATTGTTGCATTGCACCCTTACATTTTGGTTGCAACAATTGTATTGTTAAATGTTTTTGAAAAATATGATAATAGGCAAACTTCTGAAACTGAGATTCTACCAAGAGATTCATTAAACCTGTCGTCGTGGGATACAAGATGAAAATCATGGTTCATTTTCATTAAATCCTTGAAACATTTCATGGACATTTTTAAACATATATGCATCGATTCTTTAACCAATATTGGTATAACTAAGATGTAAATTTTATTGTTTTTATCAACTTGAGTGAACAATTTGAGGAGACAAAGAGATAAGAAAAATTGTTAGAATATAAAAATTAAAAAATTATTTGAGGAGATGGCCCCAACATTCATTAAATATTCTTAGTAAGTTGACATTCAATTTTCCAATTGGTCATTTTTATCACCTTTTTAATTTAACATCTTTTGCTGATCTTGCACTTTTCTACATGCGCTTCTTTTCTTTAATAAACCATTCACCCATGAAGGCATATGTTTAAGATCAATGAAAAACTGTCAAATCATAACCATACAAATACCTCAGGCAAGTGCAAAGGTGAAATACATGTACAGCTTCATAAATATGGCAGATCAATTGGACCATGTATAAAATGAACCAATATATGTGAACTGCATGTTGCAACCACTGCAGGGCAGAATACTAGCATTCAAAACTACTAGTTAATGCCATTGTGATTGTATGTTCAACTCCATGATCTCCATTTTACCATTAAGAAGTAACCATTTCGTACTTCCAATAATAAATGATTAAAATGAATCTGTAGATTATTTATATTCCAATGTTCATCTTGAAAGAAGGTATAGGCACATCTGTATCTTCTTTGATTGGCTGCTACCTTATTTCAAGATGATTGGAGCATCTGCCATGTCGCTCTGTACACTTTGAGATTCTGTATCCATCTGCGCCAGACTCCAAATAACACAGTGAGAAACCAGCTAGGTTAGAACTTCGATAAATATCTCTATACTTACAATAACCTTATACAAAACATACATCTTCAGTTTCTCATCATGTTATATGGTGTCTGCGTGCTAGAACACAACATTATTATACAATTTTTTTCAGTGCTTATCACAGTTTTCTACAGATAATATTCATCAGTCAATAACACCATATTAGTTGGTCATGGCAGAGTATGAATTTTAAAATGTTTCTCAGTTGCATTTTCCCTTTCTTTCATATTTCTGGTACTTTTTTAACCTTCTTGCCCAGTCATCTTTCCATTGAATTACTATGCTTCTGCGGTCCAAGGTCAAGCCACTCCTCCTTTGCTCCGTATTATCTTGTGATAAAATCAAATATCGTCGTCCAAGACGAATCTTGGGACATTTGCATGCTAAGTCATGTTGTGGTACCCATAATGCAAGCTCTCCACGCTTAATACGTTGTTGTCCACGTTTGTATGATTTGTAGACACTGATTATGTTAACTGTGAATTTTGCCCAATCATCTACCATTTCACGATGAATAACATGTGCTTGGAAAGCTAAAACATAGCAAGTATTGGACCTTTCAATCATAAGGAAATATCATTGCAATGTGAAAATAGAACAGTAAGGAATAGAGAATTAAAGGATATAGGCGAGTGTTTCATAGTTAAGATGTACAGTTTTGTGAAAGCATAAATCATAAGTTTTAATTTTCTTTTAAATTATTGGTGGTGTTTGTCCTAGTGATATTTGTTTCATAAAGGTCAAAGCATTGGATTTTGATCTAGTCATTATTATTTTAATTCAATCAACCAACTTTGCGATGGGAATATCAATTAGATATAAAATAGTGTTTGTCCTGCCGACATTTGACATTTGTTTTTATAAAGGTCAGAATTTTTAATCTATATAGTATGCTCATTGATCTTGATTAAATTTAGTCATTATTATTTTAATTCAATTAACCAACTATTTGCAATGAACCTTCTCAAGTTTGTATTTTCCAAGGATGACAGAAGGATCAGTTTTATACATTGTATGATATTTGCCATTATATTGATGGTTGTGTTGCATATATTAGGGAGACATACCAACCCCAGACAGGACAATTATCAAAGTCGCTATATTGATGAGGACTATGATGAGGGAATAAAGAAACGGTTCCCAGGGATGTTGATAATTGGTGTTCAAAAGTGTGGCACACAGGCACTGGCTATGTTTTTACAATTGCATCCTAAGCTGAAGCGAGCAGGAAATGGGGAAATTCATTTCTTTGATAGACCAGAAAAATTTAACAAAGGATTGGATTTCTATAAAAGCCTCATGCCTGAAACTGATTATACAGAAATCGCATTTGAAAAGACACCTGCTTATTTTGATATGGCAGATCCAAGGGAGATTCACAAGATGAACAAAAATGTTAAAATAGTTATAATTTTTTGTGATCCTGTCAAGCGTTCTGTCTCTGCCTTTGATCACAGGAGAGACCATGGAGTATTTCCAGAAAATAGTTCTTTTATAGATCTTGCATTGGATGGTGACAAAGTGAACACTTCTTGTGATATCATATACAGAGGAATCTACATTGAAGCATTACAAAAATACCACAACTATTTCAATGAAGACCAGTTTCTCTACATTGACCAGGAATCATTCAAAACTGACCCTGTGAAAATTTTGAGGAATGTAGAACAGTTTCTTAACATAACACCATTCTTCAAAAACAGTCAGTTCTATTTTAATGAAACTGTTGGACAATTTTGTATTGAACCAACATATATCTATACATCCCCGAGATTGGATCAGCAGTCAGGTTGCATGTTTAGTAACAAATATCGGAAACACCTTCCCTTGGAACCGCATGTGGAGAAGAAATTAATTGACTTTTATAACCCACTTAATAAGAAATTATATCAATTCACTGGGATAAAATACTCATGGATGTAGCTTCTAGATTAAGTAAATCCTGTTCTGTCTTGGAAATGGAAAAAGTAATTTAAGATGATTGAATATAATTAATTAAATGTTTCATGAATTACGGTTGATTTGGACATCAACTTTATTTGCATCGAGAGTATAACCTGTGCGCATTACTGAAACAACAACATGACTTAGGACGCGAATATACAAAGATTCTTTTGGGCAACATAGTTAATTTAATTTTATACAAATAAAAAACACATAGATATGCATCAAGCCTATAATATTAAGATAAGATTAAAACAAATCAGTACATTTATCAATTGAAATACAAACAGTTCTAAATGATTGATGTTTTTTTTAAATGGCATGCACTATAATTATCATATCAAAAACTTTAAAAATGATAAAATTCTCATGCATAATTGTAAAAAGTAAAGTCTCGTTGATAATGAGAAATCTTAGGTTGTTCATGCAGAGAACACATTAATGAATGAACTGGGAGGGACAATTATATTTTTATACAGTTAAGAATAAAGTTTATTACAGTGGTTCCATTACATGCAAACTGAAATGTATATTATTTTTAAAGAAAAACAATCTCAGGTAACCATTATAGTTGTACTCCAAATGTAAAGAAACACAAAGAGAATGTATTCATGCATTGCCATGCTGTTGTTGTTTATTTTGTCTATTTTTGTTTATTTTTGTTATGTTTTTTATCATGGGTGGGTTAGGGACTTAGCATCTGATTATTCTCACTCTGTCAAATGGACCAAATCAGTATTATTCATATCTGAGTTTATAAAGTTCAAGAAAGGAATGGATAGATAGATAGAAACAGAAAGGGGGAGAGAAGGAGAGAGACAAAGGGAGAGTAAAAGATGAAATAGTGAATAGATGATGTATCAAGAATAATTCATTATCAGTCTAATATACATACAGTCTAATACGTATACAGTCTAATATGTATACCGTCTTATATGTATACAGTCTTCTATGCATCAATTAGTAAAAAATCTGATGATTTGTTAGTGTTGTAAGTACAAATTCATTTACTTTAAGACTAAAACTACATTCTAACAATACATTGAACTATAGAACATATTCAAGTTGATCCGCACATCCTGTAGTGTACTTACCATAGTCTCTTCTACAGTATTTCTTCTTGTTCACTCGTCTGCTGTTTGATTTACAGTTTCCACATTTTTCAGGGGGGTCTGAAGAATAGGAATATTATAAATAGTACCTTGCAATTATGAAAATTCTGTTTTATTATTTGAAAGATGGCATTATTAAGGAAATGCAAATATATAATATTTACTATATGGGCAGGACTGAAAGTAATTAGGTTCATCAGATGTTACAATTGTGTTTCTACAAAATTCAATTAAACCAATGAATTAACAAATAAACTCAATCTTTGCTGAGGGTCAAAAGGTCTTCAAATTATTGATTCTATTTTGAATACTATTTCAAATTAATTCTTCAAATTTCAACCAATTTTGTTTTTATGCGAAGGGGAAATCCCTGAGTTTTATAATAGAGCCTGCTGATTGTAAAGGATCTCTCATAAGGCCGTTTGAATTATGTACAAATATTTGAATGTTACTGTGTTACTTAGTACCACGCTTTACTTTATTAATAAGACCAAACTGCATCTGAAAAATACTTCTTGATTGTTCAGTAGCTGGCAACATGTATCATTCAAGTGTCTATGCACTGAAATTTCAATATTTTGGGTCTTTATATTTAATAAGATCTATTTTGAGAACATAATTCCTAAGGTCTCATATTGTACAGTAAGGTATGTGTCGCAATCTTTAAGATCATAACCTTTTTTAAAGAATCAATTTTGAAAGCCCAAGTAAGCAATATATTTGCTCTGTTGTCTACATTTGTTGTATCAATCACTTCTTGATAAATATCAATACGTTTGAAACATATTTTGTATCATAATATAAGTTTCAATGATAGTATGCTTGAAGCCATGTTACTATTTGCCTTAGCGGTGTTTTGTTGAAAAGCTTTTTGAAATATCTCAATATTGGTGACACATAAATTGAAATAACTTTCACACTGCTTTTGTGGCTCCCCTCTTATCTTGTTTTTATTCTCTAGGTAAACAGTAGAAAAACAAGTTAACTGTTATATTTTTTGAATAGATGGTTAACATTTTACATTCCTTTGCGTAGGGGAACAACAAGTGCGGTATGAATCAAGAACCAAAGAGTGAGAGGGAATTTGATGTGTAAATATCATCAGTTCAATGACTACAAATGCAGCTAAAATGATAGGGCATACAAAATGTAAATCCACCGTCTATTTCACTTGTTCAGTTAAAATTGTTCACCATTCTAGGTTTCCATGTCAGATGTGCAACAACAAAACGGTTCTTTCATTCAATATTGGTAACTTTCAAACATAATACATCATTCAAACATACAGTAACTTTAAAATGCCCTTATATGGATCGGTTTGAGGTAATGATACTACAATTAATGATAGTACAATTAGTTTATAATAGACTAGATGTGAGTAGATATAATCTTGATTTACGTCATAAAGTATTCAAAATTTAGTCAAAGTGATATCATATTTGAAATCTACATGTAAAAGTACGTCTAGAAATATGGTTTTGAAAATTGTTTATCAACTTTGAAAATTTAATTTTTTTTGAAAATGTGACTTCTAGTTCGGGTTGATTCCCCATAGACCCATCACAAAAAGTGGAATATCTTTTCTTGTATTGGACAGATAACATTTTCTTTTACTGGACATATTTTAATTTACATAACAATTAGATACATAAGGGTTATATGAAAATTGAACCACTAAAACAGATGTAATTTAAGTTAAAGGGAACTTTCTACTATACCCGCCATGCTATCTGACCCGAACGAAGTTCAAAAGTTAGACAGAAAGAGTTAGATAGTTGTGTATTTTGTACCTGTAGATGGTCCTGTCTTGGTTGGCACTTCTAAAAAACAAAACAGAAGTATTTTTATATATTACAGTTGAAAGAGCATACTGACATACACATATACATGTAAAATGCAGGATACAAATACACCTTCACAAACTAAAGAATGGGGCCAGGCTCATAGAACAATTTATACCTTACAATTTTTTAGAAATAGAATTCCTTTGTCGCTTATGTGCAAACTTATGTTACAACTTTTGCATAAGATAAAAAATCACATCTCACATGACTACAGAATAAAACCCGGTAAGTTAAAAATGGGACTTTGATTTGTAAATATGTAATGAATATATATTATTGACTCTGTATTAGACCAGTGGCTGCTGTTTACTCTCATGGAACTGCTTATGTTTTCCATTCGTATGTTATCCAGGGTAAAATTGTAAAAGCCATTATTTTTATGACCAGCGTTCGTTGTTGAGCATTAGCCTCTGTAACACTCTGTTACACTTTCCCACCTGTAACAAGGGGGTAAGATATCACCATGGAAATACCTTGTATGTCTTTAATATTGTTTCCATTTGGTTTCAGCTAATATCTATGGAAGTTTTAGTTATTGGTATCAAAAATATATAGAATGGTTTTGCTCTTTGTCATGTCTGTCAGTAGGTCAGCAGGTCAGCAGGTCATAGTGAGAAGATGTGAAGTCATGGCAACTGTCTTCTCATTTAATCCAGTGCAAACACATATGAAATTGATGTATCTCGATCATTATCATAATGTAAAATAAAGTTTTATTGGTTTAAGAAATTGCTACAATATCTGCGGTCCTCATCTAGATCTAACTTGTTTGTCTATTTACTTAATTGAAATTGAGCTCCGTTTGCAGGGCATGTGAATTCTACTACTTTTTGGCATTAAGCAATTGTTTATTAAACCAGAGTAACAAAGGCCAAGATAACATGTTGGCCACCTACATATATGCACTTCTAGTCTCAATCACAGTTAGTCAATATATGCATGAATTGTAATTATTTCACCAAAAGACACTTGGGTTTTAGCCTTTTAGGTGCCCTCTGCCTTTACTTGTAAAGGAATAAACATAGACATGAATGGCCTCCATTTTGATATCTTCTATGGTGTGGTATATATTTATTTTAATACAGATGTTTATCATTTATTATTAACTATTCTAGGTCATTTCTTGACAAAAATGGAAAAGTTGAAAATGTATAAATGTATCTACCTTACACATTGTATGAAAAAGCTGTGATTTAAATAATTGCTGAATTAAGGTGTCTCATAACTGTTCTTTACAAGGCATAGCAGTGTGATAAGTGACTTAATAATGAAGATTTAGCATTGTAGAATATGCACCTTAATGATAGAATATTATTATCTCTTTTTGCAAGATTTATTGACCATTTGGATTAGTTATTTATTCCTGGTTCATGTCTTGCTTTCAAATGGCATTAATTATAATTAACCAAATGTGATCTGAATAAAAACTTGATTCTCAAAGTATAACATGATAAATTTGGATTAAGCTTTATACATAAATATTTAGAACTAACAATATTATTATTGAATAAACTCATTCTAATACTGCAGTTTTTCATTCACTTTTGACATCAGATACTGGGTTATTTAAGACCATACACTGAACTAATTGAGATCACATAGTGAATATTAGATCATTTGAACTATCTAAGATCAGATACTGAGTTATTTAAGACCATATACTGAACTATTTGAGATCACATAGTTAATATTAGATCATTTGAACTATCTGAGATCAGATACTGAGTTATTTAAGACCATACACTGAACTAATTGAGATCACATAGTGAATATTAGATCATTTGAACTATCTAAGATCAGATACTGAGTTATTTGAGACCATATACTGAACTATTTGAGATCACATAGTGAATATTAGATCATTTGAACTATATGAGATCATATATTGAACTAATTTGAATGGTTATATTGCAGTATCCAACTTTTACTATGTCTTTGTCTCTGTTCATCCTTGCCTCTATGTACTTGTCACTATTTGTCCTTGTCACTATATGTCCTTGTCACTATTTGTCCTTTTCTCTATATGTATCTTGACTCTGTACATCCTTGTCTCTATGTCCTTGTCACTATACATCCTTGTCACTATATGTCCTTGTCACTATTTGTCCTTGTCTCTATATGTATCCTGACTCTGTATATCCTTGTCTCTAGTCCTTGTCTCTATATGTTCATTGGGTGCTGTATAAAGTGATCAGAACCCTTCATGTTTCCCCTCATGTTTTCTCATTAACACTTTTGAGATACCAAATTGTATATTGTCGTTTGAGAAGGTGAAATGGCTATACAGTTTAAAGTGGCTCAACCCCTCATTCTGATCTTAATATACCCTAATATTAAAAAAGCATAACAATTTGCACCATTGATAGGCTTTGATACAAACTTACTTCTCTTAGAATATTGAAACTTGAAAATATGGCCCACTTTGTAAATGAACTGCTAACTTTTAAAAATTGTCTTCTGCTGTGTATAAGTACTATTTTCATTGAACATTGCTAATGCTAGGGTGTTCTATAGAGGTTGGGCCACTTAAAGAATACTGGAATGACATTCCTACAATTCAACTTAGAAATTTAGAATAAATTAAAACAAGAATAACTCGAACGACCTGTTAACCAACCAAATTGTAATGTTGGCTGACAGGTAGTTTTAGTTGTAGCAATGGGGTTACACCAAGGTCTCCAAAAGTGTCATTGTCTCAACTTTGGGAACCTTGAGACTATGTGTAACCCCCTTCAAAATGAAATAAGATAGAATAAAGAATTAACTAACTTGCTACAATAAATACATTGCCATGTATAGGAGTTGAACTGCCTTTATCCCCTGCAAGATGATTACTCACAATTATCAAGTTAAGAATCATTATTGTTAATTTGACCTTGACCTTTATTCAAGATAAGGTCAATCTATGCATTTCAACTCATGCATTTCCCCATTTTAAGTTTAACCTGGTACCAGATTTGGTGAAATACTCCTGTTTCATCAAATAAAAAAGAATTTTGAAATAAATGTAACTGTGAAGTTTAAAAAAGATGTGTACAAAAACAATCAACTTAAAAGTGGGAAACCTGTTATAACATTCGTTCCGCATGCACTACAACTTCATGCAAATAATTAGATAACCTATTAATAGTAGTACTAATTTCAGAATAAATCATCTCTCATTCTTGGTCTGGTTTAATAATTATTGAAATGACTTAGATTACTTGTTGATGTTGATTTGATTTCAACATGTCATTGAAATTGAGAGAATGCTGAGTTTCTTCTGAGAGACCAGACTGACAGACTGTGAGAGGAGGGAGAATAAAACCGCCACTTTAACACAGGGTCAGATATAGTCTTACAACAACCAGCAAATGTAATAGCTCACACAATAAAATTAATTGAAATGGGCATGCCATTGTAGAATTGGAAATCTTCATGTGGTGTCTCAATAATCAAGCAGCTTGGGTGGGAAAAGATAGCATGGCGATTAGGTGCAAAGGAACTAATTGAAAACTGTGCAGGTGGGGGATATGCGGCAAAAATATCAGCATTTTGGTTTATAATTATTTGGTAGATATAGATAAGTAAACAATAAATATTTCAGAGTAAAACTAATAAGATATGTTTGAGATTTTAGATTTTGTAATTATAAATATCATTTACTAATATCCTTACATCTATGTAATTATCTAACATTAATGAGAGTAATTAATTAGATTTATTTATTAGATTTATTTACTTGAGTCTAAATATATACATTTCCAATGTGTTAGTTGGTTAAAGCAGCATGTCCTGTTACATACATGCACGTATTGACAAGATGCAGATTTAGATATGGCACAACTATAGATAAGCTCCTTAAATCAATAGCCAATGATTTATAAATTACTCATCATTCAAGATGCATTTAGAGATTTGAACCAGATCTCTCTCATTTACTAGATTTTGTATTACATAACTGTTAGGTGTGAGTAAGTAGTTGTAATTCCTCTGCTAAGTGAGACAGCCAATTGCCCAATTTCTAAATTAAATTCTTGTTGATTTAAGGCTGTTTGGTGATTTATTCTGCCTTGCAGAAATAGTTGCTGCCCATCAGGGGGAAGGGGAATCTTTTACATATTTATTGTATTTGGCTGTATTACCCCATCATGAAACCATAGCTGTGTAACATGGATGATAAAATCAGATTTAATCGTAATCTTACAAGACCACTCACAATCAATGGTAACCTTCCTAATAGACCAGGCTGGCAACTCAAATAAACAAATTGAAAAACAAATGGAAAATTTCCTAATATATATGAGACTGTATTCCCCAAGATGTTTTTTTCGTTACTTGACTAATTTAATGAAAATTAGTGCCTTCATTGCTTCTTGTATTAACATTGAAAATATTTATGAAAGACACATTTTGGACTTCCAAGTTCAAGAATGTTGAGGACCTGAACCAAAATATATGTCAATACATCAATTTGGGTCAATATAAGCAATGTGGGTCAAATTATAGGTCATCGGAAAAAATGGGTCAACTTTCCACTATAATATTCCTTACTTAGTTCATATTAATGTTTTTTGTTGCAAGTTGCTTTATATTTTTACTGGAAAGTTGACCCCATGAAGACTGCTTATACACAGGAGATAAGATGGAGCAGGGGTATAAAGCTATTGTTCACACTGGAAATGTCTCAACTGTTAATTCTTTCGATTTAGATAATAATAGAGATGATGTAGATTGTATAGTATATTACATTAAGTGTTGCTGGTGAAATTGCAGTGCACCAATGCAACAGACCATGCAGTTCAATGATTATAAACTTTTTAGACTATTCAACCAAATATTTCCTAAATTTTCAAAATCTGTTTAATTGATTAACCAGCTGAGACATTGTAAGCAAGTTCATAGCAAAGTACAGTCATGGCAATGTATAGAGTATAGCACATCATATTTTACATCAGCACCCAACCTAAAAACCGGTTTCAAGGATGCAGCCAAATGTAAATAAATGATGGTAAAGAGAAACTAAAGAGGCCTTTAGTTTCTTATGTTGAGATGATGATAAGGTTAGCTTGTTTGATATGTCAGTGTTAAACTGGCTGGTTTCATCTCCCTGTAGACATGCAGTTAAATAGAGGGCACCACTTACTGACACATGGAGCTATGGGTGACCGACTTTGTGAATATCCCTTTGCACATCTGTTGCATGTAAGCCCTGTAACTCCATCCTTGCAGAGACACTGTCCAGTGGTTTGGTTGCATGCCAGTTTCCCTAATGCCCCAACTGGATGACATTCACATGCTGCAAACAAACAAGTACATTCACTATTTGCTTTACAAAATGAAACTTTCCCTGGAGAAAATGAGTAAACATGAAGATTCCTGAAATCGTTCAAGGATTTTCAGTTTATTTTGGAGCAGACCGATTTCTCAGATGATTATTTACTGCTTTGATATTGAGATGGCAGAGATAAATTGTATTTCTTGAATTGAAATAATTCATTGATCTATCTCATATAAAAGTGATACATTTCAATATGTTCTATTCTATGGAATTGTGTCTTTCATCTATCATAGCCATTCAGTAGTTTATTATTGGTAATGTCTTTGAGGCATGATTCTGCATACACATCCCGGCTTAACCACCCTTAATAGCCTCATTTTGGGATTTCACATGCAGATGTTTTGGACATAAAATCATAGAAGAGTAGCGAAATAACGGAAGTTGTTCTTACTTTATTGGATCTTTAACCATTTATGATGATATGTTCACCTATTTGCAAAAGATTATTATTACAGAGCTAAAATTGACATATAATCATTTTACATATTTCATAAGAAGGATTATATATTGTATCCACGATACTGATTTGTATTTTTATCTTCAATCCAAAGACAATTTTATTTCAGATTTTTAAAAATGTTAAGTAAATGTAGTAATCAATGACTTTATCAAAATAAAAGTATAATTTAAGATTTAGAGCAACTCTTTTAAAAGTGCTTCAATTTCAAAATTCAACTACCAAAGTACCATGGCCACTCCATGTTCTGCTTAAGTCTCACCTAAAAATCAAACCATGTGGGAAATATGTTCATTTTATATATTTCAACTATTCCATAAGATATCATCACTGTTTTGAGAGTAAATGAATTTTTTAAAATTTTTATTTAATTTTTTTCACTTTGATGGATTAATTACAAATTGTCGTCTCATGTTTGGCAAATTCTAACTTTAAGTCATTATCATTAGAAAACTTCTTGTACATATTAAAGGCTACATGTGTGTCCAATCTAATAAATAACTTTTATGTGTATTCCAATTGTGTCAAACAACTCACACACAAGACTTATGAATCATTTGAAGAAGTCATTTTATTTTTACAAATTAGTGACATTTAAGGCAAAAAGCATGCATGCCCTCTCTGTGTTTGCTTTAGATGGACCATACCTATGTATGTTTACACCCCCTGCCAAAATAGACAAATACTTTTATTCCCCTTCTTCATAAACATTTTTGATTTTTAAACACAATATTTATTGATTGTGTATAATGAATGAGAGAGATATTTTTATGCGGGTTTTTTGCTCAGACTGATATTCAAAGTAAATTCGGACAGTATAATTATGGCGCCATGCTAGAATTGGGAGAATTTTCCTCTTTTGTTTAGTCATGTTCTCAGAATGCAGGTACATGCGTTTGGTGTGAACAAGTCTTACTCTTGATGAGTTCTTCAATAGGAACTTAGGCCAATCAAAGATTCCGCATTTAACAGAGCTTGTCAGCCATATTGAAATTGTGAATTCTTGGGTGTCCCAGTACCTTTGGGGTCCACTTGAATGTTCATTCAGCTTCAGAAAAACCTCTTAATATCCTGTTGGAATTAACAAAATAGACTTTTCAGCATAAGCAAATTCAAAAACAACATATTCACATTGAAAGGGCATTTCAAATAAGACCATAAGGCAACATCTCCATTATTTAGAAGTACTTCTCTAATACTAAAAAAGCTTCAAAAACAAAATTTCATGTGTAATTTTAATTTTTTGTGAACGGGTATTGTTAATGCATGTTCAAACTGAAAACTAAAGCCCACATTCCCAGTGTATTAGTTGTGAACTTGTGTATTTGCTCCCGTCATTATAGAGATTTACTCTACCAACACTACCATATCCTCGCTTGTTAGTTGGGTGGGTTAGTTCCAAAAATACAAGTTAATATTGAACTTAAATACATTTCTGTTTCAGTGAAAATAATCACCGTATTTTCTAGTTAAATATCTATAGGTGCAACATAATTGATTATTCTGCAGATCTGACTATTTAATGGCAGGTGATATAACTCAGTTGTTTCTGAAAGTAACAAATCTCCCCATTCTTCTCAGCACTTTCAAATGAATAAACATTGAGACGTAACATCTCTGTCGGAAGGTGAGATATTGTGCAGTAGTGTTAAGAACCTGATAAACTCTTTATCTAAATAAAGAAATTCTCCGTCTGATTTCTATAGTTAATGTTTCTCGAAACAATAAAACACATCAATATTTGCATGCACCATTTCAGTCCATTGAACAGTTTGAATGAAGATTTACCGAAAATCAATGAACATTAGAGTCTAATGTGTTAGGATGACCATAAATTATTGACTTTATTAGGCTTGGTGGAAATGGGAGGTGATTTTTATAGGTTTAAATAGCTAAGGTTGTCTGTTCACTAATGGTTTATCATCCTCGATGTGCAAATTTGCATTAAGATTGATATTTTTAATTGAAAAATAAAATGCTACTGTAAAAGTCTTTTATATTCCTTGAACCCAAATTCCAGCTAGTAAGATGTTTTAATATCCTTGAATTTGTAACCATTGAAATAGTTATAATCTAAGTGTTAACTCGGCAAACCAAAGTTCAAAGACATTTTTAGCAACATATACCACACACTAGATACATTGTCTGAAGCTTAATACAAAGTCTGACATTGAAGAAGTTTATGAAAAGGTTCGGCTCTCAGCATCATATCATATCGTTCCCAGTTTACTCATTTCCGTGGATTTAACAAAATACCCCACTTGAGGTACAAAGGAGTAAATAGATGTATTAAAGAAAGAGTAGTATAGCTAGAATTGAGGGGGTTTCAAGCAATTGTAATGCATGGCCTAAAGTGGGCCCTTTGTGTCTATGGGGAGCCATTGTGTACCTTGGGTTTTGTAGTTGAGGCGCCACAGATTCAACAATGTCAGTTGAATAGCTATTACTTGCAACAACTAACACAGAATGAAACCGATCAAGCCTTTTCTTCTTACTCCAGCCTTGCTTGATATGTGTCTCAAAGTTTATATACATATAATAATATAATAGTTTCTGAAGGTTTGCTATGTTTTAGGCAAATAGAGTCTACACAGAAAACGCATTGATACATATTTTCCACATACAAGCAATTGTGAAAAATGTGTATCATAAAGGTTTCCCACATTAAGAACAATCAAAACAAAGAGTTAATATTATGTAGCCTTTTTGGTGAGCCATGCACACAAAACACTTGTAACATATACCATGTTTGGTTATCCAAACATAAAAAGCTTTGTTAACATATACCCCTTGAATTTACAGGGGTGGATCTGAAAAATTTCAAGGGACCAACATTTAAATTCTGACAAAGATAGGGTAGAAAAATTGGGCTCAAATTTAAAAAAATTTCTTGACAATTTGGCTTAAATTAAAAAATAAGGCCTAGTAATGCCCAAAAAGTTCCAACTTGGGAGGAATTTCTTTTGATCTAAATTTTTTTTCCGAGCCCATCCTTGGGGGTGGGCTCTGGATCTGGGGTGGGATCTGGATCCCCTAGTGATTTACACTCACATACAAAACGTTGGAACATAAACCGCTTGAATTTTCCCTTGCATACAAAACATTGGAACATTATACCCCTTGAATTTTCCCCCATATACAAATCATTGGAACATGTACCCCTTGAATAAACCCTCACATACAAAATATTGCTACCATATTGCAGGTTTTCTCGCCACACACAAATACTGGAAATATTTTACCTAACAGGGTCTGTCATTGACATACAAATACTGGTTACATATTACCTTTACAAGTTTTGCGATGGTTGATTGGTTTTGTGTGGTCACGATAGTATCCCTCCTTGCAGTAATGGCAATGTCTTCCTGCCGTATTGTGGCGACATTTAAGACACACCCCACCGCTCTCACGGCCAGAGAGTAAATACAGCTCCTTATTGAATCGACACCTTTGGGCATGAAGGTTGCAATTACACGCTGAAAAATGAAGGGAATGGGATATAGAAATTGTGCCTACCTTTACATGCCTTGCGATGTGTGATAGGCTTTGCTGGGTCTCGGAAAAATCCATCTTTGCAATAGTGGCACATTCGGCCAGCAGTATTGTGGCGACAGTTAACACATACACCACCACTTTCTCGGCCTGAGAGCTTAAATAGTTCCATGTTAAAGCGACATTTTCTAGCATGAAGATTACAGTTGCACGCTGGAAGTAGAGAGAGAGAGGACAGAGTTAAAGCTGGTTAAAAAAGCAGAGCAACAACAGTGATACAACAGTGATATACCAACACAGCAATGACAGTGATATACTAACACAGCAATGACAGTAATATACTAACACAGTGATTCTCTAACACAGCAATGACAGTGATATACTAACACAGCAATGACAGTAATATACTAACACAGCAATGACAGTAATATACTAACACAGTGATTTTCTAACATAGCAATGACAGTAATATACTAGCACAGTGATGGAAGTGATATTCTAACACAGCAATAACAGTAATATACTAACACAATGATAACAGTGATATTCTAACACAGCAATGGCAGTGATATACTAGCACAGTGATAACAGTGATATTCTAATACAGCAATGGCAGTGATATACTAGCACAGTGATATTCTAATACAGCAATGGCAGTGATATACTAGCACAATGATAACAGTGATATTCTAACACAGCAATGGCAGTGATATACTAGCACAGTGATAACAGTGATATTCTAATACAGCAATGGCAGTGATATACTAACACAGTGATTGAAGTGATATTCTAACACAGCAATAACAGTAATATACTAACACAATGATAACAGTGATATTCTAACACAGCAATGGCAGTGATATACTAGCACAGTGATAACAGTGATATTCTAATACAGCAATGACAGTGATATACTAACACAACATTGACAGTAATATACTAGCACAGTAATGAGAGTGATATACTAGCACAGCAATGACAGTGATATACTAACACAGCAATGACTGATATTGTAATCCAGTAATGACAGTGATATAGTAACAGAACTTGACAGTGATATACTAACACAGCAACGACAGTGATATACTAACACAGCAATCACAGTGATATACTAACACAGCAATGACTGATATTGTAATCCAGTAATGACAGTGATATACGAACACAGCGTTGACAGTGATATACTAACACAGCAATGACAGTGATATACTAACACAGCAATGACAGTGATATACTAACACAGCAATGACAGTGATATACTAACAGCACTAACAATTATGTACTGATACAGCAATAAGAGTGATGAATTAACACAGCAATAACAGCAATATACTAACAAGGCAATAACATTAATATATTGACACAGCAATAACAGCGATACATTGACACAGCAATAACAGGTATTTTACATTATACAACAAGGATATTTTAACACAGCAATAACAGTCATATTCTAACAAAGCCGTGGGAAGTTATACACTAATGCAGGAATAACTTATATTCTAACACAGCAATGGACGTGATACACTGACGCAGCACTAACAGTGAAATTCTAACACAGCAATGACAGTGATATTCTTACACAGCAATAACTGATAAGCTAACATAACAATAACAGTGATATAAGAACAGCAAAAATAGTGATACATTAATCCAGCAATAAGAAGTGAACACCTCAGAATGCTATACTATCACACTAGCAATAAACAAAGATTTACCATTGACTACCGTTTTGTAAAAATGTGTATGACAGAAATGTAAGATTTGCAATTGTCACTGATTTTGTGAAACTTTTCATGATAGAAGTACATGATTAACAATTCACTCCAACATTTTGTGAAAATGTATATGACAGAAGTGCAATGTTTAGATTTGGCTCTACCATTTTTGAAATTGTACATGATAGTAGTGCCTGACTCCACCAATAGACTCTGTGCCAATATGTATGGTAGAAGTGCAATATTAACAAGTGACCATTTATATGTTGTTGTGCATGATAGACGTGCAAGGAAAACAATCGACCCATTATTTGTGATTGTGTATGATACAAGTACAAGAATAAAAAGTGACTCCACCATCTCATGTGATTGTGCCTGATAGAAGTGCATGATAAAGAATTGACTCCACCAATATGTGAAATGGTGCATGATAGAAGTATAAGATTAACATTGGAATCTACCATTTGTGTAGATGTACAAGATAGAAGTGCATGATAAAGAATTGACTCTACCAATATGTGAAATGGTGCATGATAGAAGTATAAGATTAACATTGGAATCTACCATTTGTGTAGAATGATGTACAAGATAGAAGTGCATGATAGAGAATTGACTTTACCAATATGTGAAATGGTGCATGATGGAAATCCAAAATCAATGATTGACTATACCATTGTGTGAGATTATGCATTGCAGAACTACAAGATTAACTTCATGACTTCCAATATGTGAGATGTCTGACAGTTAAGTGCAAGATTAACCATTGAACCCAATTACACAAATGCATGTGATTGTTCAAAATAAAAATACAGTGCATGAATGATTAAATGCAATATTTGTAACTAAATGCTAAAAGTAATGTCAGAAAAATAAAAATGTTAAAGAGTAAATACTAAAGTAACTATGCTTACAAATGAGCAAACATGGCATTGTTAGAGTGCTCAGAGATGGCCAAAGGTACAAGGATAAAGGAAAAGACCACCACCAATAATAAGAATAAGAGTGTAACATGCAGTTTCTGAAGTTTCTTCATTAAAAAGTTGCTCTGTATATTTCATGTACAATCATAATATACAATGGCTGTCATTGTACAGTCATAATACACAATGTCTGTCATTGTATAGTCATAATACACAATGGCTGTCATTGTATAGTCATAATACACAATGGCTGTCATTATACAGTCATAATACAATTTGGCTGTCATTGTATAGTCCTAATACACAATGTCTGTCTGTCATTGTAAAGACATAATACACACTATGGCTGTCATTGTATAGTCATAATACACAATGGCTGTCATTGTATAGTCATAATACACAATGGCTGTCATTGTACAGTCATAATACACAATGGCTGTCATAGTACAGCCATAATACACCGTGTCTGTCATTGTACAGTCATAATACACAATGTCTGTCATTGTACAGTCTTAATTCACAAAGTATGTCATTGTACAGTCATAATACACTATATCTGTCATTATACAGTCATAATACACAATGTCTGTCATTGTACAGTCTTAATTCACAAAGTATGTCATTGTACAGTCATAATACACTATATCTGTCATTATACAGTCATAATACACAATATCTGTCATTATAGTCATACAGTGTGTTTCATTATGCAGTCATAATAGAAAGTGTACAGAAATAAAGTCAAATAAATTAGTTGGATATAGTTTTTACATATATCATTTACTCAACATACAATTCCTAAAATACAAACGAGTGTCAAAATATATCAATATCCTGTTAATAAAAAAAAACATGTAAAATCAGACAATATCATAAATTGTAGCATATCTCCATGGATACACATACCTGCAACGGTTATTAGGCTGGTAATATATACTATCTGGTTCTAATTACTTACATTTATTTTCAAATTCAGGAACGGGTGTTGCTTTTAATTGTGCACTATTATTTTCAAAAACAATACTGAAGCATGAGAAATTTCTTTAAAATTTTCATCTTTAATAGTTGTTTTTCACAGGATTTTCTCATGAAACAAAAATCATGTTACAATTCTGTATTAGTTGATGTTTTAGAAATTGTGTAACTTTCTGAGGTCTGAAGAAGCAAAAAAGTATTCATTGTAAATTTGGATGTGGTGTCATGTTATTTTTTGGTAAAAAGTGCAGAACTTATATACATGTGCAGAATCAGAATCAGATAATAACCATATCCTTGCCTTTATGTTAAAACAATAGGATGACAATATACTACAAATATATAAATACCATATAAATTATATTTTCAACAACAACATACCATCCAAAGTTAGTTTAAAACATCATTATATTTTAATGTTATCATAATACAATAAACCAAGGTATGATAATATAAGAAATACTGCAATTCTTTTTTCCAAGAACTTCAGAAATCATTTTAAAAATCATTGATTATATTAAGTATCCATGCGAAATAACAATTTTCGTTGTTTTTATCTGGGATGTAGAAGCCCTACATAATTGCTGCACTAAGGTACATCTTTTCTTAGTCTACTTTTATGTTGCTTTGTTGGTGGCGATTCCAGGAAAACACAGCATGAGTAACAGTTGAGTCATTCCAACTTCGAACTATCACCATTGCAACACATTTATTTTGTTTTTTATTTACATTGTAAAATCTGGTGAGATTGTAGCTTAGTTGTATACCTATATTTTTAGCTGATATAGCACCTAATAGTGTTGTTTCATTTGGTCTCTATTATCATTCATTCTAGGCTGTTCTGGCATAAGACACCTGTCTACATCTCTCTTCATAATCATACGGAAACCTTTCCTCATCTTTTGTGATAGACATTTGATGGTGTTCATTGTCATTTTCAAATGGTGATGATATCTAAGATGAAGATGCAGGAATGTGTAAATTCAACAAAATGATATTTGGTGCCTCAAAGTTTTGTGAAACCTCCATTTTCCACCTTTTCTGTGATATGATGATGTCTTCAAAGTTGGTTGTAATGAAACAATCTACGATGTCTGACAACAGTCGTAATTCGATTAAATCTGCTGATACTAGCTTTATAGATAGAGGCATTTAGAAAGTGAGAGAGCTTGTAAGGTGCAGATTTGTTAACAGGCTACAAAATGGGACAAGATAAGATATTCCAGAAGCTTTCTGTGCTGCCAAAATCTTTTTCTATTTACTATAAAATACTTTTCATGATTTATCAGGCGCTGAAAGTGTCATAGTAAATGAGAATATTCCAGTTCCCATGGCTTTGTTATCATGTGATATATTTGGCCTGTTGCTTTTTCCTAACTTGTTACATTAGTCATTCTTTTCTGGAGAATGCATGGCATTATCACTGTTTTTGATACGTCCTAATGTATATTTGTGATATAATGTGAACAGAGTGAGTGTATACATTTTCTTCAAGGTAACACATTACTATCAAATAGTCATTTGCCCCTAATTGGTGTGAAAAATAGTCATTTGCCCCTCATTGGTGTGAAAAATAGTCATTTCCCCCTCATTGGTGTGA